TAGAATATTTGATTACACATCGCTGTTGAGATTCTCTGACCGCTTTGTATTACCTCCTTCTTCCATTTTCTTGGTCAGGATCGTTTCGTTTGAGACCCTAACCTTCGGACTCATGTATTAATTCAAGAACGAAAATACGGATATTGACACACTGGTTTGTTTCATTTTTACGGTTCTGAACATAAACATGAGCCAAAGCACGAGAGTAACCGAATCTGATAGAGGTGCTTATATAATTAGGATTTGAAAGAGCACTTCTGTTGTCTCTACTAACAGAACATTGGGTCTCAAGCATTCCTTTTTAATGGAACAAACGATATCGATCGCTTTTCGTCTTCGTCTGCAACACTTCGGTATGGATTGACCTCGAAGTCATGCACTACCGCCATTCGTGCCGTACAAGTCCGCCATGTTGTACGGATTCGGTAAGCAAGTTCTAGCCCTAGAATCACGGTAGTCTCTAGCGACTGAGCCCCTGGTGGAACCAGTTTGCCGTTCCACAATATTTCGCCCCCGAGCAGCCTGAGCAGAAGTCAACCTGGTCCCATGACACGTCTGATTAATATGCAACCCTTCCCCGCCAACATGACCGATTTCACCATAATTGGCCCTACTGGCCAATTTGATCGTCAGTGATATCAGCATCAGCAGCAGCCAGAAGGTTCCTCCGAGCCCCAGCATGCCGTATGCTCAGTACTGGCGAGCACTGCGCAGCATCTTTGACGACACGTACGCCGGACGATTGGTGGAAGCCAGCCGATCGCTGCTGGAAATTTCTGAATGGCTTGTGATTAACGCACAGGATCTCGGTATGACCGAATCCTTTTTCATGATCTTTCGTTCTTTACCTTGCTGGATGTATTATAGGTGCTGCCGCTCCACAGGGCGTTGAGAGAGGTTGTACCACAATCGCACTCCGTCCTGGGCCCTGTTTTCTTTTTTTTTGAAAAAAACCTCCGGGAGCTGTATTTTCTCTCTCTCTGTCTATTTGGGCTTTTTTATTTCTTTTATTTCTTTTATTTCTTTTCTTTCCTTTTTACACTTGTAGGTGCACGTTATACAAGCATCGTCTCACACGCCTAGCGGAAAAGGTGATGCGATATGTGCCACAAAGGGAAAGGTATTAAAACAAAACCTAATTATTTTCTGTTACTTTGATATTAAAATCCTGCGCGATAATTACTTTCTCTACCACGGTCAATTACAACTCTGGAACGACGTCAATTTTTGCTGGTTAGCTGTGTGTCAAAAGCAGAAGGATCTGTCCCAGGATCTGATTACGACGGGCCATTTACCGGCGCATACGAGTCTCATCGGTCGAGATCAGTTGGAAGCTTTGGGAACGAATTTGATTCACATTTGTGATCACTTTGACCAACACGGGCTGGTCGATTATCAATTAGGAATTTGGGAGGAATATATCTTATGTGGTAAGTAGATCCTGAACCGCGAACGAGCAGAATATGGATCTACAAAATTGTCCATATTCCTCTCTCCACCCCCAACCCCTCTGCCTGGATTTAGGTCATATCGGAAAATAAGACTCTAAGTCTAGCTCGCATTCCAATAGTCCTAGGTCAATGTCTAGATGTGATAGACAGTCTGCCCGAACCCACGGCCGCGGCGCCTAGGTCCTGTCGCTGAGCAGCCGTGTCTCTTGGCATATCCGCACGGAAACCTTTTCAGCTGTTTCTTTTTGCCAATGCTTGTAGCGCCTTGCCTTCTTGTGTAGCTTCATCGAAATTAGTTGCGATCAATTCAATTTCAAAGCCTGTAAACAGTCGCTGGGTTATCTGAGCGTTGATATTTTGAATGCCATAATGAAGCGATCACTGGACAATTCTTTTACACTTTCAGGGACATAAAGCTGTAGATCCACAATGTCGTTAACCGCCAGACTATCGGCCCTTTGAGAGGTGGTTGCCCCGGGGCTGGACAACGCATAGTGAGACATAGATCTAGGATCAGACGGGGGTGCGGAAAGCTACTTTCGCGATTGACATTCGACAGCTCCCGACGGGCGGCTGTAATTTGGCCTTTTATTATATCGTGTATTGAATGATGGAGTGTCGTTGTGGTGGAAAATAGAACCAAGCCTCATTCTGCAGTCAGACATTTCATTGGGGTAATAATAGGATATAGGGAACTAATGATGGAGATTCAAGAAGCACATTTCCAGCCCGGGCGGGATTGGAGCCAGTATATATGAAAAGACATGCTTGGCAATAGAGAGTCGTAAACTTCGAGCCAGTGTGACCTTTCCCAAATTGCCACCTTGAACTAGTTTCATATCTGTCTCTGACTGGGCACAACAGATAATTTAGGGCCAGTGCTAACGCCCTGTGTTTGGAAAGTTTTAGACAACTCCGGCGTTTCATATCCTATATTACATCAAGGCGCTCTTTGGAAAAGTCTCTGTGCTGAACAATTACAGATAAATGTAGCGGAAAATAGCCAGGATCTTGGTTCTAGAGATAATAGGACCGAGCCGGTTGCTCGACTGATCCGGACCTTGGTGCATTCCAACAGCTACAGGGTTCGTCCCTGCGAAGTTTTGTACAATGATATATCCCTGGAAACAAAGCTCCGTATTCCCTCAGTCCATGTCCACTGACTGCAAAATATCGCCATTGTATTCTTCATATCTTCCAGATATTGCGATATTTCTTTTTCTCTGTAGTCGCCCAAGTGGTAGGGCAGATTTATAGAGAGTTTGAACGTCTGGCAGAATAAGGGAGGGTGCTTCATGCACAAGCTGCACATTCTGATCCAAGGCTACTGGTACGCAGTCTGAGAATTGGAGGCCCACGGATGGAATCTGTGACCTATGTCAGTCGGCAATAAAAGCTGAGGTCGATTGCATCTGTTGAAGCAGCTGGAATCATACTGTATTTACTGCAGTGAGAAGCAGTTACGGATATACGGTCTCATTTATAAGATCTCGCGTCATAATCCGCCAATAGAAAAGTTTAAAAGAAAGCAAGACATTCAATATTCTCTATTTCTTTTCGCTTTAGGTCCCTTCCTCTTTCCAATAGATCATTCAAACGACCATGAATTCTTCCCTGGAAGAAATTGAGTCCTATATTGGTGCTTCTACTTCTGTTAATTTTCCCGGATTGTTTGGTTGTTACTAATAGATTATTCCGTATATATAGATAAAGGGTATGTGAGATAGGTGCCGCAGAACTAGTGAAACTGGGCTATAGTTTTCACAATTTCACGCGCTTCGGAGAAGGTGACTTCCTCGGAGCTTGTTTATTCAAGGTGAAAATAGTGTATCACAAGACCTATGAGCCATACGAAGATTCTATAGGCTTTGCATCGATTTACCACTTCTGAAGTGTGAGATTTGTTGGGGTCGTGTTCCAGAATTAATTTATGACGACAGAAAGCCACCGTACAGTTGGGAATGCCTATTAAAACAGGCTACTGCTTACGTTGTTGAGAAATGATTTCCTCCATAAACGACTCGAGATCCTGGTGAAACCGGTCCATTTGCCCGTTATTTTATTGAAATTCTTTCTGCCAAATCACATCCAACCCATGACAGCGAAAGCCTTCGACTTACTCTGTCCTATGATATCGAGTTTTAACCACACTCATGGTGAGATAGGCTCTGCTGAACTACACGACATAAACTTAATTGGCTGCCACTTGACTTCAAATGTCATACACACCAGCTAGGTGTAGTGACTGTACAACAGGTCTTCTTTTAAAAAATATTCGTGCCCTACAGGTTAATCTTGAACCCATGTGTGAAGAGCCATATGGGAGTGTACTGTGATGTGGGAACATCTTTAAACATGCTGCCATCTCACGAGATTAAACATACCAAGTTGGTACATTCTTTTTCATATTCACTACTAGAATGTCACAAGACGGCATCTATCTTCCGATAGAGGTCATTCTCCACATAGCCAAGAGTCTCATCCCTCGAGACCAGTTGTCGCTTGTTCGTGCGTTTCCTGACCTTATCCGCTTACTGACATTCCGACACTTTGCTATTCAGGATGAACATGGAAACACAATCGTACAATTGCTCGCAGAACAGGGTGAAGATGGTCTATTACAACTACTATTGGCGAGAAATCATACCAAAGCGGACCCGGAGAATAAGAAAGGACGAACACCATTATCATGTGCAGCTTGGCGTGGACATGATACGGTGGTGAGGCTGCTACTTGAGCGAGACGACGTCAATGCGGACTCGAGAGATCATTATGGCCGGACGCCATTAGCATGTGCAGCTTGGCGTGGACATGATACGGTGGTGAGGCTGCTACTTGAGCGAGACGACGTCAATGCGGACTCGAGAGATCATTATGGCCGGACGCCATTAGCATGTGCAGCTTGGCGTGGACATGATACGGTGGTGAGCCTACTCCTGGAACGAGACGACGTAAATCCGAACTCGAAAGATCATTACGGTCGTACCCCCCCTGTCATGCGCAACTTTACGTGGTCATAATGGGGTTTTCGAATTGCTACTAGGAGCAGATCATCTTGACGTGGGCTGACGAGGCGAGGATAAGCCGTCAGAATTCTACTAGATATGATGGAACGTTCAAGAAGTGGCGAGATCCCAGAATGTTTCGGTGAAATCAGGAGCCATCAATTATGTTGTGTTTTAAAGGAAGACTGCTTGTTATTATTCAGATAGGAAATCTGACCATTTATATACGGTATGAACCCTCCTGATTTATTTCCTAACATAGCTGTTACCTCCATGAGTTCCGGATTTGACTACGTTACGATATGATATAGAGGCGTCCGGAAACGGGTGTGACTATCGACACTTTTCGATTGATTCACCAACAATCATACCAAAACTCATCTTTCTATTGCCAACTAACCAAACAAGGAAGATAGTGAGGACCTTCAAGCTTCGGTCTTTGGGTGAAGCGACGTGGAGAAATCACTTGTCATGAAACCAGTATTCTGTAATTTAGTCTAAACTTGATACAGTACGTAGAAATCAGCCCTATGTGACATTTAAATTAGTTAAAGCGATATTTGAAGGCATTTTCCGGCAAAAAATAAGTTTTCCCCTCTGATAGTAATCTCACGATCTTTTCGTGCCCATTAGCCGCGGCCCATGACAAAGGTGTACGGCCGTTATCGTCTATCGAGTCAACATCAATATCATTCCGTTTCACAAGTAGAGCCACGACCCCCATCTCCCCTTGAAAAGCTGCGTACGCTAGTGCGGTTCGACCGTAGTTATCTCTCGAGTCCGCTTTGACGTCACTTCGCTCCAGAAACAACTCAACGACTTCTTCGTGCCCACGCGCAGCAGCCCGTGACAAAGGTGTGCGGCCGTTGTTGTCCATCGAGTTGACTTCAACATCTTTTTGTTTCAGTATCAGATTCGCCACTCTTGCTTGTCCTTGAAAGGCTGAATATGCCAAGGGTGTCTGTCCGTAATCGTCTCTTGAGTTTACTTTGACATCATCTCGCTTTACTAGCAGCCTCACGATTTCGTCATGCCCACATGCCGCTGCCCATGACAACGGAGTTCGATTGTGATGATCTGTTGAGTCTGCTGTCACATCGACCCGCTCTGCTAGAGCATTTGCCATATACACGTTTCCATACTGAGCTGCTCGCGATAGCGGTGTTCGATCCTCCTTATTTTTCAGGTCTGGCGAGATTCCTTTTTTTGCAAGCAAAGTGGCTGTTAGGTCTTCCTCAGTTCTTGCCGCAAGTATATGTAGAATTGTATTGAAACCCTCATCTTGAATACTCATGTGTCGAGGTGTGAACACCCCAATAAGTCCCGGCAATGCATGTAGAAGCGATATCTGCGTTTGAGTATCGGAACTTTCTAATAAGAGTAGCATAATCTCCGTTGGAAGGCAACTCATTTTACGGCGTGACGTTAATCTAACGTTTCAGTATTCTGATCCGAAGCTAAGCAGTGAACGCCTGCTACCAACCTCGATGGACTTGGTGGGTAACTCAAATTAGATATTCATCCTGTGTGATGGTGAGTGATCCACATAAAGGGTTTGATCATCGTAAGCTCCGTTAAACGAGGTGACTCTACCCTCTAGGGCCCCAGAAAGGACATCGATGCCCAATGGGGAATGAAAGATGCGGAACGCTGTTAAGCTGCGCAGCACGGCTAGTAACAGTCGCTGTAAATATTGGAGGAATTGTATTATTATCCATATTGCTGTCATGTCTCATGACACCGAAAACTGAATGAGTTCTTCATTTTGTCACTTGATTCCTACCCTACGATGCAACACTATTGCATTCCACCTGCTGCGCGTTCTGAAGCTTTAGGGTCGCCAGATCTAACAGCAAGCATGTTGTGCCATAACCAATCAGGATTATATTATATAAGGTTGCTGTTTATCTATATTGTGAGATTTATAAGGATACTAGCAATATGAAGAAGCATTATACTTGTTTTCGTGTTAAGTAAATGACGTTTACCTCCAGCAAACTAATCCATTAATGCGCCACCTCCTCAGGACTGAACATTCGCAGATGTCATATGTGTGTTGGTACAATGACGTCACTTTTCCGACATCACCGTCAAACTACTTGGTCATTGTTGGTTCGCTAGCTGTGTCTTACAGTTTTAGAGTCATATTTTCTGCAGCCTCCAGCAATACGCAGCCACGCACGAGGATTAGCATGCCAGGCGGGGATGTCTTCCCATTAAAAGGTTTCGTGTGACACAACCATCAAGGCGGGAGCGCCAAAGTGCTCATTTTCAAAATTGATCTCTTTTTTTTCCGTCTTATGATCAAATATATCCACTCAAATATTGCCTCAGGGGCGTCCCATATCTTGCCAAGCAGGCAAGCAAGCAGATGACTTAGGATCGCGTGTTTTTCAGATGTCCCCTCCAACCAAATTGATATCTCATGGGCATCAACGCTACTCGCAAACATTCCATGCTGCAAATCTCCCTTGGTCGGGACAAGAGTAGTATTTCAAGTCGCACATATACAGGCATTCTCGAACTCGCCTTGACAAGTACACACTCATAACCTCCTGTCCCGCCCCAATACCAAGGCATTAGCGAAGATTATCAATGGAAGGGGCATCAGTAAGTTGAGGGCTGTTGTTCAACGCTCTGTGTATGGTATTGTATCCCTTTCGGTAAATCGCTTCACCCGCTTTGAATATGGGGCGGTGAATGATTGTGATGGTATTAGATACAGAACATTTTACCGCGGGCCCTTATCTTCGTGAGGCCTAAATAAATGATCTGCGCTAATGTCTTGGCAGTGGGCCATGAAAGAGTTTCTCAGCGAGTAGTGGTCAAGCCGATTATTTTGTAGCACAAGAGGTGGATGATCCCTGTTTTCGAATACAGCCTGTGGTCTACCTGTGGGCCATCTACGAATGTCACCAATGGGATTTGCAGGAAAGGATTTGCAGGGTATAGTCAATCGGAAACCTCATGATGACAAGGGCTCCTGTGATTAGACTGCGGCAACATCCTCAATATCCATGGATATCCACAAATCCTCTCCGCAAATTGCGGATATGGTATGTCAACCAATATCCTCAATCCTCAAATTTGTGGATATGATATTCCACCCAATATCCTCTGGATATTTGAGGATATCCAGCGGATATGAAACAGGCCAAACATGCCCAGCCTCGTGACTTTTTTGAGCGTACATTATTTATGCGGATTCCTTTGTATTTTTCAAGTAACCACAAAGTAATATTTCATTATTGAAGTTTTCAATTTTTAGACATAGTTTTATTATTTCCATTCTACCTTCTACATTGACTATCTTAAATCAATCTGAAATCCATCAGGTAACCTTGGTTGCTTCCGAATCCGCCCTGACCGTCCTTGTGTGCCCTCATATATTGGCATTTCTGGAAGGCCATCGTCGTCGTCATCAACTGCCTCAGATAATTGTTTCCTTGATCGTTTACACTGTAGTTGATTACTCTGACCAGTCTTCCCACCGTCTGAATCATCATCGCAGCTTTCTATCTGTGGCATATCCTCGATTCCAGGCTCTTGATCTTCCTCTTCATTGTCACTAATTGGTTCAAGAGTTTCAAGCTGGGGTATTGGTTTCTGAGCTTGATCCAACAATGCAGCTTCTCCAACAGAAAGATGCTCCTTGATAACCTCTATCTCTTTCTGCTCAATCTCAAAGTTGGTGGTGAACTGATGAAGCATCAGTTCTCGGATTGTACTTGGTTTCAATTGGCCACGGCGATAGTGGCAGATATCGCGAGCGCAATTGAATAATCGCTCAACGCCTGCACCACTAGCTGGGATTGAGAGAATATCCCGTGCCATCCTTGCAAGAATGGGAAACTCATGCTCATGCTCTTTCCAGAATGCTCGGGGCTTCTGTCTCTCAATGCCTCGGGCAAGATACCTTGCAATCTCATCATTTTCAGGCTTTGAGAGCTCATCCTGTGGTTGGTTCTGAGAAGCACAAGCGGCATCTAGATCACAAGAATCATCATCTGGGTTCTCTCCAGTGGCATCTTGCAAGACTGCAGTATCTGAATCATGTCGAAGTATCTCTTTGTATCGATGAAACTCTTGCTTGGGAACTCCATGACATAGTCAATTTCACCTTGCCAGTCTGTTGATGCAAAATATCGAAGTTTTTTTGATGGGCAAAGGATCATTGCAAGTGCATAGATATCCCCATATGGTTCATAATCAGTAGTAGTATAATACTTTGAGAGCTTCCTTTTTGCAGTCCGGAGAGCCTGGAGCATGTCCTTCTTCCAGATAACTCCTTTATTCTTTAACTTGCTCTCAACTTCATCAAGATGAGAGAAAAGCTTGTTATAAATACTATAGATGTTATGTGCAGTAACATCCCTAGTCTTTGATAGCATAGTGGTGAAGTCAAAGAAAGGCTTTGTGAGAAGAAGTAGATATTCAATCTGTCGCCACTCTTCTTGATCAAGTTTGAAGTGGATATATTGATGATCTGTACAATATATTAACTTTTTACACTATATTTTCTTATAAAAACATGAAGAAGCCCTGGTCGGAAGTTCGGATTTTGCGGATTTTGCGGACTTGGTGATTTCGTTTCTCTGAAAATCAACATCTGAGGACAGCTGAGGATGTCCGTGGATATCCGATAATATCGGTGGTTTCGAATATTCGCAACAGCCCTATTCTCATTTGCACAGGTTCGACTCACGCAGGGTACATCATTTGAGGGAGCCCGCCCTCGTCCGCGCGAACTCAGAGCCCGCTTTGTGTTTCCCGGATCATTTCCCGAGTTTTCGCTCTGCGGATTAATTTTTACCCTTTGCAATTGAGAATGGCTAAACCATATTTGCGAACTCGATTGACGTTCCCGCCAGAGTCAGCAACCGGCGGTAGTGAAATTGATGGCTATCGAGGACCTGCTGCACTAGACGCATGCTACGGTACGAGGGGCAAAGGGCTGGGTGCACTTGCGCGTCGCGTAAAACACACGTGCCACGCCCACACTGAGATTAACATCAGCGGCTACGTTCGATGTCAATGAGTTTGTCTTCTTCACCATATATCACAAACCGACCTGCATCTTTCAAATAAGAATTGGGCCTTTGTGACCGTCTAGGCAATCAACTGGCCGGCCTGGCGAGGCTACTTCTGCCGGCGAGTCCGTGCCCCTCAGCGGTGACATCAAGGATGCATTCGGTCGACTTGCGGTTGCATTGAGCATAGCATCAGGTTCCAGCGACCTGACTTTAGTTAGTCGACTTCCGAAATATTCGATCTATGAGAATGTACTGTACTTACCAGGATCAGTCGTAAATAAGCCATGGTGGCAGCTTTAAATGACCGTCTGCATCAGAACACAGGCAAGGCACTTTGCCGCTGTATATATTCAATCTAGCACCAACTATCAGCAGCTGGTGCAATATGGTCGCTCGCAACTTACCTTGTTCGCGGCCTAGACGAGGTCCCCGGCCGGCTATAATGCACTTTCTCGATCGGACTCACCCGAACGGCTGGATTAGGACTGGGTTTTACTAAACTCTATGTTAACATAATTTCTGTTGACTGAGGGTGGTATAAACTTGCCGTGATGCAGCCTGGCATCAGCATAGAAAACCAGGGATGAGGTAGCGGGCTCATCTCGACCACACGTGGAGGGCCTGGGATCACATCGTTTCACAGGGAATGGATGTAGCCGTACCTGCCAATGCACGATTCTGGGCAGATCTTCAACCATGTAAGGGCAAAGTAACACTGGACGAGAGTTTCGTGGTATTTTGTTTGCGACAAACTTCGACCTGGCCTCAAAATGGCTGCTCTCGCGGCGAGGAATCTATGGTGAATCTAAGCATGGGCTGTCCTAGCGCTTGCTCAGCTGCAATCAGCGGTTGAAATAATTGACCTTGAGACTATTGCTAATAGTTCGATTCAGTCTGCTGATTGATGCTCAACGGGGAATTAGTTGTTTTTTTTCCGCGACCGTCAGGTCTCGGCCTCTTCTCGTTGTCGCAGATGCTCTGATGACTCGCTCGATTAACAGTGAGGCTGGTTCATGGCTACCGACAAGCCTTCGGATTGGACGTGGGCAGGATATTCATAGCCGTCGAAATATTGCCAAAAACTAATGCATTGACGGTCAACCTTTGTTCGGACAGGGCAATGCTGAAGAGACGAAATGAAAACACTCTGGAATTTTACGGTATGGCTAAGCAGAGGGCATCAAGGCTTTCTGCCTTGGCCCGCTAATATGCCAGGTGAAGTGGCCGTGTCAACCACGTCTTCAGAGACAATAAAGGCGCAAGCGTAGTAATATTCAGTGGCTTGGCCCACCAGGTTGTTGCAGCTGGGTTAGTTTCGAGGACGAGGGGGGAACATAGCTCGGTCAGGTCGAGTGTAAAATTGAAGCTCGCCCTATAACGAAAAGGAATCATAAGCGATATTTTCTGAGGAACAGAGAGCCACGAACGGATAGCATTCGTACGAAGATTGAAATGCAGTACCGGGTGTTGAGAATGGGCAGGGGCAAAGCACTAGCGTGACTTACAAGACATTGAGCGACTCGCGATAGAAAGTTCGCCATCCTATATAGAGGGTTGTCAGCATATCATATCTGCCTTAAAAGTTGCTGCAGTCTTTGAACCTACGTTGTCAGTTATTGCTGTCCACTGCAGGGGACTGTATAAAAGATGGCACCTAATTATCTTCAATCATTAGCCGATAGCCTATGAAGGCAACTTGTAACTCACCGCGCTCGCAGCTTGGACCATTCCAGATCCAGATCCTGAAAATTCGTTCAATGGCTTTTCAGAGAAATAGCGGAGGCGGGGCTGATACCGAGCATTTTCCATGTTAGCATGATTCCAAATGACTGGGCAGCTACACTTACTTGCTGTTCGAAGACCTCTTGTGTCGAGAAAACCAGGCTAGTGCGATGCAACAAGTCAGTCAATTTCGTTGCACGGTTTCGAAGCCAACGTACCAAATAGTAGCCACGGAAACGAGAATTGATCGATATTCTTTTACCCAGAGTGACAAAGGAATGCTTGCGAACGACAGTTCTGCTGGTGACGGGACGGGTATTTATAGCAATTCAACCAGGCATTCATCCTGCGTCAATGAGATCATCATTATGAATTGTGAGGGCTTAAACAAAAACTACTCTTCAATGATAACTGGCTCAACATTTCATCATTGATTCAAAGGAGCTCTTAGACACATTGTATTTTGTTCCTGGTGATCAAGAACTTGAAAAATATTTTCTGGCTGTGGCATTGTTTCAACAGTCATGAGGATGCCGCAGAAAAGAACCGACGACGGTTATCACCATTCACCACCGTGAGTCCGCCTTTAATGCGACGGTTGAGGCGACGAGGTCATGTCATTTCATTTCACTCACCAGTGATGAGCCCGTTACTCCACGCAACGAACACCTCATCAAAGACAGGCAAACACCATGTTATAATGCGACCGAGCTCCATACCAGCCAAACCGCAGGATTATTTATTGCCTAACTCGTATATCGGAGAAAATACATCACGCCTACGCAATATCAAGCTGACAAAAGCTGTGGTACAGCGTGGTACTGATTCGCACAGCCCACATCTCACGAAAGAGCTAATTGTATAGTCAGTGAGTCACTAGATCGATGACGTTTTCGCAGAACAATCATTTCTGCTTTCGACCTCTTCTGTGCACATAGCAATACCCATCGATCTCCTGGGAGCTAAGTGGACGCGGGAAAGTGGTCACTACTGCAAGGATAAATGAGCCAGGTAGTGCCATTAGCAGCCCACATGCTCATAAGTCTTCTTTGAAATGATTGGTTAATATATGGCCTTGGTTCCCAGGAGCCTATGTGTCGTAAATATTGATACGATCATTGGATACCACTAAGAGAGCAGAGAAATAATCAGCCAATCGGTGCCATGAATGACCCACAAGTGCCACAAAGCCTCAGTAGAAATGATTGGTCCAAATGTGGCTATGAGCTCCTGGGAGCCTGAGCCTACCATTACATCTACCGTAACTGGATAGCCCATCAGCAATACCCTATGAGGGTCTCACGTATCTGTTGATGAGGAGCGTGTTTTTCGGATGAAATAATCATTATTAAAGAAAGCTATAGTCGACTCTAGATACAAGACGTAGTGCGAGGAAGCAAGAGAAAGATAGCTTCCTCGCGTTCAGTGGAACCCAGATGCGCCATGTGGGTCCGTGTCCTCCGCTTCGCGTGTATGCCTCATGTATACCCCTGACATGTCGCAGGGGTCCGTAACAGGAGATCATAAGGTATATATCCTATAAGCGATAAGGTTTCTTCATATTTGTGAGATGATTATTTGTGTGCACCTTTACGAGGATGCTATAATCTATCTATTCGGAGTGTGGTCCAACGCATTAAGTTTAGCTATTGGGGCCTTCAAGTGCATCTACACCGCTTATCAAGCCGTAGCACGCCCATAAATAGTTAAAAGGATGTGGTGGGGGGGGGCTGAAAAGCACAAATACAGGCGAATCAGGTCGCCGCCCGCAGAACGGCAAAGTGGAGGCATGTAAAGGCCTGGCTTTACGATGATCACTAGCGGTGTGTAGTCATTTGTGCGCCTCATGCCAATCACAAAGTGGAATTTACTAAAAAGAGCGCCTGTTGGAAGAGGTGAAAAAAGTGGCGAAGAGCTTGGTTTTTGGTGGTTAAATATAATACTCGCCATTCCCTTTGGCCTTCCATCTGCTATCTACTCTTTACGTACGAGAAATCAACACAACTCCTACTCCCTTTCCTGCTTCTCGAAACAAGTATGTCTGGTTACCGAATCTTGTACTTAGGCTCCCTTTCTCCCTAGACGCTATGCAGCTTATACTAGTAACACCCACATCGACAATATCAAACAATACGTTAGCTTACGTATAGTAGTCTGCGTTCTTCGTGGGGACGCATATATCGGCGGCACCATCATTTTCGAGCAGGAGCCTGAATTGGCACCTACCAAGATCTCTTACAATATCACTGGCAACCAGCCCAATGCCGAGCGCGGCCTTCATATCCATACATTTGGTGACAACACCAACGGCTGCACCTCCGCCGGCCCTCATTGTGAGTTTTTCCACCCGGAAATACACTGTGCACTTCTTCTGCAGTGAGTTATTTATCTGACTTTGTTGTTTGGCAGTCAATCCATTTAACAAAACTCACGGTGCTCCCACTGATGTAGCCCGCCACGTTGGCGACATGGGCAATGTCAGAACAGATGGCAATGGTGTCGCCAGTGGGACTATGATAGACCATATGATTCGCCTCATGGGACCACACAGCGTCATTGGCGTCAGTCCCATTACTCCCTTCAGTTTGAACTCGAACGTTGATCGCTAAGACTAATACAGCGCACCGTTGTTATCCATGATGGAACCGACGACCTCGGAAAAGGTGGCCATGAGCAGTCTCTTCAAACAGGCAACGCAGGAGGTCGGCCTGCTTGCGGTTCGTTTATACCCAGCCACTCGCTCCATTGATTTGATTTAAGGTGCTGACTCTCGCTCTAGGCATTATTGGAATTAGCGTGAATTAAGGAGATAAGGTTTTCAAGGGGCCATTCCACGCCGTTTTACTGTGATCGGGGATCTTTATAATGGCATGAAGTGGCCCTTTTGGCGTTTACTCCACACGGAACTGCAATAAAAATGCTACTTTTTGGTCATACTTCCCGTTAATCACTGATCAACAATCCGAGCCTTGAGGGAAACTCCTCGTTTCGGCGCCGCTCACTCGTAGGAGCTAGCACCATGGCTCCCAGGGTTTCTCGCCATGACCTTGGAGATTAACCCAAATCGACGGCTGCTTCTCTACCGTTGTCCAATCTAAGCTAACCTCCTCAAAGCGCTTGAGAAGGTCAGTCTGGAAGCAATAATTTTCAGATACCTTTAGGTTAGTATCTTCTAGTCCTACCCTTCGGTTAGGGCTATATTTCTCCGTAGTACATCACTCGTCGTGTCTTTTATCCGCTCCTAGTAAGAACTGGGTGATAGAACCAGGTCTTGTTCCATGTGCTTTACCTTAACCTTTTATTCATCTTTGGTCTCCACAGGTTCTGGTAGTGAACATAATTTTAATCGACATAATTTTAATCGCCGCTCCTCGTGTGTTCATCCACCATCCAATTTGTCCTCGCGTATAAAACCCAATTGATCGGGCTATGGTTGCTTTGGTGGTAATAAACAGTCACTAAAGATTCGCTTAAGGTCAGGTGAAGAGTACCATCTTGGGCCATAAGTCTGAAGACACCGCCCAATCGGGTAATTCTGCCATATGACCACTCTACATTCAAATATATATATTGCATACAATATGCAATATTATTGCACCAAAATTAGTTACGATATAGATTAATCAATTACAAAATATATGATAAAATCTCAATTGCTAAAACCGAGTATAGTAGCCACGTGCCTTACGAGTCTCGCTTACACGCTGAGGCATCGATCTAATTATACTATCATTTTTATTTTGATCTAGCACATCCCAGGCCTCCGATATACACTCCCTAAATAGCTTCCAATCTGCCTCAGATGTACCACAATGTAGTAGATTAGGATACAGCTCATATAATTTACGTTTGAGCATACGCCACACGGGTTCAATAGGGTTAAGATCTGGTGAGCGTGGCGGCCATTCCATAACATGTATAGCATGACGTTCAAACCATCGCTGAGCAACGTAGGAGCGGTGGATTTTAGCGTTATCTTGCTGAAATATAGTTCCAGGTTCATAGTGCTCAATAAATCCTTCTTCAAGTGCTTTTAGGTAGGATTTTGTTGTATAACCACCTCCGTGACCTCGCTGTCCTTCTGAAAAGTCACGCTCCATAATAACAAGTTTTGTACGCCCTCCAAGCCATATTCCAGCCCAAACCATTTGACAAATATCCTTCACATGAACCTTAACTTGTACCATTCCCTGCCGGTAAGCTTCTCCTCTAAGCCGGGTAATATATTGGCCGTTTAAATTAGGGATACGTTGAACGCTGCATTCGTCGGAAAATATGAAGCTTTGTAGTTGGGAATTGTAGCGTTCGGTCCTCCAATTTCGGCAAAATTGGACTCGTTTGCGGGCGTTCTCCCTCGAAATTGGGATACAACGTCTTGCTCGATAGCGCTGGAGGAATTTTGAACGTAGGAATCGCTTGATTGTTGATCGAGATGGATGACTGGGTATACGGGCGCTCAGCTCACTAAGGCTTAGCCAAGGCTCACGGCGTGCAAGTAAACAGGTATATTTGATAGTTGAATACCTATAGACTTTAGGGGCACCTGAACGAGGCAGTGATTTGAGCGTTTGGTGCTCTCGGAATCGTTTGATTGTAGAGTATATTGTTGAGCGTGCGACGTTGAACTCAGCAGCCATTTTAGTAGGCGATACACCACATTCATGAGCGTATATAATAGCTGCGCGGGCCTCAGATGAAAGCTCACCCCCTGGTCTTCGATTGCCACTTATTTCAGTGCCAAACCGACGCATATTGGTGGTGTAGGGGGTAGTTGAAGAAGATGGGTGGGGGGTGACGCGAAAATCGCGCTAAAAAAATAGCGTGGTGTCTTCAGACTTTTGGACCGCCTTTGTATGTTACAGATAGTGACTCTTTATGGCCTGGGACTGGGGTACACGAAGGAGTCTGGACCTCTCAAAATAGGCAACTGAGGTTGGTAGGTATCCTTATTACGTATCAAAAGCAGGGTTTGTCTTCTTAAAATAGTGGATATTACTAAGAAGTCTAGTTATAGTGCTAAGATATGTTAGTTGGAAACAAACGTATGGCAACATAACGGGTAAAAGGGACCTGTGTCTGACACGTTTAATGTAGTGATTAGCGGGATCTGCCAGGATGAGAAATTGATGTACTGGCTAGTATGTAATCGATCAATCATCTCTTTAAGCTTAGCCCACGCATGTTCAATAGGGTTTAAGTCGGGTGAATAGGGCGGCCAATCCATCGTGTTGATGTCGTTATCACATAACCAATTTTGAGCATTATAAGCTATATGAATAGGAGCATTATCATGCATAAATATCCAATCCTCAATCATAATCTGAGGTAAATCGGTCTGAAGTGCTTCAAGATATGACCATCTTGAGTAGCCATTGCGCTTTGAGTTTGGATCCCGATTCATTTTAAATAAATCAGTGCAACCACCACCAAATATTGCTCCCCAGATCATAATTGAGATATTTTTGGATTTGCGTATGTATCCACATATTCTTTTTTCCATTTTTCGTTGTGGAAGTTAAGGCGAAATACCCATTTATGTCGCTTGCCTTTTCCGATTTCAACAGAACACTCGTCTGACCAGATAATCCTTCGCCAATCTTCTAACGTCCAGTTTTGACGCGCCAAAGCCCAATCTAGACGTAGTTTGGCTACTCTAGTATTCAGATGAGGTCTTCTTTTAGCCTTATAATGCCCATAACCTGATGCTTTAAGCATTCGAAGAAAGGTTTTATTACAAACGTTAAATCCACTTTGATCACGAATATCTTCATAACCAATGAAGGGATCACGCTTAATAATATTAAAAATAGAAACCTTATCATCTTCTGATAATATAGGTGGTCGGCCGGATCGTGCAAGTGTGGTACCTTCAATTCGTGTAGCTTCTTGTTGTAGGGTATACTGAACAGTTGTTTGTGACACATTCAATAGATGCGCAATTTTAGCCTGCGCCGTGCCAATCTTTGACAAACTGATAATTTGACCTCTGAAATATGGAGATAGCTCATGCCCACGCTCCCTATTGGCACTAATAGACCTTAATGGCGTACGTGGAACCATGGTTGAATTTTTTAAAATAGTTGTTATGGGGGAACGCGCTCGCGATCGCGACATTTTAGCATCAAAATACATTGAAAACGCGCTAGTGGGCACTAGCGTGGACGGAGACCTTTGTCCTAGAACTGTACATAGTCCTGGCCCGCAAGCCTATATCGGCCTATTTACATAGGCCACCAGCCTACGTAGCCCGCCAGCCTGCATAGCCCGCCATCCTATATCGGCCAGGCTACATAGTCCTGACTACATGGACCGCTAGCCTATATGGCTGTGGCTACTTACCCAGCCGCCCAAGAATCCCCGGAGTCGTGTGTTCATGTGGGAGTTCACGCTTGTGGTAGAAATCCCCTGGGGGAATTTGCCCTTGAGCATCAAGTTACCCCAAGGTAAGTTGTACCTGAGAAAGTTCGTTCCTGGGTTTCAACGTCGAGGGTATTTACCCCTCAGGATCCTTGACCCTGAGGAATTGTTGCCCTACGGTCATATACTCGGGGCGAGAGTTTATTCCTGCGCTCTGGGGACCTGGTAGCGAGATACTCTCAATGGTATTGTTTGCATGCACGAAGCGAAAAACAGATTTTGTCTATGTTCTAGGCTTCTAGAACTCAAAGCGAGAATCAATGTGATAATAAATAACCAATCATATCGCAAGCCTGATAGATACAAATCCGACCGAATAGGCAATGTGATTTCAAAAACCATAGATTCTATCACTCTATCCTTTCTCCATACGGAGGTCCTTTTCACTTCTTTCAACTGGTGTTGGATAGTAGGGGCACTAGAGGAGTCAGGAAAGTTCAAGCTACGGAGAGTTTGGAGAGACCAGGGGAACATACTAGCAGCATGTTTATCTGAGGTATCATCTCTACAGCCTCTTCTAGATAAGCAGCAGATTCTCCCGCAGGGGATCGATACTCCGACCTCTTTATTATCCCCCTCTCAGTCTCTCTACTCGCTCTCTCGTACGATCCAAACTGTGCCGGAGGTCTGGAGAGAGTGGACATGTGGGTTAGGCGCAAATCCATCTGTCCAGTCATTAGAGAGATCGTATGGTGCGACCTGGCGGCCTTCCTCTCGCGAAAGGGTCATGTTTTGCCGCCGAAAGGCTATCATCGACGAGATCTACGCTAGACATGGTAAGGGCCTATCTCTGGATGCAGCTGTTGAGGAGCTAGAGCTTGTACGATGCAGAGGCAAGCTTTCGCTTTATCAGCTGTCTCAGCTTCTCTCAAAAGCTCGTTAGCCACTCTATAGTCAATTGGTTTTTGATTTTCTGCCAGCAGAATAAGGAGGGGGGGTTGGAATGTAAAAAACAGACCCTTTACAAGGTCAATACAGGAATCTGACCCCCATTCCATGGTTGATGTATTGAGGGCTTGGCGGTTTCGCCATAATAACGCGCGAAATTACGCAGCAAATCTGACCCCATATATCTACTATATTGATGGGGTGGCGGAACACTGGTGGATTATGTTATAAATTGACGGGGCTTTTATGTGGCAGTACTTAAAGAGTAACTCTATAGCCTACCCATGACGGGCAGTCTGCTGAATTGCGGCGTCAGAGGGTTTAGCGATAGGCTGAACCCTGGCTCTGATACTTTATCTGAAATCTTATATGTACCGGAGACGTTATGTGGTTAGCTCACCCAAAGATATAGGACCACAGTTTTGCCACCGCCATGCTACTGCCATTTCAAAGACAAAGAACTCGTTGATTCCAAATTTATGCTGAATTCTTATCTTCCACATTGCCACAATGCAGATCCTAAACCAAATGAGACTCACACGAGGCGCGCCAACAAGCCTGTTGGTAAGTCGCTGCCGCCAAGACAATATGGCCCGCACTACAAGATCACCTATCTTCCTTCAACACGAGTCCAAGGGTCTGGCAACCAACACAAAAGATCATGAAAATGATACAAAAAGGTCATCGAAAGCCGATCCAAACCAGGCAGATTCGAACAGCAAAGGTAAATATAGTGAGCATTGCTCTGCTCTCTTGTTATCATGAACCTTATGCAATTCGGATTGATAGCTGACAGATATAATTGTTTAGAACTGCCCGAGTCGTCCTCCGTAGCTGATGAAACCAAAAGTCATGATGAATACTACAGCCTCAAAATGCACCGTGAAGGACCTAATACTGAGAGTGGCGAATTGGACTCAAAATCCAAATCCAAAGAAGTCAAGGACCATAATAAAGCTATGGGAAACCGGTATGATAAACGCTAAATCTTTTTTGATTCACCACCATGGACCTCTTGGTTTTACTTGTATTATCAGTCCTTGTTTCATGAACATAGCTTGCTTTCCTGCAACACCAGGACGGAGGGCGTCCGCATTCCTAAGGTTAGATCATTTGGACGGTGTCAACTGGTTCTGTGCCTTCGAAGATGCCTAGTGCTCCGAGGCAGTGACTTTGATTATTGCCATCCAGTCTCCAATAGTGACAGTTTGTTCGTATGAGTCTACGATGTCTTGATTTGCTATCCATAATGAGCAATGAGGGCCCATAACCTCTTGTAAAATGTGCGAGTTGGATGTGTTGTCTGGAAATTCTGTGGTTCACGCCCAGTATTATAGGTACAGATCTGACCCCAATTCATGAATAGTGCGTATCAGAGTGACAGACTAATAAGATGTAAACTCGGACCCCTGAGGATTGGATCTCTCGTGTCAGCAGCCGGTGATGTCATCGCGATCATGGCGTTACCACCATGATCAGGCGCCTCTCCTGGGTCTCATTCGTTCTTCCTATCCCACACCTCTGACATGGCAAACACTATTCCAGCGAGGTTGAGATCCACTGACATTGGCCTCCTTGCCATAAGAGCAGCCCAGATCGAGAAGACCAAGCCCGTGATTGCCTACTGGTGTGAGCCTCAGCCCCCCGGCCCCTCCAGCTCCCCTCTCGGAATGTCGCAATGGACAGTTGGAGCTTACTGAATCGCCAATATCGCAGGTAATTTTCACATCGTGAATCAGATCATCGGACGGGGTCTTCATAATTCCAACGATGAAATTAAAATCTACACCACCAGCCTGGTGGATAAGCTGGAGCAGGTTCGCCAAGTCCCCCAACTCGATCCTTTACCTGCTCTTTACGTGACTAACAACCATGCTGTGGAATAGTTCAAAAGGGAGCATTCTGGCGATGAATTGGTGGTGGATAGCGTTGCGGCGAGTGCACTGGTCGAGCGCTTTGGGTTGGAAGTTTTTGCTCGCGCTGAAGCTGCTATAAACGCTAACAAGGTCACGAAGTGAGCTCTCAACTGTCCCCTGTGGCTACTAAGATTCCTCTTTCTCTGATTTGATAGTAGGCAAACCGCAGATACACTCCAGGCGGCGGCTCTATTTCTCGAACTATGTCAAATCTGGGGGGGCTCTAGACCCGGAGATTGTCGGGAGGGTTAAGTTCGGAAAGTATCATGCAGTCCGAATTTTGAAGGCGATCAAGAATGGTGAAGATCCCAATTCGACTAATCCTGTGCCAGAAGAGAAAGAACTAGAATCAATCGCCAGTCAGGAGGTTCAAACATTCGATGGGTCGGTAGCGGAACAGCCCTCTCGACCCAGACAGTCGCCAATCGAGGAAATTCCAGAGAAATCCGACCATCTAAAAGGGCGGGAGCTAGCCCAGCAATTGTCTCTTGATGAGTCGCTTCACCGATCTCGAACTTCATCACTCCAGTGGCCGCCTGCAACCCCGAATTCTGATGTTCCTTCTGTACTCGGCGATACCCCTGATTCCCCTGTGCGAACAAAGGACATCGACAACCCACAACCAGGAGACCTAGAACTTTCCTCAACATCGGGGACAATTGGGTGCTCTTCATCGGCGCCGAACCTACCAGGTATTCCCGGAGCCTCGACCTTTGGTGGAGCCGATGCCTTGCGCTATTCCAATACATTGCACCCCTCCCCACTACCAGCTGCTAGTTCTTCGGTCGGCGTACCGGCCCCAGCTTCGCTCCATAGCCTATCGGGTGCTAGCTTGAATCCTCCGCATCCTGCAACTTTACCGTCCGGACCACCTCCAGTTGTACGTGCACCTGTGGCTCATGTGGCCGCTGCACCATCAAGTCAACCATCACGGTCGGTCGACGACGAGTCTATCGCTCTGGCGCAGAAACATGCTCACTGGGCGCTCTCTGCATTGACGTTCGATGACGTCGACACGGCCATAAAGGAGTTCAAGAACTCTCTCAGGACACCTGGGGGCAGCGTCTTAATATAGCTCTTTTTAAAATGCTCCAACCTTTGTTCACGCATGAATATACTTGCCCCATTGATCTCGGTGACGTTGATATTTGGCTCTAATACCCATACGAGTCGTCATATTGATGAGTCTTTCTCCGGAATTCTCTATCCGTTCACGCCCTGGTCTGCCACATCGGTCGAGGGTCCACTTAGGATTGCGCCTACATCCCATTGATCGTGACATCGATGCCGTGCAATAATCCCATAGGCCTGTATGGGAAATGGGAAATGCATTCGCAATGCTATATGTCCACAGCAACATCGGTATTGTATCGCGGCATCGCCTTCCTACATCAGGATCAACTCCCCGAATGTTTATGTCGATTGAAGTGGAGAATACGTTACTGCCAGCAGCTGGATGATTCAGCGCATACCCGATCTCCTACCTGTTTCGTATAGTAATCGGAGTATTCTCGGCGTAGCAGCCCTGTAACACGCTAAACAACCCCTGGAATATGGCCTTCTGAGCAGTGGCCTGCAGATAGTTCTTCAGACAATCAATAAATCGCTGAATGGTTCAATTGGCCCTCATGAGTACTAGTCGATACCGATATCCGATAATCCGACATTGTATTCTTTAGGAGAAATATGGGTTACGACCCGGTAATTTAGATACAGGTCCAATCCCAAGGCATGAGTAGGGCAAGTCAAGATGACAGAACAGTACCATCAATACAGGCTCCAACGAAAGTCAACCGTGGTTGGCATTTTTGTGGCTGATGCGGGTATGAATTCCACCATTTAGCTATAGGTTGCTTTGCTTCATTCAAGACGATTGATTCTTGTGTAACATGTGCCTTAGTCCGGCCTTTGGTTGTCCAGACCACATTTGGGTGTCGTTAATTTGGGTCCGGGTTAGCAAGCTACTATCGGCTAGTCTAGAACTCAAAGCTGCTGTGCTGTTCCTCACCATCGCCTCTTCTTTCGACCCGCGTCATGCAAAAATCCTCGATACCAGACTGACAGAAAGAGCCACGCATTTCTGACAGTCTGTCAATATTACGTCTAAAAGAATCGGGACTAGCGCATATCGATAATGTGTACAAGCACATTTTGCCAATCCCAGTCCTGCTGAATCTGTAATCTGCAACCACAGCGGAAGCCCACCAATAGTGTGAGCTTTGACAACGGCCCCATTCTATAATAATCACTGACCTTGTTCTAGTGTAAAACCTGAGGACACTGGTTCACCTGCCATTCCATTGGGCCCTCCGCTGTACATCATGAACGCACGTGCACGTCTACGCATCAATAGCCTGAGTAAATTGATGTTTCCAAGACTTCGAAACTCAGAATGAAGTTAACAGGAAGAACCAGTACCACTCGTGCAATGTCCAGGATTTACAGCCTAATGAAAGCAACGAAATTAAAAACGGGTAATGCGAATGTGGAAATCAAAAGACTGTTGATACTGGTCCCCTAGATTATGGAACTGCATGGGGTTTGGAATACCCATGAGAATACCAATGACTCAGGGGTTACTACCTCGAAGGATTTAGAGATAAAGACAATACGTGAAAAGAAAAGAGGGGTACTGAGGGCTGTAGCCAGCCATACTCGTATTTGACGAGCGGTATACTACGAGTCAATTTCGTGACAATATTCATTTTCCTGACACATACTCAATCCCTGTCTCGTAAGGATGGTAATTTGCGGGCTGAAGCAGAATAACGAGGATACCTCTTAACCAACCAGAGTTAAAGAATCGGCATGTATTGCAGTTTCCGTTTCGTGGATTACTCTTCTATCATTCGCGTGAGCAAGCTTGCCGAGTTCGACATTGCTGGTCTTTCAGAAACGGCGGCGTGCTTTTCCTATTACGCAACCGGTGGAAAAAAAAAAACTCTCGTAGGCGCTGGTAGACTGCAATATCAACGCATACCTCCTCAGCTATGGGTGGGTAGACATGACAGCTCGAATAAGACTCCGCACTGAGGTCATCCAAGATGCATCTGCGATAGCAGTCAGAGCATAACATGAGAAGACCATTATTAATTTAACAATCAAGAAATTTAGCGCTATATATTAAATTTTATTATCAGATTTTCCCGGTAATTATGAGAAATTCTCGCCAGTAAGTGATTCGAGATAGGTTCTCCTAGTAGGTTCGTATAGGCCAGGAGCCTATACGAACTACAGGCCGCGCAGACCAACGTGGTTTCTGCAAGTAGCAGATGTAAGTTAAATCGACTGAGCCTCTCTGCCTCTGCCTATGCATTTGCATTTGCATACATACCGGACAATGTCCGGCAATACTTGGTGCCCCTGTCATATTTGAGTATTCACCCTCTTGCCGCTTTTGCTTATAGAGCAGAATTAACCACGACTATAGCCGACCTAAGCGATTAAATTTTTTAAAATTTATTTATTACTCGTGCATTTCAATACAATATGGTATCTAACACTTAGTAATAGCTGGCAAGGAAAGAAAGAAAAGAGCGAAAAAGCATTCCTTTCTCCAAATCCAAAATAACGTCGACTAAATTAGATAGTGATATAACGAAGAAAGAATAGAAAGAAAAGAGAACTGATAGCAGGAAAACAGGAAAACAGGAAAACAAGTGATTTCGCACCGGTATTACATATTTCTAAGGACATTTCAACCGAAGAGACTCCATCATAAGCGATTGCCGTATACATAGGTGGTTAAATTTCTCCAGACTGATGCCCCAGAAAGCTTTTTCGGCTGTTTCATGTGTCGTTTCGGTACAAAGATGCTTTCATGGCCCGTAGCTTATCGAAACCATCTTCATACATTCTCAATTCCGACCAGATCCGTTCACAGTATTTTGTGTCTAAGGAGTTGAAAAGAGAATCTGTCCGGTTGTCTGGGGTATTTTTGATTGGTATAGATGACAGATAATGATCTGGACGTTCTGAAAAACTCTTCTCTGATTCAGAAGTCGGGGAATTTGGTTCGTTGAACGTAAGGCTCTCTGGGAAGGAAAATTTCGCGGTCATATTGACTGGCATTGATTCCAGGTAGCGACCTGACTGCTTTGGCGTATTTCTATCCAATTCAGATGCCATGAAATATGACTCGGCGAATTGAAGGTTCTGTTGTAAAGAGAATCTTGGGGTCATTTGGCTAGTTGGCTTCTGCCGAATAATCTCAGTATCGAAGGCAGTCGATATACACCGAAAATGCGGTCTATTGTCGAAAAGGATATGTAGCTTCTAATTGGCAAAAAGAACCAGAAAGAAAGAAAGGGTTTCTCAATTATCTTTATACTTAATTTTTATATATTCATTGAAAGAAAATGCGGCAGATATCAGACATCGTTCATGGCAGCTATATCCAGCCTATAGTATCGCCGACTCATCCGTGGGCTGCATTGCCACTGCCAAAGATGAAGGAGATACTGAATTGGTTCATTACTAGAGGATAGGTTGGTTGTCAACGTGACGGATAGATTACCCTCCAATCAACTCTCTTATTTGCAAGCCTGAGGCCATGGTTTCGGAAAAGTATGAATTTAGATTAGGAAATGCACACTGTCTAAAGTCGTTGTCTAGAGTCGCATGTTCTCAGTAACATGATACTTGTTTCTTGACCCTAAGTAAATGTTATTTTTCTGACATTTTTAATAAACCAGTCATCAAATTCCCTTCTACATTAGGGATCGCATTCATTAAGAGTTAACTGCCGCAGTTTGAGCGGCGATATTATTGGTCTGGCAGTAAAACCCCGAGAGTCTGGGATTTTTTTCATGCCTTGGAATATTTATCAGTAATATATTGCAGTCTAGTAGACTTGTATCACTACGAATGCCTGGCAATGAAAAATGTCGATTCTTTAATACAGCTAGATATCAATTCGTTGGCGGGGGTCGGTATAAGGCTCTGTGATTACGTCAAGAATGAGTACTATAGCGAGGTCTCCGATGATATAGGCCATCGCCTAGGGCTCCTTCATACTCGTAGACCTGACTACTAGACAGGGTCATGTGTAGGACGGGCCATCCCTTAAACACTAGCTAGTATAGGATGTGCTTTAAATCAGTTAAATCAGTCATGTGAAGAAATCGGTAAATGAGTCTTCGATCTGTGCCTTTGATGTGCAATTTTCTTGGCCTTCTTTTACTTTGAGTACACACAAAAAAGTTATCTATGCCTTGAATGATACATAATATCTCTGTGACTTACAGAGCTAGCAAAAGATCATGAAGTGTGAAAAGAACGACCATATGGATTTGCCGACCGTAAGCGTCATTGATTCGTGGGGGTAGCTCCGCCACCGGATCGTTGATTTGCTGTGATATTCTTGCGACCAATTAAATTTACCGCAGGGCGGGTGTTGATCACCGGTGGATACTTCACCGCTCCGCCGGGCGCGCTGCGCGTCCACGACCGTCAACGAGCAGCAACGATCATTAACGACCCAACCAACCCAACCAACCCAACGCCTCACGTCAACACACCATGACCTTGAATCATGCGCCCTCGTCATCAGTAACCATCAAGCCTCACCAAGCCCACACACTCATCACCACTCCAGCCAACGGACAGAACCCTCACAAGGATGTTGATAACTCTGGATGGCAGCTGCATTCACCGGCAACGAACCACGTTGGCACATACCACGTCAGCAAGCTCAATGACTCCATCTACTATGCTATGTTGTATGAGGTGAGCGCTCAGTATCCAAGCTCAGGGAACGATTGAAGGCTACGTGCATTACGTGAATGGAATAGCGACCATCTACAAGGAGATCGAAGGTATGACAGACAGCCTGCTTGGAGGTACTTGATTTCTATGGATATTTGGAGCAGTCTTAGTTTCTTCGATTTCCCCTGAAGGACTCGGATACTAGTCTCTGACACCACGAAGAGGCGCCTGCTTGTCGCCAGAGGATCAGGACGAGATCCGCGGCGCCATGGGTCTTGCCTGAACGAGCACATTTTTACAACACAGGGCTCATTGGCTGTGAGGGAGAGTTTGTTGACGCAGCCCTCTCCTGCGAAGAACACTTGTGTCACCAACTGACTCCCTCCCAGTTCTCCAACTTTTCGAACGCTTTCCTTTACTCTCCCCCTCGGTGGCGATTATTCGACCATAGAGAAGAACACCTCCATTGTCGAAAGCGTGCGGCAAAAATATTATTCTCCCATCGCCCTGAATCCCTGCTGGCATACGAGGCGGTTCCAACCCGTTCATAATCCCGTCCGATCTCCCTCGGTCGCTTGAAGCGCTTCGCGATTTTCTGCTACCTTCACTGGTAGGACTTTTTCGGCTGCTTCGTGTCTAAATTGATACTGCTTTACTTGTTCAACTTCAACGCAACAGTCTCAATCAGAAACTCAATCAGAAAAGTGCAAGTGACTTGAACGTGTGAGATAACCAGGCTTAACGTGCGATATCATCCAACTCGCCCTTATCTTCCTTGTTCATGGGGCTCTTATGCTTGACACTAGCGCCCTGGTAGATCGGACTTCGTCTGTCGGGGCTCAAGCTCTTCCTCCTGTACAAGTCCTCGTTGGCATCCTTATCAACATTGCTGGTGTGAGGGACCGTAGAGTAAGGATGGGAAATGCTCTCACGATCGGGCTGGACTCTTCCAGTTTGAATAGCACCTTCGTTGGTTACTTGATGCGCCGCAGAAAGAGCCAGATCACCGGAATCAAAGTAATTGCGATTCTTCTGGTTGTCAGTTAGAACTCTTTTCATCAAGTTGCATCACAAATACCTTGGATTGTTCCCCAAGTAGATCTCCATGAGGCCGCTTTTCATATGTGCTGAACTTGTGTTTCTTTCCACATTCAGAGAGTGGCTGGAAAAAGTGGTTAGCACTTCTGCTGAATATCAGACACAGAAAAGTCTTACTACGGAACAAGATTTCTTGCCTCCTGGTTCCATTCTGAGATTTTATTCAAATGTGAGCAAGCACACAACATAATCCGCATCTGATCCAGACTGTCTATATGGATATTTGCCACAGCCAGGTAGACAGAACATGTCAATGACGCAATTGTCAGGATTAGGCTACAGCCTGTCCCGATCGGGATCAGTCATTTCTTTCTTGCCTGATGGAGGAGGCATAACCGCTCGTGGATGGCCCGCTTATTTTACCTAAACCAATCAGCAAGCTTAGACAGTTCATTAGAGATGCCGTCCACTTCAATCGTGCAGAACTCCATACTAGCGCAGATCGTATCATTTCAAGTGGGCAAATGCAGGAGTTGTTGAGATAAAAGTGATCGCATTGTATTCTTGTTGAGTTGTGTATCAAAAGTGGGAACCCCATCTATTTAAACGTCCATCGCTAGTCACGCCATAAGCTTTGACCGCCGCGATACTCAACACACACACACAATTCATTAACGCCCGGCGGCTGAACCGAAAGGGCAGATCTAAAATATACACGTCTTTTCTAATGCTATATCTCCTTGCAGCCCATACAAGATATCTTTCAGTGTATGTCATCTCAGATGTCAATATCTTAGCGGGTCCTTGTGAGTTAGTGTTTAGTTAGTAGACTTGCTTGAAGGCGCTTCTCCAAGTGTTCAACATCCTATCCTCGGCAATTGAAGCGCGTCTACCGTCTCTGGCACAAGGTGGTTGGTGGGGGTTAGGTTGGGGTAGGGTTAATCTGTGTTGGTCGACACGGTTAAGCGGCGTCGAGTCGGCCCGTGGCGATTGCAAACCGTATTGTGGCTCGCACTGCTTCCAAATTCGGCTTCCAGTTCTGGTCATCTAAAGGCGATTTTCCACCCAGGAAAAAGGATATGTTGCCTCGGTGAGTGTAGGTACATTGCAGCATTTCCGTCCGGTGTGCGGTCCACCGCTGACATCGAAAGAGGAAGTGCTCCACGGTCTCTCTGGCTTGTCCACATGCGCATTGATCTGACTCTGCGACGCTGATTCGGTAAAGATATCCGTTGAGACTAGCCATTCCAGTCCGGAGTTGGGCCAGCGCGCTTGCTTCTTTCCACGATAATCGATCCTACAACTGCCGGGTATGTTTTCCTGGGAGTGCTGCATCCACTCGTTTGGAGTGTTTTCCTATTTCTCTGGCAGGCAATTTTTGGGAACTGCTTGGGATCGTGAGATGTTCAGTGTTGTCGACTTCTTCCGGGGGACCTGCGCTTGCGGGGTAGCATCCTCTTGCGTGGCGGCCCGAGCCTGCTCTTTCGCTAGGCCTAGCAGTTGATTACCTTCGCTGGTCGGGACCCAACAGATGCTGATGCGGTTCTCGTGCTTCCGTAATCTCTTGATCAGCTTGTATGTTTGGCAGATGTGTTCCTGGCCCGATTGTTGTCGAGGATTCTTCAGCGTGAGTGCTGCCTCTTTTTTGCTCGTGAGCAGCGTGACCCTACACCGTTTCAGTCCCCGTAGCGTGCCCAGTGCGTCTGCTATTGCTGCCAGCTCCCCAGAGTATGGGTTCTGCTCGGTCCTTGCACCCAGTGTGACAGAGAAAGTTTTCAGCCTCGGTTTTCGATACCGAGGTGGCTGCTTCTCAATCGCCACGCCAAATCCTACCATCTCATTCCGCGCCGAACTGCTGACCGCGATTCGCATAACTCCGCCCGCTTCGGTCTGTGTCTCTGGTATATCATGACTATCGCTCCGCACGCGTTCCTCCCATGGTGCCAATGCGAATGGATTGATAGTTTCCAGTGTCTCCATATCGATGCTTTTCAGCGTTTCTGCGACCTGATACAATGGCGAACGGTGGTATCTTCTGAATTTCTGGATCTGAGCAGTACTCCTGCGGAGGGGATTGGTTGCTGGCAGGGTGTGCATGTCTGTCCACATCTTCGCAGCTCGTCTCCAGAGCCGGTGTTGCACCGTGGCGATGTGAGCCTCCGCCTCCGCTACGCTGGTCGCAACTGTGAGGAATGTCCCGACAATCGCTTGCGCTCCTACCCTCTGCACTCGGTTGATCGGCCCGATAGCCTTGTTTTTGAAAGCGTGCATCCAGACATTGGAGGCATAATCCACCACCGGGGCTACGGTCGCTGTAAAGAGCTGCCGCGCTGTTGCCGGGGATAGGCCCCGAAGCCGCCGAAGCTCCATCGCCGCCTCGCGTCCTTTGAACGCTGCCCTCACGATGTGTTCCTTGTATTTGAGTCTCATATCCATTATGACGCCAAGAATCTTGACATGATCTCCGGGTTCAACGGTTCCGCCGGCCGTCGCCTGTTCCTGGTTGGAAGGGCTCGGGAGGCCCCGCGGATGGGTGCCGCTAGCGCCCGCTCGGCACACACACGTCTTCTTTCCCGGTGCCCCACTCATACCGCGCTAGACCGCATTAGGCCAATGAGTGCCCCGCCATCTTTTCTTCACGTATTCCTGGTGATTCACCAAATATAGCGTAATGGCAAGTTCCGGCATTGGTATTGGTAAGTGGTAAACCGTAACTAATGATTCCCTGGGCAAATGAACTTGAATTCCAGGACAAGCGCTTTATTTAAAGTACTGTACTCAACATGAAATTCTTGCACACTCCTACCCCGCGATTACCCACTCTCGACATGGATTTCTCTCAACACAATAGCTCTATCAACAGATTCATCGCCGTAGGTGTAGATTACAACCTAGGAGTCGTAATCATGAGAGTACATTCAAGGATCGTTTCGCAGCCCTTTCTAGACCTCCACTTTATAGCGCTGTTCGGCCGTCCATCAATAATATTTGAGATCTAAAGCTTGTTGTCTGGCCTCACCCAGACTACTCACGCTTCGGATAGACATCAATAGCTCTTGGAGCTCCTCCTCGCTGCAGTTCTGTATCTTTTCAACTAGAGAACATACAGCACGGCGGTATTTCTGCGCTTCACGCTGTTGATATTGGGGTTCATCGCCGGGTGATTGGTCCTTGCCGGTCAAGGTCGATCTATCTTCAATATTATTAAAGTCAGATAAATTTGACCAAGGAGTGGTGTTGCGTATGTCAGCAATACCTGGTGGTTGAGTCATTAGATGAAATTGTGGTTAAGTCGTGTATGAGCATATGCCACCTTGTAATTTGAGAGAGAGGCAGCGGAAAAGAAGAAAGTGTAAGAGAGCATAATCTTAATCCGCATGATCTCCTTCCATTTCTTTTTGCACGTTTCAGATTACTACTCATGGCAATATACGGTAATTTACAGTAATTTGTTAAGCGTGAGAGCGATGCGATGTATGCCGCATATACAGTACAGAGAGTTTGAACAAGTATGATTAGCCCTTGCAGGGACCTGTCATTACGGTAACTTTTGCGGTCTACCAGATGTACAAGTAGAAATAGTTGTGGGACAATTCCATCTGAGTTTGGGCTATAGCTATATAAGTGGGGCTCTGGGAAAGAAAGTATCAGAACAAGCTAAAGGTGTATGGAATAGTATGCATTCAGGGCGAATGAGATCAAGCGGAATCAATTTAGAATAAAAAGGATCGATTGATTAGAAAGACGGACATGCGATCGAGGGCAGGTTGAAATACCCCATGTACGTGCAAATACTCGGTAGTTACTACACCGAGGTTGTGGGCTGAACCAATTTACCATACAAAACACAAAGAAATACGGGTTCCTGGGTAACCAATCGCTTGCTAGTGGTAAGTTACCACAGCATACGCTGACAAATAACCACCGAGTATACGCACATACGGGGGGTATTTTAACCTGCCCTCGATCGCAGGCTTATTTCGATTCAATCAATCAATCATTTTGTCCTGAATTGGTTCCGCTTGGTCTTATTCGTCCTGAATGCATACTAGTCCATACGCTTTAAGCAAGTGCTGATAGAAATCTATCAAATGGTCATTCACGCATTTGGCGCCTTAAATCTCGTTGTTATTTGTCCACGTAGTAAATCTAATGTTATATCTCGCCCGACCATCGGTCTAGCCCTGAAAGGCTTGACAAATAAGATCTAATGTTTTACCTCTGCTGAAATAAAATGAACAACGTGACTGTATAATTTAAGGGGAATGAAGTGTATTGCTATTTGTAATGACGCCGTATACGCGAGGCTTCATTGACGGCCACTGCTCCTAGAGTGCCGGCACCTAAAGTACAGGCAAAATGTCCCAAGCCATGGCTCACTTCCTCGCCTTCTCTTTTGCGATGTTCATGGACCATTCCTGCTACCAAAATTCCCGCTATGGCACCCTCAGCTAGGTACCGGACATGGTGATCATCTTGATGATGATTATCACGATTATGATCAGGGTAGTGATGATCGTTGCGATGACCGTGACCCTAATGTTTATCCCTCTCGTGGCTTTTATGACCAGGAACAAGGCCATGACGGTAGTAATGAGGTTCTTCACGAATCACTTCCTTAGGTACCTGTTCCCGTCATGAGGAGTTATTAGAGCATTTAGGGTGGGTAGTCGAAGCTCGCCCTTGGTGAGACCATTTGCGAGTGCTAATTCGCCACAATTGAAGGGAATGTGTACAAACAATTACGAACGCAGGAGGCTGCTTTAATATCTCACGCGGGTGACTACTCTTTGTGGTCGCATAGTTGATTAGCTCACTTTCGTGATGTCACTGTCTTCGAGGTTGTCCCCTGTATCCACCCCTTAAATCTAGGATATAGGTCAGGAATTTCCCACGCCAAGGAGAATTTATAGCTGGGATTCTCCTGTCATTCGGTAACTTACGATCAGGTGGAAATCCATGAAACGATCGTCCAGTGGTCTGTTTATACTTTCTAGCTGTCGGCAGGCCTCACAGTACTCCAGCAAGCAGCTTATATTTAGAGCAAGCTAAATCGGGCAAATGCATTCATCGTCATCTTCAGTAGCATTTTACCAATCTTGTTTTCGCGGTCTACGTGTTCGCTACTTCAAGTAAAATTCCAAAAGACTTGGAAGACCAAAATGAGCTGTTAATTTTTTCTTCAATTTCCATTTTTATTCGTGAGATAAGGCTATGCACTCGGCCAGATTAGGTATGACGAGCATCAACCTTCGTCCCAACGACCCAACAGAATCCAGCATCAATGAAGAGAACCAACATATCATTTCCTCATGAGACCGAGGGCTTAATAATGCATGTCATTATAACTATGGTCTTACAGCTCGATAACCTGGACTGGATAAACTTATTTTCTCCATAAAGTGCCTTCAACATCTTGTGTTTTTGTTTGACAGCTCTCAAGGCTACTAATTTTCCAGTAACTTGCAGTCCGAAGTACCACCATTACGATGTCAGGCACCGTGTTAAATGGCAAGAAGCTGCACATCAGCGAGCAGCCTTTCACATTGCACAATTGGCATCGCCATGTCAAATGGGTCAATACTACTCTAATCCTGATCGTTCCATTTTTCGGTTTTGTCGCTGCATTTTACACTCAACTGCGTCTCCCAACGGCTATTTGGGCTGTTATATCTTACTTTTGGACTGGTTTGGGTATTACTGCCGGCTATCACCGTCTATGGGCACATCGATCATATGAGGCGTAAGCTTTCGTTGCATCTATCTTTACCTTCTCATCAGTGGTCACAGTCTAGGCAGTATTGACCAAACTTTCGTTCTTCTAGTTCCTTGCCATTAAGAATGTTTCTTGCCTGCGTCAGCGGTGGTGCCGTCCAAGGCTCCATTCGGTGGTGGAGTAGCAAGCATCGAGCACATCATCGATGGACCGATACCGTTAAAGACCCATACAGTGTACGAAAGGGCGTTTGGTATTCCCACTTCATGTGGATGGTGCTGAATCAGAACCCGAAAGATCGTGGTCGGACGGATATCTCTGACTTGAACCAAGACCCCATCGTCGTGTGGCAGCATAAGTACTATGGTGGATTAATTCTCGTTTTCGGGATGCTTTTCCCAATGGTGGTCGCTGGGCTAGGCTGGGATGATTGGAAAGGCGGCCTGGTCTACGCTGGTATCTTGAGGCTATTTTTCCTCCAGCAGGCGACCTTCTGTGTCAATTCTCTTGCTCATTGGCTGGGGGATCAGGTACAGTCATCGCGATCCATATCCTCTTCATCACCATTGACGATTATCAAGCCATTTGATGATAGGAACTCTCCTCGTGATCATGTCATCACTGCCCTTGTCACACTTGGCGAAGGCTATCATAACTTTCACCATGAGGTAAGCAATCTTCATGTCCAATTCTCTATCTCGTTGTTAACTCGAAGACAGTTCCCTTCAGACTACCGCAACGCCATTGAGTGGTGGCAATACGATCCAACCAAATGGTCAATCTGGATATGGAAACAGATTGGCCTGGCCTCCAACCTCAAGAGTTTCCGCGCCAACGAGATCGAAAAAGGTCGCATTCAGCAACTGCAAAAGAAAATTGACCAAATGCGAGTCAAGATCGATTGGGGTATTCCCTTGGAGCATTTACCTGTCTTTTCCTGGGACGATTTCGTTTCCAGCTGTCGGGCTGGCAATGCCCTTATTGTTATCGCCGGTGTGATCTATGACGTGACGGATTTTATCAAGGAACACCCCGGTGGGAAAGCGCTACTTAGTTCGGGAATCGGGAAAGACGCCACCGCAATTTTTAACGGCGGTATCTATAAGCACTCCAATGCGGCACACAACCTTCTCTCTACCATGAGGGCTGGTACAAAGGCGGTCCAAAAGTCTGAAGACACCACGCTATTTTTTTAGCGCGATTTTCGCGTCACCCCCCACCCATCTTCTTCAACTACCCCCTACACCACCAATATGCGTCGGTTTGGCACTGAAATAAGTGGCAATCGAAGACCAGGGGGTGAGCTTTCATCTGAGGCCCGCGCAGCTATTATATACGCTCATGAATGTGGTGTATCGCCTACTAAAATGGCTGCTGAGTTCAACGTCGCACGCTCAACAATATACTCTACAATCAAACGATTCCGAGAGCACCAAACGCTCAAATCACTGCCTCGTTCAGGTGCCCCTAAAGTCTATAGGTATTCAACTATCAAATATACCTGTTTACTTGCACGCCGTGAGCCTTGGCTAAGCCTTAGTGAGCTGAGCGCCCGTATACCCAGTCATCCATCTCGATCAACAATCAAGCGATTCCTACGTTCAAAATTCCTCCAGCGCTATCGAGCAAGACGTTGTATCCCAATTTCGAGGGAGAACGCCCGCAAACGAGTCCAATTTTGCCGAAATTGGAGGACCGAACGCTACAATTCCCAACTACAAAGCTTCATATTTTCCGACGAATGCAGCGTTCAACGTATCCCTAATTTAAACGGCCAATATATTACCCGGCTTAGAGGAGAAGCTTACCGGCAGGGAATGGTACAAGTTAAGGTTCATGTGAAGGATATTTGTCAAATGGTTTGGGCTGGAATATGGCTTGGAGGGCGTACAAAACTTGTTATTATGGAGCGTGACTTTTCAGAAGGACAGCGAGGTCACGGAGGTGGTTATACAACAAAATCCTACCTAAAAGCACTTGAAGAAGGATTTATTGAGCACTATGAACCTGGAACTATATTTCAGCAAGATAACGCTAAAATCCACCGCTCCTACGTTGCTCAGCGATGGTTTGAACGTCATGCTATACATGTTATGGAATGGCCGCCACGCTCACCAGATCTTAACCCTATTGAACCCGTGTGGCGTATGCTCAAACGTAAATTATATGAGCTGTATCCTAATCTACTACATTGTGGTACATCTGAGGCAGATTGGAAGCTATTTAGGGAGTGTATATCGGAGGCCTGGGATGTGCTAGATCAAAATAAAAATGATAGTATAATTAGATCGATGCCTCAGCGTGTAAGCGAGACTCGTAAGGCACGTGGCTACTATACTCGGTTTTAGCAATTGAGATTGTATCATATATTTTGTAATTGATTAATCTATATCGTAACTAATTTTGGTGCAATAATATTGCATATTGTATGCAATATATATATTTGAATGTAGAGTGGTCATATGGCAGAATTACCCGATTGGGCGGTGTCTTCAGACTTATGGCCCAAGATGGTATTATTCGAGGTGGTAGTGAGGTTGAGATTTGGCGAGAGAAAAATCGCGAAAAGCTGGCTGCCCTCGGCTCATCTTAAGTTTTATGTATCTTCTCGGTGCGAAACTACTGGACAATCCACTCATCCGAGTGCTAGGAAACTTTCAGCCTACACCGATGCTCGAGTAGCTCTGTTGTCATACGAGGCTGGTGCAGATCAGGAACCAAGCCGAACATCGGAATTAATCCCGAGATATCTATACAAGAAACCAATTTGATTGGAAATCAACTTGTTTGTTACACCAACCGTACAGTGAGGTATAGGAAATGCGGAGGAGGTGCCTATCCACCACCGGGGCCGCCTGTTGATACATCACCTCGCTTACCTGCTTGCATACGCACAGAGGATCCCCTCAAAAGGAGGAGCCGGATCCTCTTAGAAGGACCAGCGATTAGTCTGAATATCATCATACCCATATCAGGCATATCTCACACTCTTCACTCGTATCCTTATCGTATCAGGACGCCCTCCGGGGATTGTCCTAACACACACACACACACACACAATTCATTAACGCCCGGCGGCTGAGCCGAAAGGGCAACTATCACTAATCTACCAGTACATGCATGTTTGGGTATACCCCGTGTCTCCTTGGAGCCCATACAGTATTTCCTTCCGTATTTGTCGTTTCAGTTTCCAATCTCATAGCTGGTCCCTGTGGGTAAGTATTGGTTAGTAGACTTGCTTGAAGGCGCTTCTCCAAGTGTTCAACATCCTATCCTCGGCAATTGAAGCGCGTCTACCGTCTGTCACAAGGTCTTGGGGGTTAGTAAGAAGAGGTATTCTATCCATTTGTCGGCAAGCCTAGGTGGCCTCGAGTCGGCCCGTAGCGATCGCAAATCGTATTGAGGCTCGCACGGCTTCCAAATTCGGCTTCCACTTTTGATCATCGGAGGGTGATTTCCCTCCCAAGAAGAAGGACATGTTACTTCGGTGAGTGTGGGTACATTGCAGCATTTCTGTCCAGTGTGCGGTCCATTTCCGACATCGAAAGAGAAAGTGGTCCACAGTTTCTCTTGCTTGTCCACATGCGTATTGATCGGTCTCGGCGGCATTGATCCGAAAGAGATATCCATTGAGTCTTGCCATGCCCGTGCGGAGCTGGGCCAACACGCTCGGGTATTTATAGCATTTCAGCCAAGCATTCAGCTTACGTCAATGGGATAAATTTTTGAATTGTGAGGGCTCAAACAAAAAGTACTCTTCAATGATAACTGGCTCAACATTCCATCATTGATTCAAAGCAGCTCTCAGAGACATTGCATTTTGTTCCCGGTGATCCGAAACATGAAAACATTTTCTGGCTGTTCGCATGTTGTCAACAGTCGTGAGGATGACGCAGAAAAGGACCGACGGCGGTTCTCACCATTCATCAATGTGAGCCCGCCCTTTAATGCGAAAGGTAAGGTGACGAGGTGACTCCTTTATATTTCACTCACCAGTGATGAACCCGTACTCCACGCAATAGACACCTTCTTAAATACAGGTAGACACCATGCCATATTGTGACTCTAGATCTCTACCAGCCGTACCACAGGATTCTTCGTTGCCTACCTCGTATATCGAAGAAAATCCATCACCCCTACACAATATCAAGTAGGTACAGTATATAGTACGGCGCGGGACCAATTCACACAGCCCCGTCTCATAGCCAAGTCCCTTATATAGGGAGTGAACTATTAGATCGCTTATTCTTTTGTGGAAGAGCCGTCAGTCATCATCCTTGTCTTTGCAGCGGTGAATAAAAATAAGAGACTGATTTTGCATCTGTGATGAACCTAGGTAGAGCATATTGTAAGTGGTACAGTAACATCAAAGGACGATGACAATAGATCGTTTTTAGCTAGTTTAGGCCAAGGCCTAGGGTCACTTAGAAAGAGACTTATTCCAAGAGGGTTAGGCTCATGGGAAAATCCTTTCAAGAGGAAATCAGTCACAGGACGGCCTACTGAAGAGCACAGGCGATTCAGTACGGTACACGTCATGTGAGCTGGCTCTCCGTACTAATTCCCTCTCAGTCCAATCATCCTAGGCCTAGATCAGTCTTGAGATAGCCTAGAGAACCACGCTGGCCCAGTAGGTATTTTTTCTATTCGCGTATCAGCTGTGCAGAAGAAGTGGATCCCTGCAAGTTTGATAAAAAGTTTGTACATAACAGGGCCAAGCTGTACAATAACTTGTATTTGCCTGCTATAGTGTACAATGGGATGGGGGAAATCTACTCTGCTGCGATGTGGTAGATATCAAGGCTGAACGAACGCGTGTGCGGTTTGGCTAGCACGTAACCAAAGGCGCATCCGTAACTTGGTGTTTGCATCATCCGGGGATAGAGCATTCTTCGACCGAATAATGCGCTCATCATCGGTGAGCAGAATAACATGGCATAACCACTTGCCGCCCCTCCTGTCACGATGACATGTATACCCATGTTGATGAATGTTGAACGTGTCGTCGGCGCTTTTCTGCGGTATCGCCGTGCGTGTTGAAAAAAGAAAAACAGTGAGGGAGGCTTTTTATATACTCAATAATCAACAGAATGCACAAAAACCCGTGATGTAGTCGAATACTGCTTCAATCAAAGGTTAAACGTTAAGTCAACTGCAATTTGAGGGCCAGCGGTGTTGAGACCCTCACAATTAGGCAGCAATCATGACATCAGCACAAATGTAGGATCTACGTACAATGCTATAAGTACCTGGGCTTTCGCCAGCAGAACGGTTGTTCTCATCCTGCAAAGAATACCGAGCACTTCTCGACTTTGCCAGCTGCCTCCGGTATGGAATGACCCGAACCCAAACCGTGATACCCTTGTGATCGAGCTGACCCATTGTATCCTTCTAGTCTGCCTACGCTCAACATTGAAATCCGTAATCGGCAGGTAGGTTTGATTACCCGATAATTCGACGCCATGCTAACGTGGAGAATCTATCATACCAGTTCTCACCTTGGAGTTTAATCCAAGGAACTGGAATGGTCTCAATAATACATTCAGATTGCGAAGTCTGTTAGTTATAAGAGCCTATAAGCTACCTACTGATAGCTTATCATAGATCAAAACCATTCACTACCAGTTTTCTCAACCAAACTCAAATGCCGCATACAGCAGTAGCTGTCAAAGTAAGTTTCAATCATTATGGCAGTTTTGAGAGTAGTTAGCCTGTGCTGACATCTCTCTGTACATATAGGAAGTCGACTGTTTTAACATGAGCCAGCCCATGTATTGCAAGTTGCCCCATACCTCGCAACTGCCTATTCCCAGCGCCTGAGACTAAATTTTGATTCTCAGTACATAATATGTCTATACACTTTTAACATCTTCTATGTCACTTGTATCGCTTTCTTTGTTTTTTTTCTGGGGTAGCTTGGCTTTTTTGTAGGAGACTGTTAGGGATCCTTTGTCAATTAAAGAAGCTCATCAGAGATAAGAGACCTGCTGCTGACGGCCTTCTTTCCTGAATATCCTTAAATAATATCTGCTATGTTACAAGGATAGCATTCTTGGCCTCTGGGTCCCTACGAAGCTGGCCCCTTTTATAATTAAGAAGGGTGATTTCTGCTTATCGCTTTTCTGAAACCTTTTCAGATATTGCGTGACTGACTCTCGTGATGCTCTTTGCTTGATAAAGGCCGCCGCCTGCACAATCGCGAGCGGTATAAATTCTAGAGCTGCAGCTAACTGAGCAATTGCGGAGCGGTCAGATTGCGCGCCGACCTTCATCTCAAAGAGCGAGATCGCGTGGGGTTCGTTCATTGGCTCCACCGGAATGATGTTATAATCTTCCACGGTTCTCAAAGCCACTTATCTACTCCGACTTGTCATCAAAATACAGCCCATCGAGTCCTGACAGAGATAATACGATATAGACCGTTGATACACCACGCTCTGATCATCTTCGATGCTGGACTGTGTTAAGGGCATTGCATGGAAGAAATTATCGTCGTCAAGATTATCCAGGACGAGAATCCACTTTCCAGTCTTCACATCGTTCAGCCAACCATGGAGTAGTTTGAGAATGGTTACCTTGGGATCCTGCCGACCTGGTATGTTGGCTCGGTCAACAATCTCCCGGCAACTCTGCTCAAAGCACGTTGCATTGCTCGCATGAATCCAGAAAACCCATGTATCAGGCGATCGATCTCGAACTCGATGCCCTGGCAGTCTAGGAGCTTTGGCAATGAATTCACAGGTCCCTGGCTTCGCTGATCCTCGGTCTCACCTGGACCCCAGAAAGCCAGTCTAGACCCAGACGTTGCTGTCTTTACATTTCTGCGAATGAGACAGCTTGGAAATATGCATCCGATCACCAGCCACAGCAGTGGAGGGGGGGGTATAGATCTGAAGCCTGACCTGTGATTGGTGGGCCCATACGCCGACGGGGGCCTATGACGTATGAATACGCTTGGCCAAGCCACTTCGGGCCTAGCGGTGCATGCCGACCCAGGTTTCGCGTAGACGCTTCCTCCATCAGAACCTGGAAGTCTGGTCCTGCCCGGTTTTCACTTCTTCCTCATCCCCTGGTGCGACTCTGTGCTCATCACCCAGCATTTTTCAGCCACAACTGGATCCTAATTTCCTCCTCCAATCCTGTCTAACCGTGCCACACTGACCCTCCTGGAGATCTGATTGTCGCTTGACTCTCCGCCAATCACACCCCACAGCCCCCGTCGCAAGGCGGCAAACGTCAACTTTCTCTTCACATGATCGATCTTTTCCTCTCTCCACGCATTCCCGATATGGACCAGCAGCCCTAGATCAGCATGACGTATCTCTGCCCACCTACCAGGGTGATCCACAGCTCGTTCTTCTATCTTTCAACTGGAAACGCTACCGCAACTGGTTCTCACATTCCCTAGCGACGACAAGTGAGAAGCCATGAACAGTCCACCTCCGTCGATGCCAGACGACCATGTCGCTGGTCGTCGAGCCCGTGAAGTGTATCGCTATTTTCGCCCTGAAAAACGACTCAGCGCGATTCTTGAGAAGGAGACCAGCAGCAGTGAAGATAACACCACTTCTGATGGGCTCAGATCCTCGACTTCCTCGTCAAACCAAGAGCAATCACCCGCGACGCCTCCGTCTTCTGCTCCTTCGCAGACAGAACTCGTTTCACCACCGAACTCCATACAGGCTATGCCCGAGTCTCTGATCCTTGGTAACACCAATTCTACCCTCAACTCCTTTGCGCAGCTAGCTGCGTTGCGACTGGACGTGGACCGCGCTTTCATCAGCTTTTCAGATCGGGATTCGCAATTCATTATTGCCCAGTCTGCACAAACCACCGACAGCACTAACAAATATAATGGACTCAGCGGAGGTATCTACACGGGCTGCTCAACTCTTGATGTGAGCACATAGAACATATGCCAAGACACCATTGCGTTGCCAGCCTCTCACTGTGAAAAAGGTGACTATGAATTTATCATATCCAACGACATGGCACAGGACGACAGATATCAACACTTACCTCTTGTTCAGAAGAAGCCTGCTTTTCGATTTTTCGCCGGAACGCCTCTAACAACCGACAGCGGTATCAATGTTGGCTGCTTCTTTGTGCTTGATACGAAGCCTCACGTTGCGTTCTCTGAGAAGGACAAAATTACGATGGGTCAGATGGGCATACTAATCATGGACTTTTTGAAAGTCAGTCGTCAAGCCTCGGAAGGGAGGCACGCTTCTCGATTAACACAAGGAATGAATCACTTCGTAGAGGGTCGATCGAGCTTCCAAATTGATTTTGACACAATCAAATTACTCAATCGAGAATCAAGCACTTCATCCGGGAGCAGAAGACGGTTACATCGCCGCAATACCGGCAGTGTTTCCTCTCGTTTCTCTCGATCGAGTAGCGCTAGCGCTCATTCTGCCAATTCAGACTCCGATGCAGAGGTTCCATTCCTTGCTTCCAGCTACCATTCGTCGCATTCTGCCAGCTGGTCAGCGGAAGACAAGGCAAATGACGAAATGAACCCCGAAAAGGACACCACATGGACTTTCCGGCGTGCGGCCAACCTCATTCGTGAAAGTTTAGAGCTTGGTGAGAACAGTGGCGTCGCTTTCCTGGAGGCCGGCAACAATTTCCTACCTCATCGCACGAGCGACAGCGAATCATCCAGCTCACCTGAAAATGAGACCATAGCTTCCATTCTCAGCATATCTACGGCTGAAACCCCATACGGTACAGCTCAAGAGTCGTCTGTTCCATATCCCGTTGCGAACATGAGCGAAGACTTCTTGCATCGGCTTCTCCGGAGGCATCGTCGAGGAAAGATCTTTTCTCTTCATCGTGACGGTCAGCTTTCAAGCTCTGACAGTGAAGACAATTCAAAGAGCACCGATCCATTTGGGCGAAGAGATTCTATCAAACCAAAGAATTACAAAGCTATAAAAGCGAAAGACAATAAGCTGCTCAACTTGTATTTTCCAAGTGCCTCTCAGGTCATGTTCGTGCCACTGTTGAGCGCTGCTTACTCCCAGTGGTATGGTGGCTGTTTCTGCTGGAACAATGTTGAAAGTAATGTGTTTGACCCTTCGGTCGAGCTCAGCACCGTGGTGAGCTTCGGGTCGTCTATCATGGCTGAATGCAGTCGAATCGAGTCTCTAATCTCTGACCGCCAAAAGGCCGACTTTTTGGGCAGTATTTCGTAAGTCTTGGCCCGATGCACCTGCTCATCCTGTTGGTTACTAAATGAAATACCCAGGCACGAATTGCGAAGTCCTCTCCATGGAATCATGGCGGCGACAGAAATATTGCAAACGACTACACTCAACCAATACCAAGGGTCACTCATGGAAACTGTGACTGCCTGTGGGCGAACCTTGCTTGATACTATGAATCAGGTTCTGGACTACAGCAAAGTACTGTCGTTGCGAAAGCGCCTGCGAAACACCGAAAAGGGTCGGGTCTCATCGTCCGAGCTCAAAAAGCTACATCGGTCGGCTGCACATCTGGACACCTACATCCCCACAGACATCTCCGTTCTGGCGGAGGAAGTCATAGATGGAGTTTGTGTGGGTCATTTCCACAGCCGCAAACCTGCGTCGGCGCGGTCTCTACAGTCTAGCGATGAGACCAACGATGCGTCTTCAGAAACAAGCCTTTCGCAGTCCAATATCGACGTGAAAATCGACATCGCGCCGAACAATTGGATCTATCAAGTGCCACCCGGAGCAATCCGACGCATCATCATGAACATTTTCAGCAATGCAATGAAATACACCGAAGCAGGTTCCGTATCCTTGAAGTTGGACATTGAGCCTTCTCGAAATGTTACCCAAGAGGACACGATCACCTTGACTGTGGCAGACACAGGCAAAGGCATCTCGGAGGAGTTTATACGCTCCAAGTTATTCGTGCCTTTTGCTCAGGAGGATTCACTAGCTACCGGTTCTGGTCTCGGCCTTTCGATTGTGCGCAGTCTGCTCAAACCATTTGGAGGAACTTTCAATATCCAGAGCCAAGTCGGCCATGGTACCACAGTGAAGGTGATGATACCGCTTGTCCACTCGGACCAAGAAATTGAGACTTTGGAATTCAGATCTCGCTCTACACAAGACATTACCGACCCCTCTACTGATCTACGTCTTTTGCGTCAGTCTCACGCTGGGAAATCAGTAGCCATCATCGACAACAATCTTCAAGATTTGTCCAGCTCGCCCTCGTCGGCGTCTCTCGGGCGTTATCTGACGGCGTGGTACAGGCTCAAGATAGTGTCACCTTCTTCGGACACTGCTATCGATATTTTGCTCTTTGATGGTGCCTCAGTGGCAAATGGCAAAGTTAACGAAGCGCTTTCTGATTGTGAGTCTGCTCTTCTCCTCTTGAGCAACGATTATTTGGCCCGTGACTCACTCCACTCAGTATCATCATGCGGTGCCCGACATGTGGATGTCATTCCACGTCCATATAGTCCTCATAAACTCGCGCGCTTTATTCAAAGATGTCTAGACCACAGACCCAACAAACCGGCACTGAAAAGTTTCTCATTCCCCAAGCCATCAGCCGAATCGACCGAAGACGAAGGCCCAGGGCCTTCCTGCGCAAATTCAAGCGACCAAGCGGAGGCTGCCGTTCAAGAGACTGAAAAACTTTCTATGGTCATCCCACATAGATCAAAGGACACGTCAAGAGAAGCCTCTGAGGAAGCCTCTGAGGAACGCGAGTCAACAAGTGATCAACGGGCCGCCAGAATTCTGGTCGTCGAGGACAATAAGATCAATCTAAACTTGATGCTCACATACTTGAAAAAGCGCGAGCTCGCCAGTCTAGACTCGGCGGAGAACGGCAGTGAAGCTCTTGATGCCGTGAAGGGTGCTGAGGACGGCTACGACATAATTTTCATGGGTACGTAACGCTTCATCAAGTATATATCTTGGTTTTACCACAAGCTAATCATTCATCAGACATCTCAATGCCTGTCATGAACGGCTTCGAAGCTACCAGAGCGATTCGCTCCTTTGAAAGGGGGCGCAGCAAGAGCAACAAGCCTTGCAAAATCATTGCCTTGACAGGGCTGAGCAGTACTCTCGACGAAGCGGAGGCCCTCAATTCAGGCATGGACTTGTTCCTGACAAAGCCTGTTGCTTTCAAAGAAGTCAAGAAGATCCTAGAACGCTGGAACGAGACGAAACTTGGAGGTGAAGGAGGCTTGAAACCTCTTGGTGACTCTGCATAATCTTCGACAATTGGCGTTCGGCTCATGTATTACGATTATACTCATGATCACATTCGCATTCATGTCTCATATTATCAGTCTGTATATAAACCTCCATATGTTCACAACCGCCTCTCAGGAAGAGGCATAATATTCTTGTGCACACATTGTACAAATACAATCCAACACGATACATAACCTATCACGACTAATATTCCACGTCCATGGCCCTCTAATTTGAAGGACTTCAGACTTTTATACACACATGTTTTTATTGTCAGGACCACCATTAACAGTCCCCTCCTTTAATTCCCTCATCCGCCGAATCGACGCTCGAACAGGGTCTGACCCAAAGGCAACCGTCAGATTCTGCAGCAAATCCACATAATCAATAGCCGTGAGCTTCGGAAGCTTTAACGAAGCTCAGCCTGAAAAGGATTCTTTGACTAGGATTTTGGTTGCGGATTTAGCTTTGTAAGCCGATTGGGGAAAGCTCTATAGCTAAAAGAGAGCTGAAAAAAAGAGACGAGCTTGCGAGAAAGGGTCTTCCAATTCCAAGCTGGGATGGCGTTGCTGAATTCGGTTTTCAGTAACGTTCGCGAACTAAATCTGCAAAAGCGATTGCATATAACTAGTAGCTCGTCATCTCTCACGCAGTCAAGTCTCGATTTTGTCCCTCCCACCCCCGCTGTATATAGAAACCAGCATTACAATATACAGACACATTGCCTCCCTACAAGGGAGCGCAGGCGGGCCTTCTCTGACGCTACAGTCTAATGCGTTTACGCATAAGACCGCAGCGACAGGTGACCCGTCACGGCCAAACTATACACGTTCCTGTTCCCATCTTGATTGCGAGAGGTCACCAATAAATAATCATTAATATTGATCATTCGGTTGACTCCATTCGATGGCTAGTTTACTAGCTGTTGGGACAAAATGTCGGAACAGAAATGCACGTCCAATCAGGTCCATGGGTAGTTGTCTGAATTGTTATGCCCGTATCCATACAAACTTGTATGGGTGTGAACATGACTAACCTCAGCTAGTCTATAAACAGCAAACTAATACACATCCTTACAATAGCCCCCTCAAGGCGGACAGGCTCTTATCACTCGAATCACCGACGTAGTCGGCCAGCTGTTGGATATGGGGGCCAAGGTCAACCTGCAGCCACCAACTGATGAAGACCGCGAGAATACTACACGAACCCATACCCTCGCACGCGAAGCAACGGAAGAGAGCTGCGAAGTTAACTCCCCACCCTGGGCGCAAGTCCAGCTCCGGGCGTCAGCGTTGCGATGGGCTCGGGCGATTGCGAAACAACACCAGAAGGACAACTTCCATCTGTGGACCACTGGCCAGTTTACACGCCAGCTGGATTCGGCGCTCCCAGGACCCAACACAAAGATGCTGTATGATGGTCTGGATCGGGAGAAAGCATCGATACTAGCTCAACTCCGCACGGGACATGCCAGGCTGAAGTGATATCTTTATCGAATCGGCGTAGACGAAAGTGATTGGTGCGAATGTGGAATTGAGCGTGAAACAGTCCCGCATTTCTTGCTTCGATGCACACAGTGGAATGAACAACGTCGTGCGCTGAGTGAAGACGCAGGTCCAAGCTTCGGTAGTCTGTCGCAGATGCTAGGAGGTAAACCTGGGATTGTAGAGGACGCGAGTGAACCGAATAGAAGAGCATGGAAACCCGACATCAAGACTGTCAAAGCCGTCATCGCGTTTGCAATAGAGACAGGACGGTTGGCCAATAAAGGGTGAGGAGGAGGAAGATCTGAATCAAGGACCGCGCATGTGGTGATGCTGTCAAATGTCCATATCCTATGGAGCAGTGCACACTAGCTAGGGGGGCTACATACGACCTAAGGTCGTGAAAAGCCTGAGGAATAAATGAATAAAATGAATAAATAAAAGAAAGTGCTATCGCCGCAGGCTTTGAAAGACAATGAGTTCAAACTTCAAGTTTGCTAAAGGAACATTGGAATCATCTAAATTGGATAGCAGTCCAAACTAGGCGTTTCTAAACCCTAAAACCTAAACCGCTTATAGATTGATGAAGTGAAAAAGCTAATGCCTCGAAACAAATTACTCCCCGAAACGCTTCGCAGATGGAAAATATTCTAGGATTTAGGTTCAGATTTGTCTACCCAGCGTGGTAGAAATAGTCGATTGCTGAGCGAGCACAAACCACCCTGGCCCTCAGGCTACCTATCTCATCTTCTAAATAAATGGGGCCAGTTTCCAGCCTAATATCAAGAGCTTCGGGATACTGTACTACTGTCATGCTAGCTTCTCCAATTTTTCGACAACTTTTTACAATTCTGTAAAAGCCCAAAATCATCGCTGCACCTTGAAGAGAGTTTGCAAACGACATTAACGTATTCATCTTCCTATCTAGGCTATAGAACGAACCGTTAATACAGTAATTGATTCCACAAGAGGGTTCGGGCATTGCACCTGCCTAACCTAGGAAACAATGTACAGAACTAATCATGATCAAGACTTACAGAGCTTGTTCCATTTCATCAACAGCCTTTTCAGCCCGTTCGACAAATGTATAGAGAGTAATCGAGCTAGTCACTCGATTTTCTTCGTAATCCGTCTCAAGCAGTTGGGAGAATATTGCCATATCTATGTTCTGCTTGAGCTCTGTCTCAATTTTTTTGGTTTCCATGACTTTATGCAGATGTATAACGCAAAAGCTGAGATAGAATGATAATTGTCTTTATTATTAAGCGTGAATCTGTCGGCCATAAAATTCATAGAATGGAATACTGAGAAAGAGGGAGTTTTTTAAATTTTTTATTTTTTTTGAGGCAGAAATAAAGGGTTTATAGTCTATGACGACGGCACTCGAGTGGAAAGACGGTGCCACCCTAGAGATGAGAAGGAGGGTTGCTTAGTAAGAAACAGCTTCATACGGTATCCTTGACGGTTGCGTAAAGCTACATTGGATCTCAATTGGTGGATCTTTGCCTGTTCTAATTAGGTATAGTGTGGTATAAGTGGGGCATGGTGAAAGAGAAGCCATTCTCATCTCGATCGTCGGCAGAGCCAAGCGATCGATTGATTCATGTCTGTGTCGGACTTCAATAGAAGGCTGATCGCAAACGCCCGAGTACTGACCAGCCACAGCCACGGAAAGGGGAAACACCGGCTCCGAAGTGAGACCATAGAATGCAGATTTTTCGTTATTTCTCAGATAGGACTGAAAAATGGTGGCAGCCGTAGACTGCTGAACGGTGGTCACCACAACCTTTTACGAAAACCGGAGATCAACGGCCTGATAATTTTGAGGGTTGCCTGATTAGTTTTCACCTTATTTTCAATGCTGGAAGAGAACTTTGCGAGATATATATATAGGACCAATGGGTAGAGACACAACCCCTTTGGATGTCACGCAATAACGACAACCGATGAGAGTGCGCAACTAGAGCGTGAGTTGGGCCAGCAGCGTGTCGAGAATGCCTATTATCGCGACTGCTACGCACTTTTCAAGCTCTTGCAAGATCTCATAGAAAACACATCTCATGATCTGCAACGTCTTTACAACTCCGAGTCACCAAATGATCCGCACTTTTCCGGCCACGACATCCTGTGGTCCCTACAAAATAAGATAGCAAGTGTGATTGAAAAAGCATGCGAGTCCGAAAAGAGATGGAATGCTCTCTGTCGCATCGACCAATCTTACTCAGCCCAGGTTACTTTGGACCCAATCAGGACCAGGTATGCTGATGCAGAATACAGAGGCATCTTATGGAGTACACCAACCAACAAAGGATATCGGCCTCAAGCCTTGGCGATCCCGGGGATAATGGAAATATGTCAAGTGGTCGTGAGATAATTGTCACGGTTTCTGAAATCTAGACTCAATTAAATCTCCTTCGAGAAACTACATAATGTGGAAGACTCTTAAGGACACACACGGGCCAGACGAGACAGAAAAAAGTCGACTCAGTCCAAAAAATTGGGAGATACCTAATCTAGTATACTTGAAATTGAACAATATTTATAATTTTGTGATGTGCGTACTACATTCAGGTAAGTTGTGCTATCCATGCCCATTCAGCTAAAAAGCCAATTTTTCGCGTGTCTTCCCCTTCAAACGTAGATGACCTAGTCGTCTTCGCCCAAAGGCGGCATCAAATACAGCAACAAAAGAGCTGTATCAACCAAGTGATCGATGTTGCGATAGATAAAAAAACTGCCAACCATGCGGCCCCAAAAAGGCGTGAGCCGAGGATGGCCTTGATTCCTATATCACTTAATTTAGCTTTTACTTCAGTGACGAATAGTCCGTACGCCACTGTAACCCCAACCGTAGCGGTCGTGATAAAAAGGGCCGAGAGCTAGCATTATCAGCTACCTATATTCGTTAAATTCACTTGGAGTCTCACATACCGGGCTAAGGATAGATAAAAGTCTGTCCCCTCTGTCAAAGAATGTTTTTTGAATGCCAAGGGCGGTTACTAGCGTATTTCCAACGAGTCCAGAGATGTAGAGGTAGATAATGGCGTGAGAGATCTGGCGATAACCCGATATTGTAGACTCGTCTACCGGTCGGAGCACCTCGTCCATTTTTGCCACATTAGATCCAAGTGTGGAAGACAGATTAAAAGCAAAATTCAAGCTAGGGTCCGAACAGGTGGACTCAGAGTTATGTCCAGATGTGCAATAGCTCCAAAGACCCACTAAGTAGTGTTGTGGAATGTGGGATTTCAGCTTATCAGCTTCTGATTGGATGGTATGATGGATCGCTGAAGATGCTTTCGAAGATGCTTCATCTGCACTCTCCCGGGCAGTCGAGGGCACATTGTTGACCGCATTTGCTCCGTCATGAACAATAGCCGAGGAACCCACATCCTCAATCCCAATAGACCCGCGGGACAATAAATGGTCGACCTTGGGAAAGTCCGTTAGATCTACCTATGCTATAAATTAACCTTTGGTCAGAAGAATGTTTGAAACCCGTCCTACCTTGAGAAAATAAAGCTCGCGGGATGTGGAGGGTGAGGAGCAGCTGACAAATATCACGATCAGACAGGGGAAGACCGCGATTGAAAGCGACAAGGCAGCAGCTGAGACGAGCCGATCTAGCCTTGGTATCGTTCGGAGCTTCATTGTTCTAGAATTTATTTCATATACTAGAGATGGTCGAGATGATGTATATCTGATAATTTGATGGAGAATATATTTATACTTTGGAGATCTCAAAACTTCTCATATTTCCTATCATGGGCGGATTTAATGTGAGGTAAGTTTCTGAATGTCTTTTTGTCGACATTTTATGAGTCTAGTGTCGCAGTGTTGACTGTTTACAGCACAATATTGTACTTCCAGCGATAAGGAGATGGTCTTCATCAGAAAGTTAGAATGTCAGTTTTATACTTGAAGGTATGTGCCAACTTTGTGCCAAATCTAAGAGGTCGAAAGTTTTGCTACATACCCAATATATCACACGATATAAAGCTCCAAAAGAACACCAAGTATCTCCAACTTCGGGTCTTCCCGAGGCGCACTCCTCCAGTTCTGCTCTCTGAAAGTACTCTACATGGCCTCTCCCACTCAGTCTGAAGCGGAGGACCTGGAGTGTAGACTCTATGCATATGCTAAGAGTCGCTTCAAGCTATCGGCCAGGGTGCATATGTCCCATCTTGTCTTTGAAACGGGATTTAAGCGACGTATGGATCAGCGTCGGAATGTTCGCCGTCTCGAACGAATCTTGAAAATACAAGGTTGCCATCGTTTGATGAAGGATAATCATGTGTCCATTATAGTGCCCCAGGCAGACTGGCAACATCGGGTGCATCTGCGGTCGGACAACGGGACTCTTCCTAGCCTAAATGTGGATTGGGATTACGGATTACGAGCGCTAGATCACGAGAATCTAATTGTTGCTGCTAGAAATACACTCGCATTCAATAACCAGTGGTGGATAGTGGATGTCTATGTGACTGATGAAGAATCGGGTATGAAGCCTTTTGCTTGTCTCAAAGCTTGATCTCCTCTGACTAATAACTACCCTTTTCAGATAACCTCAATACAACTGCCCACGAGCTCCAGGCAAGGCTCCTCCAATCATTACGAGAACAATTCTCAAACGAGCATCGGCCATCAGATGGGCTGATATATAAGCGCATCAATTACTACGAGGGCCGTCTTGACGGGCCCGAGAATCAACGGGCAGCGGAAAGCTGGTGGGCGGCCCTAGAGTCAGTCGCGGGAAGCAAGAAAGGACAGTATCTGAGATTATTCTTCAAGAACCAGTTCCTGACCCGTCAGTTAAACTCGCTACTTACCATTCCAGGGCTTTGGGATGGAATGCAGATTGGAAACCTGCACAAAGTTACCGCTATGCACTGTGACGAGGTACGTATGGACTTCCGGTGCCAGATTTCGGTGGACCAGAGGCTAATACAACTGGCATACCAGGCAATCTCGTACTATTGGAGAAGTATTTTGACCACATTCCTAGGGATTGTTGGAGGCCATATCCAGAGCTTACAATTAATTAACGGTGTTACTGTCAACCTCATCGAATCCCAAGTCCCTAAAGTCTCCAAAAAGGACAAAGAATTCTTGCAGAAGAAGTTTGACGAAGGCGTGCTTTTCCCCAGTTTTTCGGAAAATAATCGACGGGAGATCTGGAACCGATTGAAAGAGATTGACTCTCCAGTTCCATCGTTAAAGACATTTTTCAGAGACCATCTATATCTGGAAGTACCACAGAGTGTCATGAAGCAGCTATTTCTCCAACCAAATAGTACTGATGATAAACTGACAATCGACAATGGTGTTCATGGATTATGGGAAATTGGATCAGCGCTCAACCCAGCAGCCCGAAAGGCCAGGTTTCGAAGTTACATTCTGGAGCTCTGGCGCTTCAGCTTCCAGTACGGATTCGAAATGACCGATTGGAGGCGGCTCAAATCATCAAGTAGTTTGGCATTCGGAACAGCGTCTAGCCAGCAGCACTTGAATCTGCCCAACCGTACAGATATCTGGAACCATTTTCACATGAAAATGATGACCATGGGTCTCCGAACACCCAACACTGTCGACCTTCCTGCCTCGCCAGCCGTATTACCAACCGAGATGCCTTGCGACTACCCCGAAGATGCATCAGAAGAAGTGGATGTCAAGAAAAGGTGTGGTAAACCCTCGGTGGATACTGTGGAAGCCGACCGATACGCTCTATCAGTGATGTCGCTGAAGGAAAGAAGGATAGAAACTCGTGTCACATCGAGATTTCTCCGTATATCGGTTTTCAAGAAGTTCTTTGGTTATTTAATGGACCATGATGCGATGAGTGGCCAGCTGCTGTGGCCCGAGCTTCTGGAAGACAGCACTCCGCATATTCGCGAGAATAACGATGAGGACACGCCGACTCTCTATACACCGGGATTGGATAGTTCGAACTGGACCAATGCCAGTTCTGGAGTCCATGAGTCGGAATTTCATGTGTATCATAGCGTACCCTACATGGATTTTCCGGATGATTCTGGAAGCAGCTTCGAGTCCGCTCCGTTTCCGAGCAGCTACGGGTCCACTTCATTTCCTCCTTCAATTTCGATGAGCACGGCTCCATTCCCATATCCCGATCCCTCCATTTGATAGTATACGGCATTATGTTATGAGTATGTGCAGATTGCTTTCTGGATGGCTGGAACTTTAATTCTGGGTCACTTTACTAAATGGTCATGGTATGTCTACTGCATCAGGCCGTATGCACAAGCGAAGAGAAATTGAATGTGAAGCATATTGGAATGACAGAAATTTTTGAGCGGAGAAATCAATTGCTTTCCAGCAGCCTGGCAACAGTATCTGTTTTAGGAATGACTTCATCAAACTTAGTGAATTATGTAGTTGATTACACTATCTTCTAGTTGCCATATTCAAGTCTAAGTTTGAAATATAGCTACTGGTCTGCGGCCCAAGTCTCGCCTTGAAAATTTGGCAGCTAGAGTAGCACATGGAGACACCAGGTAATCTGAGATGACAAAATATAAAAGATGTTATTCTGGAGCGTATTTGTTGATAGCTAGAGCAAGTAAATCTAAGAAATCTGTCTCTCCATCCACCGTGTCCTTCGCAGAACCCCCGGCAAGGTATCTCAGTATGAAAGATCCAAAGAAGTAGACCTGGCTTGGTAGCGGTTGCGATAGTAAAACGTCTTGCCTACAATTTACTGCGCTGGCTAAGACTTTTAGGACACGGTACCAGCTATCTGACCCGGGCCGTGATCTCCGGGGGTATGAAAGGCGAAGTGACCGGGAGATGCGTTGTGAGCGACGGGTAATCGCCTGGCCCAGTCGCTGCATTTTGGGCCCACCCCTTATTCCAAGGCCGCGGCACGCAATCAGGATTGAGTGGATATCTATACAGAGCGGAACATTTGGCCCAGGCGGATCTGTAGGTCTTGAAGTACTCTTCAATATAGTATGATGCGAGAGCGCCGGGTCGGCCACTCGTGAAGATTCCTGGCGAGGCGAAGGCAGGCGGTGTAAAATTACGGGCCGTTCTCTTCGCTCCAGGGGTTGGAGTTGTGGCGTAGATACGTGCGACAGCATCCACAAAAACATGACAATAAACCTGACAAATGATTCACTCAAATCGAGGTTGAGGCTTTGAGTGGCATAGAATGAATTATCACTGGAAGGCTTTTGAATCACATTATTTTCCTTGGAAACTGCGCTGGTTGTAGCTGATGGGTATGCCATGAGATTTGGTAGCCCGAATTTCAATTTGATGTATTTTCTCTCACGGGTCGGGCCTAGACATTATAAATAATATTGGCTTGTGTCTTCTAGGAAGGGAGTCACGTTTGAAACGGCCATGATAGTTTTAATTGAGGTGAGAATCGAGATGAGTCATCAGTCACATGACTAAGATGGCAGATTCTTGGAATTGAGGGGCGGGCTGGCAAAATGAGGGTGTTGAATCACCACTCTCACCACTTTCGATGCCATTCCCGCCTTCACCATCGGATTTTCAAGTCGGTGATCACCTTCGGTAAAACAGCTACAGGAATTACTCTAAAAATCTCTTGTTTTCTGTATCAACGCATTCTCAATCCAACTTTTGATCACCTCTCTCACCATCTATCCTCCATCGGTTTAATCTTTCGCGGTTCACATCTCACCGGTTTACTTTTCAACAGTCGACTTCACTCGCCTACATTTGAACATCTTAGCTTCATCAGTTCCAATTCACCGTTTTATTTTCCCCGTTTACTCCTCACCAATTACTGTTCACCTGTTTACTTCTCACCGTTTGACTTTTCACCGGTTTAAACCTCACCAGTTGATCCTCGGTCTCAACAGTTAAAGTTTTAACGGTTCACCAGTTTACTTTTCACCAGTCACTCTTCACCAGTCACTCTTCACCAGTCTTTTCTTCACCCGTCTACTTCTCGCCAGTTTGCTTCTCACCTGTCACCTCTTACCAGTCACTCTTTACCAGTCCGAATTTCACTAGTGCTTCATAATAATCCAGATTTAAATGATCTACTTTTCACCGTTCACATCTCAACGGTTCATATTTCACCACTTCAATTCGCCGGAATAGGCAACTTCCCGACGTTGTCGGTATCTTTCCCAGTAACGGTACATACATTACCGGTATTTCAATTGCATTACGATTTATTTCCTGGGGACGCTGTTTTTAATTGTGACACTGTATATCCGTTTTCCCGGTGCCAATCAACTCGTGTTCCAAAAATCTGTATCGACATATCCTACAAGGCCCTTATTGCGAGATACCCATCATGCCCATACGTATATTTTACATGACCTTTTACATAAAATCAATCAATATGCGTTTAAGATTCAATTGAGAAATGCGAAACTTCCGCTAAATCTAAAACATGTGTGCTAGACTCCTCTCTAGAAAGGCATTTCGCCAGCGAGACGGGAGAAAGGTATCTGGATCGCTCATTTTTCTTTTGGATAGAGCGAGAGACGAGACGGTGTAGAAGCACCAGACCTACAAATGCCAAGATTCCTCCAACTACGCTCATGACAATCAGTTCCACACCCTGTTTGGAGACTCGCATTGACCAATTTATACGACTGGACGTGGGATCGTACATCCATCGGGCTGAAGTCATGATGGCAGATGTAGAGGTGCCGGCTTTCGTGCTCGTTTGTCCTGGCGTAGCTGTTTCTATCGATGTTGAAGACTGAGCGGAGTGGCCTTCATGCTGTTTGGATGTAGATACGCTTCCCCAGACTCCATCATTCAACCCAGCTGTATGAGGTAGCCCCGTATCTGATAAGCCCCCGTATCTGATAAGCTGCCTTTCAAGCTTTCTTTATCCCAAAACACTACGCCTCCAGGATCCCCAGTCATCTTACTGTACAGTATGGGCGTTGGCAAAGAAAGCGAGTACGGCTCAGGTTCCGACCAAAATTCCAATGTAGATTTTACAAGAGTATCCAAAGCTTGTTGCTCCTGGTTGTTGTGGGAAGTCAATGAGGATACGTGTCTCCCATTGGTCTCGGGTATATAGTGCTTGAGGCCATGAGCTGAATGCGCGAAACCGTGTACATCTGCAGTGGTGGGTGCTTGACTCTCATATGATGAAGTGGCGGTCGTAGAGTATCTCGGTTGCGTCAAATTGGACACCAAGTCAACTTGAGAAGTGTGCTCAGAGTCAGATGAAGAAACCTCAGAAATAGCTGGACTAGGAGCAGTTATCACGAGATAATGTTCCGACGGGGGGCGTTCTTTCCTTGCTGGGTGTGTTTGGAAGCAAGGCTGCGCGAGTTGTAGAGGTAGCATGGGGAACGGACAGAGATTTATAGGACATAGAGGCTGAAAACTTGGGATTTCTACTTCAAAAGTCAGTGGGTGTTCTGTCATGTTTTACTTTCATCGATCACCGACCCCCTGGAAGTTTTGGAAACGACATTTGTCGGCATGCTGACCTAAAGCACAGCAGTGATATGAATTGTTGAGCTTTCAAAGAAAATGCGCTATATATTCTCGCAAGTTTCTCAGGTCTTAATTCATTATTTAAGTTAAGACTCGACCGAATTTCCAGAACTCCGCCACTAGAGGCCACTTTGCTATAGTGAGTGGTAAGTGTTTTTAATTTTGCGGCAGCGGAAAACATTTTGAGCCCACAACATTTAACCTCAATTTCTGGCGAAAACTAGGAACACTGTATGCGCGTAATGGAGCGTTCATAACGGTTGATTGCTTGTATAAACTATTTCATAATCAGAGCTCAACACTGCGCTGGGATAGGCATCAATAGAAATCAAAGTAGTGCAGAAAACATGTATATAATTGCTAGCCTAGCTTCTGATTAATTCCTTCTTCATATTTTGCAGACATGGCTCCTGTTTTGACTCGGGTCAAGAAAGAGCAGCTACGCAAACGCCGTAACAATCTGCTTCGTCGGCACAATGAGTTTTGGCTTTTGTATGGAATCAAAAGCTGGCTGGTTATGGAACTCGCCGATGGGCAGGTCGTTATGTATCACTCTCATCCTGACCACTCTCCACCATCAGCAGAAGATATGGTAAGGGCAAAACGAAGATTTGACCTTAAGGAGTAATTTGTGCATCCAGAGCTAATGCGTAGAAGAGAAACCGCACCAAGCCTCCAATCGTCAGAACCCCTCGCGATTACGATACAACAACCCCTCGTGAGCCGACGGATAGGAGTATCCCGCATGTCAATACTCCAATTCGAGAAAATGGTATATGGGAGGATCTGGCGTACTACCTGGACGAATGTCGTCGGCCAATTGCATGATTAAGCGGAATTAATCCTATTCAATTGATCTACAAGACATAACAAGTTTATCAAGGATACAATATATCTGGAGCTGGTATTGGTCATTCTTATTTTGATATAACCTAGCATAAAAGGTGGTCGAACGGAGTGTCATTTAACTACTTCTACACTTTGCAGCGTGTGCGACATATGAGATTCTCAAGCCGTGTAGGGGCCCTTCTCATAGCCAAACCAGACATTGGGGTAGAAAAATCGTCTTATACTTCTGGTTTATTCAACAAATCGTGATATGTAGTATCCGACAAAAGTAAAATACTTGTGCTTCAAGAATGGAGAATTAGATACCATCAGCAAGTATATACTGTCATGTGGAGTGATATTCCTTGATCGAAGAGCGATGTGGCGAATGGATTGGGGACCCTTTGATGCGATGGCGCTTTTGAAGGTTCTTGTTACAGAGTTAGAGAACAATATCCAGGAAAATTGCTAGGTTACTATGCTATCCAACTCTGCGGAGATCCTCAGTGCGCAGATTGCCCGCTAAAGAAAGGCAGTAAGTGAAATTAATTTTCCCCTTAGCAATTTTTACTTTCGCCATTAAGATGATCCCAAACGACCATGGAAACTCCTGCGAGGGGATTCGGCCATCGAGCAATTTCATGATTCAATTTCATCAATCAATTTGTCCTGTTCAAAGTAAAATCAAATATTCACATATATCTTATATCAAATTAAGCGAAAATCTGTTTCATAGTATGATTTAGTGGCCATTATTTAAATCGCAAGTTTGCTTCAATAAAGTTTCGCCATATGACGTGACCGGATGTTCGTTTGGTAATTGAGGGCCTCTTCGTTTCCAGAATTAAGAACTATATCAGCGTTTCACTTGCTCAGGAACTACTGAAGTTGAAAGTCAGTTCCTATCTCAAGAAGATATTGATTATGCATGTTCGAGATCTGGAGAAAATCTAAATCTTGATGATCATTATTTTCGTCGAAAACCCGAATCACATATGCACCTTAGTTTTCTGAACTAGGTAAACATTTTGCTGCCAGTGCGCGCTTCTAATTTATCATTCTTGATTACCTGATTCTTCAAAAAGGATTTAGATGGAAATGTCTGTGTTGCAAATATTTCTTGTACCTAAAATAAAATTGATGATTCTTGAATTTTCTTTCCAAATAATACACTAGGGTCATACTGTGCTCAACAGCCAGCTATTCATAGCAGTTGATTCTCGTAATATGTGCGATTATTTGATGGAATGAAGTCGAATTATGAGTCTTGTTCTGTTATTTAAAAGCAAATTGCAGCTTCAAAATTTATGTGAGGGGCTATTATACCCCCAAGTTGGATAAATAGATTCTGCGAACAAGATAAATAGTCTGACTTGTAGCCCTGGTCTTTCCTTTTCATTTCATCTTCGTTTTTAAATTCACCATTGTTCAATTCAATCAGCTAGAATAGCGCCGCAAAAGGAGAAAAAGCCCAAGGATGCAGAGAAAAATAACGGTATAAATAAATATTTTTCTGCAAAAGATGGGAAAAAGGACAAAGACGAAAGTTTAGAAAGATTGGAGCAAGGAATGAACGATGGAACTATCTCTCGTGAAAAAATAAACGCCGGCCTCCAACAATCCGTGATAAAAGATCACACGGGCCAGGCACCAATCAGCAGTGAACAGTCTTCCCGATCCAACCACAATACTCCAGAAGAAGTCGCACCCCATCAGCCACCCCATTTTGTTATATCAGAACCAAATGACACAGAAGATATCGAAATGCAGTACTTGGAACCTAAGACTGCAGATCAAAATCATCCCCACTCGATCGAAGATAGGGTTTCTTCTAAGGCAGAAGAGCAACACCAAAAAACCCCCGCTCATCAGGATTCATCTGTCGAAAGCCAAGCTCTCCAGAACAAGGTCTCTACTCCTGACCAATTGGAAGATGGCTGCTTGGCAGTTCTGACCACAAAGGAAAGAAAGAGAAGGGAAGCAAGAGCACCGGAGACGAAGTGTATGACAAAGATGTCGTTATAGATGGATGGGGAACCCTGAATGGCTCGTCTTTTGTCATCATCCAAGATGGACCTTTCAAATACGCCTCTTACCGTTTCGAACGGAGAAAAGACTACTCCGATCCCGACAAAGTCTACATTTCAAACGAAGCAACGCGAATTTCTCGGCTGAAAGACAAAGACCCCTCAGGCAAAATGGTCTTCCGATACACAAAGGAGAATTTCGTCGGAATTTATGGCATTGTTTGTAGCAATGGAAAAAGAAAGTCCACCTGGATGAAAGTGAAATGGAAGAATATCAGGCCTAGCGACGATGAAATCTTGGTGAGGGCGTGCTCTTGGGAGCCGAAATCCAAGCTTGTCCGCTTTTGTGGTGGTAAAAAAGCAACCGAAGAAAAGACAGACAAAGTCTGGAGAAACCAAAAGAAACGATATACAGAATACCAGGAGGGGGTTACCCCGAAGTTTGATTCTCAAGGACGCAGCATCTATGGACGTTCGCCGACTCCCTACCCACCTGAGATGACGATAGAGCAATACCGACAAGATCGAGAAGAAAAGCAAGGCCGAGATGCTGCCAAAATCAAAATCGAAACTCCCAACGGCTTCCGGCAGCAGTCAGACAATCTGCAGTCTGATAAAAGTGCGATCAAAACCAAAGAGGAATTCATGGAGCAGAAAATGAAGGGGGACGAATGGGAAAAGCTCAGCGATCTAGAGAAAGAGAAGCGAAAAGTAGAGCTTGAAGCACTTTATGATGTCTATATGGAGACCGTGAGAAACTCTGGAGAAGGCCCTAGCCATGCGCCAGAGGAGACTTCCATTTCTGTCAGTTAACCACCAAACCCATCCAGCTTTACACTTTGGTATACCGCGTCGTTTCGTTAAGTCATTTGAACAACAAAGAATAAGAGCAGCAACAGTAGTTAGTGAGTTAGATAGATAGATAGCAGTCTTTCTTGAAATTAGAAGTCGTATAATTTGATCTCTCATAGCCACCTATTCATGTATTGATTTCACTTTCCTGGTTGTAATCACATCACCCACTATCTTTGACCTTTGTCGCGCTGGTGTAGTTAATAGACTTTGTGTTTTCTTCCCAGGAATCATTAATACCTGTTTTTCTTTTATTCTTTTTCTTAATTTTTTGGAAGAATGGAAATCATTCATTCCACTCAACAACATATCCTCCCGGGTTCTCAAACTATGTCAAGCCCTCTAAGATAGCCCTGCACTTTTTTCAGAGGCCAAACATAGCGTCTTAACAGTTACGGCCAACAGCATCCCGTTTCAGATCATAATTTGTGTGTCACCAGAGATAAATCTCACTTAAATAAGACTGCAGGTGCCATATCACACACGGTATGATTTTTTCAACATATTCACCAAGGAGATTGTTGATGAAAGTTATGGGAAAGGTTCCCGCACCTTTATAAGCTCATCACAATCAATATCGAACGATGAATATGGTGAGGTCCCTTCTTTTTGAGGGACACTCAATTTCAATTTCAATTGACTGAGTTATAAAGATAAATAGTTCTTGTATCATCAGGATCCTCCGTCCTCCTCTTCTTGGACAAACTTCCCTAATTTGATAGATTCACACAAATTTATCGCCCGTCTGAGTTACCATGTCAGGCTTCAAGACACAGGAACCAACGCAAGACGAGTAACTTGCATCTGGAAACAAATTTCAAACGTCGCTCATGGACGAAAATTAGAGATATGAGAAGTTTGGTACGAAACGATGCCTAGAGTAAACAACTTCCGAATGCTCATCATGCACGAACAGATTCTCATCACGAAGGATCTCACGCTGAGCAAACCGAGTACCTGGAGAATACAAACCTTCCTTTAACATTGATCCTTCCAACATTCCCGCTCCCAACTGTGCCGCTGACAGTCACCACCACACATGGCTTACGGACATTCATACCGCTTGGCCCGGCTTTGCCTACAAATATATCCAATGGTTCTGCTCCCTCTTTCACTCCCTCTATGTGGCTAACATTTTATGCCCTTTTTCTGGCTGGAGCTATTTATCGAAGAGGTGATTGGGTGATTGCCGGCGCTGAAGAGGCTTCTGTTTCTTTGACCTTGGCCACAAGAATCAGTATTGAGGTAATTCTTGAATCACAATCGCCACGTATTAAAATAAGCATGAATATATCCCGGTAGAAATGGCAGCATGAAATAGACAACACTATATTTCAATGCCACCCATATCGCATTTTTCTTATAAACTTTCCAAAAATGCACGCCTAATTCCTAGGAGAGAACCCTGCTCCCAGGAGTAATGAAAGTCTAGATGCTTCTGCTGCATTGCCATTTCTAATGACATAAAATAAATACACGTACTGCCCTACTTATTCAGAGTCGCAATTGTCAGGCCTAGCTACGACACTCGATAAGCTGTTCACCATATGTTCATTCTTAAGCCGCTTCCAGCGAACGACGTTGCGTATTCCACATATCCAACAAGCTTCATCATTAATCAAACAAGATGAAGCTCCTTTCTCTTCCCCTAGAGCTACTTTTCTGTCTAGCAGACTTATTAGATGTCTCACAGGACTTGCTTTCAATGGCAAAATTGAATAAACGATCAAGTCTTCTATTCCTACCGCTTCTCTACACTTTCAATGTTCGCTGCCAGAATAGCTCTGCTCTGATCTGGGCCATCCAGCACAACCAGTCGAAACTGGCGAAAACCCTACTCGAAAAATATCAAGCGAACCCAAACACAATAGATGGCAGACTTCGGACGCCGCTATTCTACATCCACGGTATTCGAACAGAAAGGTATCAAATGATCCGCTCTTTGATCAAGAGCGGCACAGATCTCAATTGGAGAGATGATCATCAGCAAACGCCATTACTATACTCCCTCCAAAGGAAGCTTTTACCTACAGCCAGAGATCTTTTGGGGTACTCTGATACAGAAGTGACTGCTCGAGATAACAAGGGCCGAAATGCGATCTGGTTTGCTACCGCCCATCAGGATAAGGATTTGGTTCGGGCCTTCCTGGCCAGGGGGGTTGACACTTTTACAGCCGACTGCAAAGGAATCGACCCCATTAACCTAGCTATCTTATATCAGAGCAGTCCAATTCTTACCATGCTGCTTGACCACGTCAAAACGAAGCCTTCAGCGGCAACCCTGGATGGCCCAAGCAGCCGTGAGCATCCGCTATTTATTGCCACGCGCAAAGGGTCAAAGGAAATGGTCCAAATACTGATTTCCTACGGAGCAAATCTCAACATCAGGAACCGAAAGGGTCAGAGTTTGCTTCATCAAGCAGCCATAAAAGGATACTGCAATATTTTGCAAACTTTTCTCGATTATGACATGATTTCTATCAACACTACCGATACAACGGGAGCAACAGCGCTACATTTGGCCGCAAAGCATGGGCAGATATCGATCGTGAAGATCTTGCTAGCCTTGCCTGACATCGAAATCAATTCCCGCGACGTGGACGAAGTCACACCTCTCTGCATTGCTATTCGCGAGGATCAACAGTCTGTGGCCATGCGAATTTTATCCGAGGAGTTAGCTGAGATTAACGCGACCTGCCGACACGGGCAAACGGCCCTTCATTATGCCGTACAAAATGGCAATATTCTGCTCGTGTGTGTTCTCCTCGAAATTGAGAGTCTAGATCCGAATATTCAGGACGGATGTGGCTAGACTCCCATCACCTATGCTGCATTAAGTGGCAGTCTACGATTACTGGAGGTACTTCTCACGAGACAAGACATTGCGCTGAATGTTCGAAATGCCTCGCCGATCTTCTATGCCTGTGAGAAGGGCCATATGGAGATCGTACGTCGACTTCTTGACCACAATGATGTCGATTTCGACAAAGCGGTCTGGAACAAATCTCCCCTTTTCATCGCAATCGAAAATGGTCATACTGAAATCGCGAAGCTGTTGATTGACCGGTGTGGTGGTATCGATGTCAACTCACCTACATTGCTTGGAAGCACTGCATTGTCAGTGGCAGCATCAAGCGGGAATCTAGAAATCGTGGAAATTCTGCTTCAAGATGAAAGACTGAACTGCAAGGCCGAAAATAGTTTTGGAGAAACAGCCCTTCAACTGGCAGCACGAGAAGGAAATGAAGCAATCGTGCGAGCTCTTTGCCGTGATAAACGTGCCAGAGACCTTCCAAGCTTGAGGAAAGCGATCAGGTACTCTTCAAACATCAGATTGACATACTTTCTTCAAGAACAGGAAGAAATTTGGGTCCGAGAAAGCAGCGCATGAAAAGAGCTGCTGTGTTACCGTTGATTTTCATATTTTAGTAGTGAGTGTGATGCGTTTGAGCATGACATCCTATATCAGGCTCAAATAATAGTCAGAGGGCTGCCGCTTTAGTTTTTGTGATTTTATCAATTGAAAGCTACTTTCAATTCTCATGCCCGTAGAAATGCCTTTGTAATTGACGGTAGATTCTGGCAGGTTTGTTGGAGTTTATCTCGATGCGATTGACTCCATTACGTCGCATAATGCAAGTGAACGGACCTATTTAGCCTCATATACGCATTTAATGCCATATTTTCCTCGAAATCGCTTGAATAGAACACATTCCGTCCTGTAGGTCTGGATTTACTCAGATTTCGCCTAGGCTGAAGTCGAGATGGGGTGACCCCAACCCGACGAGAAAAAAATGTGGACGATAAAAATTAAATTATAAGGGACAGAGATTTGCGGCTTCGAGACTTGAGCATCTGAAACCTGGCCAACGATCCAATCACCCCTTGAGTAGGCCCTGAATCCGCTTCTGATAGATAAGTTATACATGGTGATTTCGCATTGATTGAATATGATAATACTTACTGATATGGTTGTTATCGATATAAGTATGAGGAACAGAAATGAGTTTACAATCATACAGATATAATCATTCAATTGCTCCCAGTTTCTGTGATCTTCTCTTTAACTGAGATATAAAAGCTAGCCAAATCCACCAAATTGTAGTAGCATACCGGACTGTAGTATTGAATTGGCCTTCGCCGTCAGAATCCACATTCAAGAAGGGTCTAGATCAATCATGGCTTTGCTATTTCTGGAATGTCAATCTTATCGCGAACGAAAGGCTATTATACATCATTCAAGGGCAAATTTGGGTAATCTCACTGATTTGTGAGTTCACCTATGTATTATGATACCGCAAATGTAGCTTCACAAAAAGCTTGACACCAAGCGAGGCATTTTTAGTTTTTCTCTGGTAAATGAGAATTAAGCCCAGCTTGAAGTTCATGCCAAAGGCCTTCAATCACAGAGTCATAGTCCAGACGAATTTTTTCTGGATAGCTTTGTACTCCAATGTACCTTGATAGACTGCGGACTCCTCCTAGGGTACTTTTCATCAAAATGCCGAATTACTTCTTCCTATGGGAGGCCTTGCTCTTTTTTGAGTTTTACCAATAGGCGATCTTCCTCCACAGAGTAACGTAGGCGTTTTCGCGATGAGCATGAGTTAGCTGAGGCATTTTGGGTCCGGGATGAAGTCACATTGTTACTTGGTATGGATCGTGATTTCGTGTTGACTTTCTCTGGGCGAGGCACACAGCGAGACAATGTACTCTCAAACAGCTAAGACAAGAATTGTAGTCGATCCTCCGCTTTAAGTGCGGAAAATTGCGCAAGAATTGTGGACAATGAAGCTTCCTGATGACCGGGGTGTCGAGTCAATTTTCCGTGCTTTTCTTTTGGGCGATTGGTGATGACGACTGAGACTTTCTGAATTTTGGAAGACCGCCGACCAGGATCGGTCACCTTCGGCAAGTGACACTGTCTGCCACGAGAACTGCTATTATCTGTATGCGAGGAATGATTGTCCGCGGTGAAGCCTGCCTGGCGGATTGTGCTAGTAGGTGCAGATTCTATGGTGTTCTGATGTTCTCCAGCTTGGTAATGTTGGTCCTCCAATATCGCCGGATCTATGGTCAAATCACTTGCGAAATCTTCCATCTCTGATGGGGTTGACTTTTGGAATGGTATAGACCGAGAAAGCTGATCGGGCGTGAAGAAAGGGTCGAATTCACATGATCCAATGCGGGCTTGCTGTTTGATATGCTCATCGACGGAATCAAAAATTAGACCATCTATGTCTCTGGGGCCTGGTAGATTTTCTAAATGCAAAATTTCCTTAAGTTCGAAGTTTTCCGATTCTTGATTGACAGGCGACATCTGGCTACTCAAATCCGGCTTCTGGTGATTCTGGTCGACAGATTGTGAAGCCCCATCGACGCAAACCTTAAGTGGTGGGCGGACCGGAAGGGGATGCCGCTTAGGCTGCGGGGTGCAAGGGATCCGGGAATGGAGTGTTGAGTCCTTTGGATTGTTTGGAGATGGCGTGACATTGAGAGAGATAGGACTTGGGTAGCGAGGAACATCCAGAGGGCCTTGCCGAGAGAATGCCTTCTTATTGGGATTCTAAGGCCGGAAAGATTCCAAACGAAACGATTCATTAGACATTTTCAATCAGGCACAAAGAGTATTTAAAGTGGGTGGCTCAAAGGATATTTCAAACCGAAAAAGAGCGGGAGCAAAGGAAAGCAAACTGCACTGAGGTTTTGGAATGGGGACTGAGGGTGGGAAAGGATATTCTGGCGTAGGGGGGAGGGGGGATGGGGATTTGGGCAGAAGGGTTTGGGCTTCCTGGAGTGCCAGAGTGGTGGTGCTGCGCTCCTTTTATACACCAGCTTAAGAGGTTATTGTCTTGATAAATTTGATCCACCAAATGTTGTAGGCCAGCTCACATACCACTCAGAAGCATGAGTATTGCAGCCAGATGTCCGCTATGTCCGCCCCCCTTTTCCAACACATGCTTTTGTCGTAGCCTTGCCTGAATCAAGGTAACCGCCCCGCCCTACAGCCCTGAAATTCACCACTGAATACAGATGCGGCAGTTTTTTGCCATCATTTCATGTGAAGACGGCCAGCAGAATGAAATGATTGGCGGCGCACATTAGCCGGACGAAGGGCCGCGGAAATTGTAGGCCCACCGGGTCTCACGGCATTCACGAAAGACAGTGGGGAGAGGCAGTGCAATGCAACCTCGAGGTGGCGAGAGCGGTGCAGTGTCCAGCGGCATGTCCGACAAGATTCCGAATCCATTGTACACTGATGAGGCGAAGATATCGAGAGAACGCCTGCAGCCCGAAGGGCGAGACAGCAGTCTAGAGATGAAGCTCTGTTTGAAGCCAAAACTTCATAGTAGGGTCAAGGGAGAATAAAGCAAAAATCCACCGATTGAAAATTCATATCCATCCCGCAAAGATCGTGAAGCGTGAAGCGTGAATTTGAGCCACGGCGAAACTTGGCCACGGCGAAAGCTGGCCGAAACGAGCTGAATTCCTGGTTATGCGACATCTCCGATCAATTAAAGGGATCAGGCAACCAGACCTAACTCGTTTGACCCTAGTGGGGCGCGAAGGAAGAGGGTTTAGTTATGTTGGGAGGGCTGGAAGAAATGAAGGTGCGTGGGAGAAGTGCAGATGAGGACGAGCGGCCTTTTATAGAAAACGGGTGCAGGGTTGGGTCGGTAAAAGCGGCCACTGCAACGCTAAACTAAACAGGGCGACAACAATGGACGCGATACCGGAAAGGGCAGGGCCGCTGCGGGTTAGGGCAAGCGGTCAATAAGGGCAGAACGGGGAGCGAATGGCGGCCGTTTCTGGCCCCCCCGCTCACCGTGTCAACTAATACTTAGTTATACTTTTCTTATAAATATAATTTAAAAGTTATCTAATATTTACTATTTTATTGATATATTAGTTTCTTTTTTTTTTATCTCTCTACTTTCTTACTTTATCTTTTTACTATTACTATTACTTTTTTAACTTTACTAATTTTTTATAATATTAGTCTCTACTTATTAAACTTAATATACTTATTATAAGTAAAGTTATTTATCTATAACTATAGTTAGTTCTATTTAAGAGAGACTTATAAGTAAGACTATTCTAAATAATTTAAGTAGAACTAAATCTATTTTTACTATAAATAGTAAATTACTTAATAATATACTTAAATATTATTCTAGTTACTCTCTAACTTCTAGTATCTTTTAATTTAGTTAGTTCTAATCTTAAAGTCTTTATTTTAGAACTATTAATATATTTTATTCTTTAGACTATAGTCTAAGTAATATTTAAGAGAGTCTTAGTTCTAAAATTCTAAGATCTTATTAGTTAATAATATTTCTAAATTATTAGTCTTTTATATCTCTAGTTTTTTTCTAATCTTAGATTATATTATCTATTCTTTTACTTTATTCTAAAGTAGTTTAGTCTTAGATTAAGATTAATATAATAGTAAGTATTAAAAATAATATTAATTTTAATATTTATACTAATTAGTTAATAAGAAAAGTTAGAAAAATTTATAAAGAGTATATTCTATCTTAGATTAAGAAACTTAATTCTAAGGACTTAGATAAGTCTTTTCTATATATTTTATATATTTAGGATTTAGAGTTTTATAAGTATAAGATTTATTAAATAAGTTATAGTAGATATAATTTAGTTTATCTCTAAAACTACTCTAATTTTATTTCTATTTACTAATCTTCTATAACTACTAACTCTTATTTAGGGAGATCTTTATAATTTAGATTTTTTTCTTATCTAGGTTAAATCTCTATTTATTACTAATAAGAATAATATTTCTTTTTTACTCATAAAGAATTGCGTTTTGCTATTTCGCTGCCTTTTTCGGCCGCAGGTGAGGCCGAAATTGGCCGCCTTTCAGCAACATCCCTCCGCCACGCTCCTGCTTCCTTCGACCACGCACCACTCATCGCTCACCGGTCTCTGCCTCAGGCTGCCATTTTGTGCGCGTTGACTTCCTTAGATCCCTGAGGGCTCTCCAATCGCTCCACCACTCCTACTGAGGAGGGGGCGCCGAAAATGGCTCCTTCAGCACCAAGCCAGTTGCACCCTGGCCAGTACCCAGCCGCCATGGCTATAAATATCTTCTTCCCAACCATCCTTTGCCCAACAAACTGTCCTCACTTCGACTCAAGCACCACTCCAAAGCTCTCCCTCTGATCTTCCGTCTTGCTTTCCTCCTTTCAGTCGTGCATTATAACGTCTCGAGCTCCGTGTCGGTTTTTCGCACGGTCGGCGAAGTCTATCAGCCATGCATCGTCGGAGGGGGGGCCCATGTCAGAAACCACGGAATCACAAGCGAATCCTCTTGTAATTCTCCCATCGATACCGACAATGATAGACCGTTCGAGCCCGATTCCTCTGAGACCGATCTCACCGAGCCGGAATGCTCCTCTCCAGCGGATCGAACGATTGCTCGGAAGAAGCCAAGTCCAAACACCGGAACAAGATCGTCACTAGCAGACCTCTCGAATATGGAACGTGCCCACCAGGCCCGATACCAAGTCCCGGATGATGACACGGATGAGGACTTGGCCCAGGTGCCGGAGGATTACGGCCGATCCAACAAAACGAAGAGGTTGAAACTTCGACTGAAAGAGCGTTGGGCTTGGTAAGTGACCAGGATATCGTTGAAAATGTCAAGCGAGTAACATCAACTGACCAACATGTCTTATCTTAGGTTCTGCCAAATGAAAGCAATGGAGCCGTCCACCGGTCTCAAGTGGGGAGATGCGGAGGATGCACTGCGTGAGGCGTCTCCCAATGACATGCATCGATTTCTCAATTGGTGTCTGAAACTGGAATACAGTCCTGATGGTCGCCGTCAGAAAGGCTATACAAAGGCCAGCTCCCTTGAAGCGGATTGGAAGTACTTCCGAATTTACTACACACGAGTTGTCAAACACGAGATGAGCAAAGAGATGGGCGAGGCAGTTCGCACGGTTTGTATTTCGATCCTTGCCCTTCTCGCCCCAAAACGTCTCCGGGAGGCTTGCGCTGACGAGACGGACAGGGTATGAGATACTTGGTGGATAAGCGCGGTCTTGACAAACAACCGCGTGCAAATGTCCCGGTTTATATCGAAGATATGATTCCATTCAATGAGACAATCCTTCAAACGCGGGAGAAGCGATTTCACTTGGGGTTTCAGCGGATTATCCTATGTCTTTACAACACTATTGGGTTATTTACTATCAACCGAAAACAGGCAATGCTCGACCTTCAGTTCAAGCATCTACAAATATCGCTCCAGCAGGATCCGCACGGAGGACCTCCGAAGCCGATGATAGAACTTGAGCCCCAGTTTGTGAAAAGCGTGTTGGGCATGTCGAAGCTGTAGGTGGCAACCCGATGCCATACACCTCCTGCCCACCTCAGAGCTTGTTTGTTACACTCAGACTGACTGGTCAATATTAATTAGCAACACGTTCGCGCTACCCGAAATTGTCTACGGCATATCGCTTGTCTTCAGCCCGCATGTTCTACTCTTCATTATATTATTTTACGTCCACGCCTTTGAAGCGCCTCACTTAACCTCGATGGAAGACCTTCGGAGACTGCTTGTCGAGGGCGGCCGACAGGAAATGCCACTTCCCCTGAAGAAAGAGATGGATAATTACTATGTCTTCCCGAAGGTTGAGGTGATATGTGGCCAGCCCCGCATTTTGTGGGAGACGCCCATGAATGGTAGCACACTCGACGCACAGCTCAGGACATCCAGTGAGATACACGGCTTTCTTAATCATTTTTTCTCCCACCAATTTCGATACGGAGGAGGTGATTTACTTGACAAAAGCGGTGAGTCGTCTATCATTCCCAAGGTTCTGGCTTTCTTGAAGACTAAGTCTCTTGCCTAGGTTTCGTCAGTGAAGCACAGCGCAACGTGATCATGGCCCACGCCACTAGCAGAACGTTTATCAAACATTATCGCCCCCGTCGGCATACTGGTTTACAAGAGATCATGTGCGGCCTCGATCCGGATGAAGAGTTCTCAAAGGCTGTCACCCGGATGAGCCGCTGGATTGATCGGCGGCGACCACGATACCTGAGCGACGCTGACCGGGATTCAGTGGAGAGAGACCCAGAAATGCAATCGGCCATGCGCTGGCAATTCGAGTTAGAGACCCAGTGCGGTGACCACTCTCATGACCCAGCATTGCGGGCGATGCTGGATGACCAGAAGCGTCAAGTTCTGAATTTGCGCCGGCGTCTGCAGGACAAACGGCGGAAAGAAGTACGCCGTGATTTTAGTCGGAAACAGGCGGTGATTGACATTGAAAGACAGCTGACTGGTGGGGCTGTCAGTGATGAGCCTGCGCGCGAGGTATTACGGAAGGAGTTTGAAATGCCATCGGCGCAGATACTTCTCGTGGAGACGTTCTTCACTTGGCCCACCACCGATTCATTAGAAGACGAGTGGACGCGGCGCAACAAAGCTGTTGCTGCTGGAATACAATATTGCGGCTTTCAGGAGGGTGGGCCCCTTCGGGGACGACCGAAACGCTCTGCGCCGTCCGACGATGACGATGCAGTTCCTCTCTCCTCCCGCTCGAAAGATAAAGACCGATACGCCGCCGACTACGTCGCGGGAAGAAAGACATACCGCTGGCGGGAAACCTATCCCGAATGCAGAGCTAACATTCGCATGCTTCCAATGCCCCAAGGCATACGCCGACTATAATGGAGTGAGGAGGCATTTTAGGGGCTCACACCTGATGGACCGAAGATGTAATTTTTGCGATTTGTCCCTTCTGCACGAGATGCACTTGCGGAGGCATGCTGGGGAGGACCATGGCCTTCGGACATGAGCGTCAGGTTCTACTTTTCCGAACTTCGAGGCCCTTGCGCCATTCCTCTATTTTTTTAATTTGGCACACTTGGCGGAGCCATGGCTGTTGACTATTTCACTAAAGCGTCCCCCGGCCCGATCATTTAGAGTCGCCGGAATTAATTTTGATTGACGGGTCATAATGAAATCGACTGCCTTCCTCTTTTACTGATCTCTGTATACCCATTCAATTTTCGTGCGTCTCATCATGGGAGTATATAACTATCCATCCCTGGTGATTGAACATTTTCGCCCATGGCGCTTCGCATTACTCAAAACGGAGAACACTTTTTCACATTCCAAGTAAGGACAGCGAAATGGTTTCTCGCCAGTATGAGAACGCACATGATCATCGAGGTGGGCAGGGCGTGAAAAAGGTTTGTCGCATAGCCTGCACCTATACCGGCAAAACTGTTGAAGATCCTTATGTTTATCAGGAGGATATCCGCGTCGATTGTATTCTTTCATGAGAGGCATGGATCCATACGGACGATGTCGAATCCAGGGTCTTTCATGATCGTCGACAGGGAGCAAATCTCGGATCAAAGTGGGAGAATCAACGGATGTCGCAGAAGTGGGGCAGAAAGCCGGCGGCAGCCCCGAAAGCAGAGCTTGAGAGCCGGAAGTGCCCACGCCAAGATTTATACCCGTAGCTTCTGGTGGGAAACGAATTGATTCTGTGCTGCTAGGCGCTATATCTGTAGTGCTTTTCCGGCTGATACTGAGGGCTGCAGGAAACGTCCGGAGAGGACGATGAATGGATGTGCGGGAAGCGTCATGGCGATTCGATGCCAATTGAATGGATAGGTTCCCTAGGAGAATCTCGTTGGATTGATGAGAGAGATATTCGGTTTTAAGCTGACAGACCTTTTCGCTTTGCATCATACTCAAGATTTTGCACCATTGTCGCAAATGATGGCAGAATACTTCCTTTTAACTAGGAAAACTCGATAGTCACTGAAATATTTTCAGTCGATCTGATATGTTGTGTGAGCAAAATTGCATACCGCGGGAAGCTTGTGAAGTAATCTTTTCGATTCAATCAATCATGGCAGTCGCAGGAACGTATGGTCGAGTCAAACTTTCGGCAGGTGAATTACATCATGAATGAGAGGGTACCACGGTCCTTTTGATAGTTTGATTAACTAGTTAGCTTCTAGAACCACAATATTAGTCATCAGAATCTGGCACTGAGAATGCATTTGTACTAATTTTGCCGTCCGATTGTTGCTGTTCCTAAACGCATCACTATAGCCGAGATGGAAAATATAGTGACATGGCTCGCATTTCTAATAGGATACATACCCAGCCTACTCCCGAACACTATCCCATAAGCCGTTCTATACGCGAATCGTCCCATCCCATCACACCGACGGCCATCCGTCCACCCACGTCAGCACATTCTATCCAAACTGGAACTTATCGGTGGTAACTCCAATAGTCTTATTGACCCACTGGTAGTACAGCACCAGTCCGCGGGTGCTATCATTCATCACGCCCCTGGTCGTAATCAGCAGGAAGTCAGTTACCAAAACAGTACTTAAAGAACGACTTACTGTCCACCAGGCGCATACACGTTCCCATGACTCTGTAGCACTACAGTACCGCCACCGTCAGTGCAGGACCTACCGGTTCTATCCACCTGAAAACAAATATTTAGCATTTCGTTGCCGTCCACAGCCAACATAGAGCTGAAAAAATAGATAAATAAAACTTACGAAACCCCCAGTCCCAGAATTCGACCGACAAACGTCAATGTGATACTCCTCCCCGGGCGCCGGCGGCCGTGTATCGTAATGATCCGCCAGCCCCACTGAAAAGAACAGATAATACCATCCGTCGTGCTCAACCATAAAGGACGCTTCCATGCGATGCTCATTGCTTGGACCAGTCGAGTTGTACGCAATGTTGTGCGCCGAGCCAACCTTGACCTTCAGCCCGTTTTGCTCCCCCGCCTGGAACAGATTCTGCCAGTAGGATCCGAAGTTTATGTACTGAGTGCCGTTGATCTCGATCCAGTTGGCGTCGATGGCATTCCAGGGTGTCGCTGACGTGGAGCTGAGGCCCGTTGAGCCGTGGTCGTTCCATGAGCCAGCTTCCATGTCCCGGGATGTTGCGACCCCAATTACGGAATCTTGCGAGCCCAGCGTTGACACGCTATAGTACATGTAATACTGGCCTTTATTGTAGTGGACGTCCGGGGCCTGCGTGTGTTGTCCTGGTATTAGCTAGGGAGGGAGACTTTTTGTGGGGATTTACATACCCACAGGTTATCATTGCCTGGGTGGTTGATTTTTGAGCCACTGGGTAGGGCAAAGCCGGTCTCAGTCCAGGGACCCTCGAGGGCGTCCGCCGAGCTGACGTGAATGCCTCCACCGGTAGCGAAGCGGAAGTATTTACCGTCCGAAACTCGTTGATATAACCTGGGTCGTGCGTCCAGCAATTGCCCGTACAGGGCCCAGGGTCCGAGTAGGCATTGACCACAGCAAGGAAGAGAAAGGGGATGTAGGCGAACATTATGTATGAACCCCCCCCGTAACCAGCGGTAAGGGCTTTCAAAGACAGGAAAAGAGATAATTGGAAGTACATTTCTATATCAAGAACCGTAAAATAAAAGGAAAAGCCTAATAAAAAGAGAGACATACCCTCTATTTATGTCTAAGGTTCCCGCAGGTACTAACTAGCTAGGTACTAACCGACTAGGTACTAATGCATGTAGTTTGTTGTGGTTGATTAGTTATTCAATTTTAGTCTGTTCGAGCATGTCTATTTTCTGTGGCCGCTATTTAGATTCAGATCAACTTGTTATGTGCGGTACGTTCCGTATGTAATAGGCCAAGGTTGATCATAATTTCATCTTACTCCAACCGTTGACCTTGATATAGCCCGTGGGCAACCTCCTCAACCCGCGCTAAGACCCGCCAAGAAGCGGATTTTGGATCCTGCGCTTGGACCCACGGCTCCTAAGATTGGGAAAGCCGCAGCGAATAACACATATCCGCGCTAGAACCTGGACGAATTTGTCGGTGACCCATAAGAGTATTACACATATCCTCCCATGAACGGGTTTTTGGTTGACTCTCTATACCCACCGGCGGGTTAAGCTTTTTAATACGCAACCCATGGGTTTTTAAGTTAAGTTAGAAACCTCTGCTGACCCTGTCAGTCCAACCAAACAGCGCCACAAACCCGCCCTCACTCTGATATTCATTATCAGTGGTATGTACAGCCTTAGACGGGGCCATACATGCCAACATGAGGTCCCATTTGACGTTGACGGTGGCAAGGGCGGGCTGGCCCAAAGCCGCTTTAATCCAACACGGGCACAGGGGTGCTCAACACTTCTCTCCGACGCGATGAGAGCATTGTGCAGCCGGATCAGAAGCACAGCTACAATCTATGGGAGGAAACTGACAAGTTGACCTGTCTATTGGACAGAGGAGAACGCGCGACGCGTGCCGGAGGCGGCCGAAGCCTGCCGCGAGGATTACTAGGTGACAACCACGGAGAACCTCGAAGAAGCGGTCCGAGCAGAACTAAGGTACCTCCTACGTGGTAACCACTTTGCGAGAAAGTCGTTATATCGGATGATGACATAGTCTGCATCCCGATCATTGATTCTTTGTCTCTCTGATAAGCTTGTTCATGCTATCAAGATCATCTATGACACCTCTCATCTTTGTTATGAGGCAAGTTTCAGATTTAAAGAATTATCCACCGCAGCCTCATACAGCCCTGATTAGTAAATTCGGAAGGTCCCTTTTATGATATGTAAAGCATCAGTGCTTTGAATGACTCCGGATTAAACCATCCACTTTGATAATGACAGATATCATGTGCGCAAATAAATAGAGGCTCTGCACTAGTACTTATGACAGGAATGGACAAGACGTCCCGTGCAAGGGCTGCAAGATCTGGAAGCTCTTATTGGTGCTCCTTCCCGAAGAAGTAACATACAAGGATGTTGAGATATCAGTCCTAGCTTATTAGTTTTATTAACTTGAAGTAGGGAAGCTTTCAGAAAGACCTACTTAGCGCATTCGACTGGCGCGCTCTTGCAAGCACTGTAAAGACCCGAGACCGTGTCGGGCTTCGCATTAGTAGCGACATGGTTGCGGACCTCGCATACTAGGCAATTATCACCCAGGAAACCCCGTTTCGACGCGCCTAGTTATAGCACCTAAGATTCAATTTGTCTGGTAGCGAGAAAAAGCATGCTCAGAAATGTGACAACTCGGAAGATGAAGCCCTGAAAATATATATGCAAATTAATCATACATGTGTACTTAGATCCAGGTTATCGAGGTATAACAATATGATGGGTGATGGGACGGGCCCAGACCAAGACATAGTTCATAGGGTCTAAGACGTCCACTTTTGAAAGTAATCGGTCTAGTGGAAATCTTGTTTGTTCGACTCAATAATGTTTAAATTGACCATCCGTTAACAAGTTGATTGCTTGAATACTTTGTACAGCGATCAAGGGCAGTGAACAAGCTACGCCTGGTCAATGCTTGACTGGAAATTTGTCTTGAAAGCACAAGAATGCCAATAGGGGCCAGGAAAAAAAGGAAATAGGGCAGAAGTTCAAAGATGTCTATAGTCACCTGACCAAGTCGCTAGCAGAACCATCCCTTACATCCCTGTCATCTAAATTCGCTCCGTCTCTTCTTTGCCTGAGTTCTTCTAAGGAGTCATCATAGAAGAAGGAACCTAACTAGCTAATAGCTGCGAGAGCAAAGCATTTGACACAACATTTTGGCCCCATTCCATCGGGTGGCTGTGTGTAGATGCCAAGAGACTGAGCGTTTTAGGGACACGATATGTTCCAATAATACTCCGTATACGTAGTACCATCGTTCCACTAAGAGGGTCTGTGCAGCGGCCCATGACGGAGGGTGAGAATCACCAGTTCTCACCTTGCTCCTCACCCTGTCGCTTGCGCACTTACCCTTCTCACCCTCGGTCGCTCGACGCTAAAGCGACGCTCACCCTATTCTCACCCGGGTGGCACCCACCCGACTATTAACTGTATTTTGGCCCCACGCCAAATGGTCGGGCTAGCCAATAGATTGTCTAGCCTGTTGGGGAAATAGCTGAACGCCGCTTTTCTGTCGCGCGACCTGGGGTGATAAGGTGAGTGTTTTACAAGAAAATGGGAATCTGGGTGAGAGTCACCCTCGGTCGTGCGACTCTTCAAATCCGTAATCCGCCTCCAGATAAAGAGAGCCTCTGCTGCCATCATTTGACATATTTCAGGGATTTTGCGCCTCTTGAATCGACATGTCGGGCAGAGCAAATCGACTATAGAGCAGCATTCACCCCTCGTCGTGACATATAAGCGTTCTGGTTTGAGATGAGACTATTGCCAGTCTCAAGACCGAAACCCTCGCATGATATTGTCAGAAGTTACTTCGTTCCGGCTATTCGCGTTGATCCAGGGTCGAATGTATGCCTTGGTTCCTGAATCATGCCGCCTCGCCTCAGCCATTCCCCACCAGAAAGATATTCTAAGTGGAAACTACGTTTTCATAGGGATAGTATCCTAGAAATCCTTGACATTTATACGTAATACCCAATATTAGCCTTAATTAAGTTATACTAGCAGATATTACCAATTCTATAGGGCTAGCTTACAATACCTCGGTAAGATTATTGTTAGCCTGTCAATGGGACCGCCGCATGACCTGTATTCTTGGCACTCTTTTTCATGGAAGCGGAATATGAATAAGGTCGCTATTTTTTCATGTACAACGAGAGGCATGGTCATCTCTCCTTGACTTCCCTATGAGCCTGTGCTATATTAGGTACCCGCAGAATCACTTCCGAAAAGAAACTTCCGGCATTTCCAAGGTAAGTACTAATACAATATACTAGTCATTTTTGAGTATATATAAACTTAGGCCGACGCCACAATTTGGTCTTCACTTTCCAGTTATTTCGTCCGAATATCTTTTTCCATAATTTTCACAATGCTGGGAAAGGTTGCGCTAGAGGAAGCCTTCGCGCTTCCACGCTTCACCGAGGAAAACCGCTGGTGGGCAGGTCTGTTCGCTACCGACGTGGACAAGCACATTTCTGAAATCAATGATATCGATACCATCCGCTTGGACTATGCCAAAAAGTATGGTGTAGGTTTTCAAATTCTTTCATATACTGCCCCAGGTGTACAGGACATCTGGGACCCTGAGGCGGCGCAAAGTCTAGCAGTGGAGATCAACGACTATATTGGTGCCCGTATCAAGGGTAAAGGAGACCGCTTTGGCGCTTTCGCGTTAGTATCTCTTATCTCGGTATTATAGACTTCCACTGAGAATTTTATCAGGACTTTGTCTATGCATAATCCCGAACAGGCGGCTGCGGAGCTCGAACGCTGCGTTGGTCAATACGGGTTCAAGGGTGCATTGGTCAACGACACAGCGCTGCGGCGAGGAAGAAGGTCACGGAACTTGATGTGCCGTTCTATCTTCATCCTCGCAACCCTACAGGCCAGCAGTATCAAAAGCTCTGGGCTGCCAGGAAATGGCTCCTAGGGCCTCCCCTTAGTTTTGCGGAACGAATTAGTCTTCACATTCTAGGTATGATTACCAATGGTGTCTTCGACCGTCACCCAAAGCTTCAAATCATTATTGGACATCTTGGTGAACATATTCCTTTTCGACCTCTGGCGTATCAATCACTGGTTTGAAGATATCAAAAAGCCTCTCGGGCTTGCTGAAACCTGCAAAAAGACCATATACCAGTATTTCAACGAAAACCTGTGGATCACTACCTCTGGACATTTTTCTACACCGACATTGCAGTTCTGCATGAGCCAGATTAGTGCGGACCGCATCCTCTTCTCGATTGATTATCCATTTGAGAGTTTCCGCGATGCATGTGATTGGTTCGATAACGCTGAGATTTCGGTGACCGATCGCTATAAAATTGGGCGAGAGAATGCCAAGAATCTGTTTAAGTTGGAGGAGTATGCTGATTCTTCAGCTTGATTGTTCTCGTGATAAACATTGTGCATGGATGTCACGATGCTTAGTTCATACGATTTCCGCCATTCCGTACCTCTTGATAGTGCGTGGAGTTAAGTGCTATAGAAAACAGATTTTCCTAGACGACAGAGAATTATATTAGCTAAAGTGTTCCAAATTTCTTGCAAGAGGCTCAATCTAGAGTTAATATGTATAACACTACAACGTATTGCCAACACTTGATATCTAGAACCAGCAGCTGATAAGAACGTATCCTAATATTATATCATTCGCAATGAGATAAAAAAATTAGAAATCCAAATTTTTCGATCTCTATCTAGCAAGAACATGATATCACCATCCATATAAGTAGATAAACTATCTCACTAAGTCCTAATCGCCAGCTCCACGGTCCGGGCGGGAAGTTCCCAAGCAAGTAACAGCGGACGAGCCTCTCCGGTCCAGTCGCAAGAACAATTTCCAGGAATCCCTATTGAACCTCAAACCCAGCAATGCCATCCATCCTGTCAAGTTAAAAGCCCATGTGCTGTGGCCAATATTGTGAAAGCCAGCTTCCGAGACCTTCACATTGAGGGTATTGAACAAGAACCGGAACTATTGAATTTTAAGATCTGTAGGATTGAGCCACCACATGACTATCATTAAGATGACCCCATCCTACCTTCACACGCAACTGCTTTCGCTGCTCAGCGGAGTAGGGAGGATCTATCCAAGGGTGGCGCGGAGCCGAGCGCAGTCAAAAAGCCAGCTAGCAGGCTCTGAGTGGAGGTAGCAGGCGATCCACTGGATTTTCACACTGCAATGCAGGTGGATCCCGTCAATTGGTCTCGTGTCATACGCGATGAATTTTCCGCGCATCAAAAGAATCAAAGATATGAAATTATCCCCTTGCCCTTGGATAAGACTGCGATTGGCTGCAAATGAGTGTTCAAGACAAAGTATGATGCGGAAAGGGACATGCATCATAAAGCTCACCTAGTTGCAAAGGGCTTTGAGCAAGTATATGGAGTACATTATCAAGATACATATGCACCGGTTGCCAGGTTGACATCCGTGAGGCTCCTGCTGGCCCTCGCTGCCTGGTTTCAGTGGGAGATAGAGCAGCTGGACGTCGTTACTGCCTTTCTTAATCCTCACTTGTCAGAAGAAATCTACATGGAGCCACCAGAAGGCATGGAAGTTGGAGCTGGAAAGTCTCTGCGTCTACGTCGGACGCTCTACGGTTTGAAACAATCCCTTCATGAATGGTACTCTGATATACACAAGAAGCTGATGACTCTTGAGATTTAATACTGATAGAAAGCATTTGACATCAAAAAGCCATGGATAACGACTCAATTCCCAGCCTTGCAGTGGTGGGCAAAGGAAGTAGAAGACATACGAGTTAAGAGTGAACCATTCGGACATGTGTTCGATAATTGTCCCTTCGGTTGAAGTTTCTTTTGCAAGTGGTGCATGTAAACGTGTCCCGCGTAATATGCATTGTCTGGCCCCAATTGCTTGGCGGAAATGATGTCCGTTTCAGGTTTAGCAAGGATTGTTCTGTTAAACGGTTGTACTAGCCCCCCACAGCCACAATTCCACAACCATGGTTTTCCATTATATGAAAGTTTTATTGTTGCTTCGATCAGAGTGGCCAGGAGAGTGGCCCCCATTGAAGCATGGAGTTCGTGAAATCGGCAGCCCCGTTTTTATACTCTACCATCATGTTCCCCGTGGGGATGGGCTGCCGATGAAAATCACCAAGGCACGGTTCGGCCTATTGCATCGGTGGGATCAAGCCTAGTGCAAGCGAGATTTCCTTGAACCGTCCTTTAAAGTTGGCCCTCTTGCCTCTTCTCTGGTCTCATTCCCAAGTTAAGTTCCATTGCCATGTCGTTTCTTGTAAAAACGCTGATCGCATCGGCGGCGCTTCTACCCTCGCTGGCCTACTCCCAGGCCAATGCTGGTGATGCCGGGTCGAGATCACCAGATGCCTATCAATGGATTCAACCCGCAAACACTACCATCCTGGGCGAGTACGGCCATTCACCGCCAGTCTACCCCTCTCGTAAGTCTGTCCTTAATACACGCATGCTGGCTTGCTGCTGATGTTACTTAGCCAATATCATTGGGTCAGGCGGATGGGAGACAGCACTAGACAAGGCAACCCATTTTGTCTCGCTGCTCACGCTTGATGAGAAGGCGTGGCTCGTTACCGGTGTTGCCGGGCCATGTATCGGGAACATTGGCCCCATCCTGCGTCTAAATTTCACAGGCCTCTGTCTCCAAGATGGCCCAAATGCTGTCCGACCTTCGGACTATGTGAGTGTGTTCCCCGCCGGAGTAACAATTGCTTCGTCCTGGGATCGGGATCTCATCTATGAGCGATACCATGATTTGGGTCTCGAGTACAGAGGTAAAGGTGCTCAAGTTGCCCTGGCGTATGTTGCTGCCCTGAATGCTCTTACCCTGGCGCCAGCCAGCTGACATTGTCACATACAGTCCTGTTGGAGGCCCATTGGGCCGGACGCCATATGGTGGGCGTAACTGGGAGGGCTTCTCCCCAGATCCGTACCTCACCGGAGTTGCCATGGAATCAAGCGTGAAGGGCCTACAAGATGTTGGAGTTCAGGCAACGATCAAGCACTGGCTTCTCTACGAACAAGAAAGCCAACGCTCGCCCACCACCTATCCCAATGGCACGCTCGAGTTCTCAGCCTACTCCTCGAACGCTGATGATCGAACCATACGTAATTTGCACTTTCTTTCTTCTTGCCTCCTGTTATGGCCTGTTAGTTCTGACAACTATCTTAGATGAACTCTATATGTGGCCCTTTGCCAATGCTATCCGTGCCGAAGCTTCCGCTGCCATGTGTTCGTATAACCGTGTCAACGGTTCATATGCGTGTCAAAATTCGAAGCTTATCAACGGACTCCTGAAGGAAGAACTAGGATTTCAAGGATACGTGATGAGTGATTGGGCCGGTCTTCACTCCGGGGTGGCCTCCGCCCTAGCAGGAATGGACATGGATCAACCGGGCTTCATTGAGCCCATGACACCCCTTCACAATCGGACAGGTCTCTCTTCATACTTTGGGTGGAATATAACATGCGCTGTCCGAAACGGTACACTTCCGGAGACTCGCCTCGACGATATGATCAAAAGAATCATGACACCGTACTATTTCCTCCAACAAGACCAAGGCTTCCCGGCGACGGATCCGGCAATGGCGTACTATAATACCCAGTTCTCGAGTAATAATTACTCGATGGATTCGTTCGTGTTTGGAAACAAGAGCCGCGATGTTCGACAGGACCATGGCATCCGCATCAGACGACATGGGGCCGAGTCGACTGTGATGCTCAAGAATACGAACAATGCCCTTCCTCTGAAAGTGCCAGCCAGCATAGCGATATTTGGCAGTGATGCAGCACCCAATACTCAGGGGCCTTTCATTCGTGGAGCTTCGGAAATTGGTACTCTTGCCGTTGGTGGAGGGTCAGGCAATGGTCGCTTTACCTACCTTGTTTCACCCCTACAGGCCCTCGAGGAACGGGCTTCTGAGGATAATACTCTGGTCCAATTCTGGCTGAACAATACCATGATAAAAGACGCAGAAATAGAGAGTCTCTGGGGCGCGTCTGCTCCTGAGGCCTGTCTTGTATTTCTGAAGACCCGGGCCACTGAGCGCTTAGACCGTGAGCATCTCACAGTAGACGAGGATGGCGATGCCGTCGTTGAGAGTGTCGCCAGTCGATGCTCAAATACTATTGTGGTGACTCACTCAGGGGGCATGGTCATTATGCCATGGGCAACCCATCCCAATGTCTCAGCAATCCTTGTCGCACATTACCCTGGCCAAGAGTCTGGACATTCGATCGTCGACATTCTCTATGGAGCCAAGACCCCATCTGGCAAACTTCCCTACACTATTCCCCTGAACCCTGAAAGCGTTAATGCCCCCCCGACTACCAATATCACTACCTCGGGTGTCGACGACTGGCAATCATGGTATTCAGAAGGTCTCGAGATTGACTACCGCTACTATAATAGCCACAACATACCCGTGCAATATGAGTTTGGATTCGGCCTCTCATACACAAACTTCAGTATGGACACGGACTCGATGGTGGTGAAGCCGACAAATCCAGAGGCTCACATTCAGTCTCATCCAGAGGCCCTGGCAACGCGCCCAGGTGGAAATCCAGCCCTTTGGGATATTCTGTTCGAGGCACAGGTGACATTCCGGAATACGGGGACGACACCTGGTGCCACTGTTGCGCAACTATACCTTTCCTTCCCCCCCTGAGGTTTCAGAGCCTCCGCTCCAATTACGTGGATTTGAAAAAGCTGAGCTTGCCCCCGGCGAGAGCTACACGGCTACGTTCCCGCTAATGCGCCGAGATCTAAGTTACTGGAACGTCACTCAGCAAGAATGGCTTATACCCACGAGTGATTTTGTCTTGGATGCTGGCTTCAGTAGCCGTGATCTACATGGCTCTGTGACTTTTCGTCCTGTGGCTTAGTTAACTGGGATGTTGAGAGGTTGTTGGAGGCACCGTCCACGGCGGTAAACACCTTTCGACCATCCAGCAGCTTACGGCCTTCTGGGTCCAAATTTTCAAGGTGATCCTCATGGCTAAGAAGCACAGCATCGATAGGCGGCAGCTCATTGAGCTGAAGCGCTGGTCCTTGCTTGTTGACAAGGTGCGGTGGTGGCGGGATGCTGTCAAGACCGTACGGTTTCAGGTCCATTTGCTCCCAGGCTGCGGTCGAATCATACTCTGTCCCTTCTATGGCCCCGAAAAAGGGATCTGTCAGGAAGTTGACTCCATCAATGTTGAGAATGGCAGTTGCAGTGGTGATATGTGTGATTATAAGGGTTGGTTTGGATGTTGCTGCCATGGCTGCGGTAAGGGCGGAAGGCGGCAAGGGGGGGTTTTTGATGCTGCAGATCAGATCAATAAAATGGAATATTGAAATATTCTATTCAAAAGAATCAGAGATTTAAATATGTTGCCATTCTGAAGATATTAGAGATTCCGTTTCATTCTACTGATGATGTAAGTTCGGCTTATCCCACCTCAGCACATAAAGGAAGTAGTTTTATTGGGGTTGCCTCAATGCTAGGCCTCGCCAAAACCCGCCCACGGGTCGGGTTGGGTCTTAGTCAGCAAACCCGTGGGCGGGTTGTCATTATTGTTTTATTAAGTGATGCTTCAATGTTCATGTTGTGTTGTGTTGCATGTCTAAGATACAAGCTTGCCTCTGCGGGTAGCTCGTCATCTCTCACGCAGTCAAGTCTCAATTTTGTCCCTCCTGCCTTCCCTCTGTATATAGAATCCACTACAATATACAATACAGACATATTGCCTCCCTACGAGGGAGCGCGAACGGGCCCTATCTGACGCTACGGTGTACCACCGCAGCGACAGGTGACCCGTTATGGCCAAACCACACTCTTCTTGCTCCTCTTGACTGCGTGAGGTCATCAATAAAGTCCCATTTTGCCACAAGATCACACAAAAATTTATAATACTTACTAAATATTTATTCAGCAATTCGGCACACCCGGGGCAAGTGGGTATCAATCGCACCGAATTATTTATCTCTCGGCAATCACCACTTCCAGGGTTGTACACAAAAAGCTTGGCGGTAATCTAACCGTTTCGGGGCTAATGTGGTGGGGACAATCCAAGCTCAGTAGGGAGAACACCGAAAATGACCCCGTAAGTTGAAATCCGATATTTTCGTGCTAGAAGATACGGTAAAGGACATATGATCTTTACAATAACTGCGATCCGCTATACTCTTAAGCGTATTCAGACTAAATGTATTTAATCATGGATATCATGCTGCAACTACGTTACAAAACAGTAGCCTCACTCTAAACTTTATACTTCCAGGTGTACCTCGGTCTTTGGTCACGATAAATTATTCTACAGGATTGCCAAATATTTATATATATGGTTGGAATGTTGTTGTACAGGCATCAATTTGTTCGACAAAGATAAAGAATGAATGTTATTTTGCCAAGGGGAGGTTTCTCAAGCTACCTGCATCTTTTCTATCTCTTTGATAAAGGAACTCGCCTTCCGACTCCTGTGTCCGTAAAAGTAGAAGACAACAGGTATCAAGATGCACACAGCCTCCACAATTCCTAGAATTATACTTGCCCAGTTCAAGCCCAGAGCCTTATACATTGATGAACCTGCAAGCGGGAGGAATGCTCCCATGATACTGCGAGTGAGCATATTCCCTGCGAGCGCGGATGCAGCATAAATGCCATATTACCGGGCAATGTAGTTTGAGGTGTAAATGAAGACGCATGCATTGCCCACTCCAAAGGGAACACCAGCTAGAATGGGGACGATCCAGTGAACGTTTGGGGTACAAGTCCAGGAGAACCACAGCTGACTATTGAATGAGGATCTTCTTACGGAGGCTAGATCTCTTTATGAGTCTATTAGACTGGGGTACTGGCTACGCTAAGGGTGTCACTAGGACTGTTGTTGGACTAGAAGGAAAGTCAATCAATAATACATCTTTTTGGGGATTTGAAATGTGGGAAATGCGGCCTATGAATATTTGTGTCGCTACAATCAATGGTTCGGTGCAGCTGCGAGGTTCTTCAGGAAAGTAGTCTTTTCTCAGCGGTTCATCCGGTACTTCTCCACGAACAAAGAAACCTAAGGAATCTACAGAACAGAAACTTTCTCGCCACCCTTCAACCAACAAATCTTATCACTGATACCTTCTTCCTCAAAGACTTGGCGCAGCTCCTCCCCAAACTGAGTGAAATGTCCCCAAGATTCATAGTGCATGGGAACAAGAACATCAGCCTTCAGAGCCCGAAACAACTTAGCCCCATCCTTGCCTCCCATGGTAATCTGAATGCGAGGACTATCAGGATCGCCAGAAGTAGGAACATGAGCATTGCCGAGATTCATCACGGCGGCACAAACATGGTACCGATTGGCAATGGAGTCAAGCTCATCAATATAGACGGTGTCACCAGTAAAGTAGATTGCATTGGGCAGACCCTCGCGCCCATGGCCGAAGTCTTCTCCGGTGACGATAAAACCGGTGCATTCATTTCCAGGAACATGCTTCGTTGGGACCGCCACGATCTTGAACTGCTTGCCAGCAATGGGGATGTCGATCTCTTCCCATGCATTCATGCCGTGCACGGCGGGGCGAGGCGCGAGGTTCTTGGCTCCATCCGAGGTTGTGAAGACGCGGCGGCCGTCCAGGAGTTGGCGGCCGAGTTCGTCTAGGTTGTCGGGGTGGTCTTCATGGCTTAAGAGCACTGCGTCGATCACGGGGAGCTGGTCTAGACGGAGGCTGGGGTCTTCGGTCACCTTGAGGATGACTCGGCCGCGGTCCCAGGAGGTACCGGCGGGGGAGAAGAAAGGGTCTGTCAGGAATTTGACACCGTTGATCTCGAGGATGGCGGTGGCAGTGCCGATGTGGGTCACGTCAAGAGAAGGAGCCATAGTGAGCGGGAGATGTGATGGAGGTTGGTAGTAGTTTGAGGAAAGAAGCTTTGAAAATTTAGCTGGGGGATGCTGGGATTGCGAGTGTCCTGGAGCCCTTATAAAGTGAGAAAATAAGACTTGTGAGTAAGAATATTCAAAGATTGATTGGAAAAATTAAAAATCTTACTAAAATGGGCATGACTAACTAATAGCTCAACTCGTTAATCAGCTTTGATTTCCGGCATCCCGCCCTGGCATCCCGCCCTGGCATCCCTCCCCCGCGGTGGCAAAGGACTATGATTACGTAGTAATGACGGTGCTCGGGCCGATAATTTACTTGGATGACCAATATTATATACGATATTTTCATACTAGCAATATTGGAAGCTTACATAGGTCAAAAGGCATCTCTGGTAATCGCCAAGTAGTCTTACTCTTGTGGTCTTCGTTGTGACAAAGGCATAAATCGGAAGAATAGACCAAAAGAACCACTCTACATTTCGTCATTCTTGGAAATTTCCTGCTATGATTAATTGAGAAAGACTGCTTAGGATGAATCAAAGACCCAGAAGGAGAAATTAGAACCCACCAAAGACGCGCTCCTACATAGAAAAACGATCTGTGTCTCGGGTGGTGGACCATAACCATGGAAATTAATGTGACGGCAAATTGACTTTTAACATGGAAAGTTTGAATAAAATCAATGCTATCAATCAATCAACTAATAATAGACCCTCGATTATTGTATAGACCCGAAATCATGGTGTTTTTGAATAGGTACAGACTCTGTCCTTGTCCAGGATTGTCGGAGAGATCATATTCACAACTATCCTCTCGTTCTCTCCATCTCTTGAATAATTGGGCTTGACTTGCGAATCCTATGACCATATATGTAGAAAACAACCGGAATAGAAATACAAGCCGCTTCAACAAGGCCTAACAAAGTGCTCGCCCAATTCAACCCCAGCACTCGGTACATTGACGGACCCGCAAGTGGAAGACAGGCGCCCATAATGCTGCGAGAGAACATATTCAGCGACAATGCAGAGGCAGTATAAATACCATACGAGCGGGCCATGTAGTTATTGGCGTAGATGAAAACACAGGCATTTCCAGCGCCAAACGGTACACCCGCCAAAATAGGCACGATCCAGTGAATATTCGGCGTGCAAGTCCAGGCGAACCATAGTTGGCCGACTGCTAGAAGTGTTGCGCCGAGAATAACAATGCTGGCCATCGCTTCTGGTGGCACCTCTCCGGTTGAAGGATCTTTGCGATGCGCATTGATAACTTTGCGGAAAATCGGCTCACAAGCGATGGTGATTAGAACCCCGACGCCGATGCCAAGGAAGGAGAGGCCACCGATTCCTGGAGACCAGCCACGGTCAGTCTGGAATGCGATGGGGTACGCGACGAAACATAGATAAAGAACGCCGTAGACGATTGCGACATAGCTAGCCCAGAATATACTAAATGGAGGCGCGGATTAGTCTCAAATATCTCAATCAGGGGTATACGAGACTATAGTGAAAGGCTTACCAGATTGGCTCCGTCATTAGCATGATAAAAGGTCTGCGGAGCCCAGTCTTGAGGCGATTCGAAACTTTCTCTCCGCCGTCGTAGCGAGTCCACCATTTAGAATCACCGGTTTCTTTCCGAAGGGTTGCTGCCCGCTTTCGAAGAATCACCGGGGCGTATGTTTCCTTGATGCAGCACATCAGAGCGAGAACTGCACCGCCAATGATTAAGACAATCCAATTTGTCCATCTCCAACCCAAATATTGGTAAACAAAGCCCCCTATAATAGGACCATATACTGGACCGTTTGTAGGCCCAATAGACCATATTCCAAACGCCAGAGCGCGGTGTGTATCAGAGACAATATCGTTCACCGAAGCCGGTGAGTTCCCCATGATTGCGCTGCCGAATAGACCGCCGAAGAACCTGCCGATGAGAATTGCCTCAATATTCTGAGCCAAGGCGCTTGGAAGGATTAGTAAGAGAAAGACAGTCAAGGACACCAAGTAAACCGGTCGTCGCCCAACAATTTCACTTAGTGGGGCAGAGACGATGCCTCCTATCGCCATACCGAGTAGGTAGGTAAAGACACCCAGGAGACCGACGGTTCTTGAAATGTGGAATTCTTCCTCTAGACCGGGAATTCCTGATGTGTATAGAGTACTGAAGAGACTGACGACTGTTGCACCGAGGCTCATTGTCACAACACTGACGCCTTTGTACCATAATGACCAGAGACGAGGATTTTCGGCGTCGTTCGGTTCCCAGAAGACCTCATAGTCTGGGGGATTTGCCAGTCTGGGTAGCTTCGAAATGGTGGGTTCAATATGGTGAGTGGTGTAGCCTTCTGCGTCCGCTGTGTAGCTTCGAATCAATTCGGCGTTGTTGTTCGACATGACTTCTGATTCGGAGTCTGAATGGAGGGAAGAAGCCATCGGCGTGGACGTCACTGCACAGTATGAAGTATGCACGCGAATATTAGATTGAAAAAAAAAAAGAAAAACCCTTTTTCCGAAGTTTGGGGAAAGGCTCTGGTGAAATCCGACAAAATAGAATACGAAATGCAAACTTCGATGCATTTTATAATTCATTGAAGCGGGAGTGGCCGGGTGGGATGCCGGAATCAATGTAACAATCTAGTTGGCTTAGTAACAAACAACCGCTGAAGAGAGATTGATTGCCACCCCAACTTTTTCTTCGACCTGACCATTTGCATTCCATTTTACCTTGTTTCAAAAAAGAAGAAGGTACAAAGCGGTCCCTATACCACGATGCTGTCAAGCCCAGAATCCGATAGCATCGACTCGTCTTTAAAGTGCGATTATCCAGGATGTCATGCAGCTTATCAACGAAAAGAGCACCTAAACCGACATATGTCACACCATAATCGAAGAGAGCGCTGCTCCTGTCCTTATTGTGACAGTACTTTAACCAGAAGGCATGCTCTATCGTCACCCAGTTGCACCCCCAGCTGCCTATCTTGAGTACCGTCATGAAGGCTAATTGTTTCCAGTGATCTCTTACGTCGCCATGTTCGGAAGTACCACCCAGACAGAGAATTGCCGCAATCGCGGGCGCTAAGGGCCTGCACATCTTGCCATGCTCGAAAAGAGCGCTGTGACGGCGGGTACCCATGTGCTCGATGTCAGCGCAGAGGGACTGATTGTTCACTCACGCGCCAAAAGACTGTTCTAGTTGACCGTACTATGCGAGAAAAGCAAACTCTCTTTAGCATAGACTTGGTGGGTTTTGCACCTGGCACGTCCAGGTGGATCGGCCAAGACTTTCTCGATATTTACTTCCGTGACTTCCATCCCGCTTGGCCGTTCCTTCATCGAGGGACTTTTAAGATGTCGACAGAGCCATGTGTCCTTGTTCAATCGATGGTGATGATGGGACTGTACATCAAAGGTGATCAAAAATCTCGCGACACGGCGATGACCTTTCACACTAAGTTGATATCCGCCATTGAAGCTCAAAAGGTACGAAATCTCTCCGCTGACAGTAATTCTAAACCCGCTGAAATTTCCTCGTAACAGTCCGAATGGTATGTCTCGGAATCGACGTCAGGTCTGAGTAATGAAGCGTCCTGGCCAATAGCGACCTTCCAAAGTGTCCTTTTACAGATTATATTCGCCCTCTTTGTGGCGGAACGAGAGACTACCTTCGATTTAAGCTGTCGCTACCGACTATCAGCTCCCGCCTACGGACTTCTCACAGCACTGGTAGAAACCTGTCGACAAGTAGGTTTGTTCTGCTACCCGACTATGCTCAGCAAACACCACCCCTCTGCTCCATTGGCACTTGTGTGGGTTAGCGTGGAAGAAATCAAGCGATTTGGTCTGGCGCTTTATAAAGTATGTCGGTCATGTACTTCTGGTGTCTCTTCCGACACGGAGCCTACCTTTTCGCAGAGATGGTCATCCCTTGAAAAGTGAGCTCTTAACACTCGCAGACTTAAATTTCTGCCTGCCGGATAGTGATGAATTGTGGAACGCTCCGCCCAGCCAACGACCTGCGTTGATTCGAGGTGCTGCTTCCCAGCAGCTGTTCAGGGATAATCGGGACTCAGGCAGCTGGATATCCCAGACGTCGAGGCAATTGAACGATGCTAGTGTCTCGTTTGATTGGATATAATGTGCTGTTAATTGTTCTTCATCAGCGCCTAAACTATGTACGATGGCCGATATCACCTGTCACAATTCAATAATCAGACTGCAGATGTGGCCAAAGGATTTACAGTATTCGCTCTTGGAACTGGTTAGACTGATCTTATTTTTTTTTTTCAAAAATCAATGACAGTGCTGTCTGCGAGAGAGCATCGGAACTAAACGGTGGCCTTAAATGCGAGATTGAGCATCCACCCGCATGGGGACGTGGAGCACTCATGGGCCGTGCTAATTATCACGCCCGTGTTCGTTTTGCCGAGAATGGTTCTACTTGGCTCATTCGAGTGCCTCGAATTAACAACAGCATCCCTCAGCAACTCATCGACTATCTTATTCGCAGCGAATATGCTACTCTTAAATTTCTTGAGACGACTAAAGTGCCTGCTCCTCGCGCATTCGGATATGGTATCGCTGGTGACACCAACAATAGAGTTGGTATAAGCTATATTCTCATGGAAGAGATGCCTGGCAAACCTTGGAATCGGCAAGGACCACGCGGAAAGCGTTCTGCAGATAACAAGGACAAGGAGAAGGTGCGGAATGGACTGGCAGATATTCTCATTGAGCTTAAAAAGTATGAGGAATTGTTTGGACTCGTTCTGGGACCTATGACCCCGAAATTTGATGGACCAGAGCAGTCCTACCCTCCAGCAGATAACCTCCACAGGCACCCTTGCTTCAAAGCAATCTTCGGGGCAGCTCAGACCTTCGATATATTGAGATGGATGTTCGAAGAGCGACAAGATATTTTAGCAACCTTTGTTCAGCGGTGTGCTGTACCTTTGAAAGATGCACGGCCCAACCTCATTCGCATGCGTGCTAGGAGATGACTCTATCGGTACACCTGGTATCTTCAATTCCCTATGCTGAGTTTTATCGGAGAGGGTGGCACTTTGACTACGAACATATTTGGCTCCTTACTGGATAGTTATCTGGAGACTGTCTATTGCTTCCTGGCTTGCTTTTTTCCCTTTGGTACCCCTAGGACATTTGGCCTCTCAACATTTAAATACACTGTTCTTTTAGCGCGTCGGGAGCCCTGGAAAAGCCTCAGTGAGCTTAGTGCTACAATACCCGGTCATCCATCTCGATCAACAATTAAGCGATTCCTCCGCCATAAAAGTCTTCGGAGATTTAGGGCGCGCCGTTGTATACCTATTTCAAAGGCAGTTGCTCGAAAGCGAAAGAAATTTTGTCGAACTTGGCGACGTGAGGCCCTTAATTCCCGCCTCGAAGACTTCATCTTTTCTGACGAATGCAGCGTCTAACGTATTCCGAATTTAACGGCTAATATGTTACACGCCTTGAAGGAGAAGCATATCGGCGGGGACTTGTGCTTGTTAAGCCTCATGTAAAGGATATTAGTCAAATGGTTTGGGCTGGTATCTGGCTTAGGGGGCGTACAAATCTTATGATCATGGAGCGTGACTTTTCAGAGAATCAAAATGGGGGTTATACAACCCAATCATACATTGATGTCTTGGAAAAATGTTTTATTCAACACTATGAACCTGGAATTATCTTTCAGCAAGATAACGCCAAAATCCATCGTTCATATAGGGCACAGGAGTGGTTTGAACGTCACGGTATTGAGGTGTCAGATTGGCCTGCACATTCGCCCGATCTAAGCCCTATTGAACCCGTGTGGCGTATGCTCAAACGCAAATTATATGAGCTATACCCTAATCTTTTGAATTGAGGCACCTCTGACGCTGATTGGAAGCTATTCAAAAAGGCGATAATTGAGGCGTGGGATGCCCTAGATCAAAATAAAATCGATAGCTTCATTAGATCGACGCATGCGCGTGTAATTGCTTGCCAGCGAGCCCACGGATTTTATACGCGGTTCTAGACAATGAAGTTTATTTTTTTATATTGAATATTGATTATTCATAATATATTAAAATTTAGTGATAATATCCAATAAATTGCTTGAGATATATAAATATTTGAAGGCGGTGATAATGATATGGCAGAATTGCCTAATTCGGCGGTGTAGCCAGACTTCTGGCCTAGGTCTTTATGTACAGTACTGGCTTGTCAGGTACGGTTAGACAGCTTCCTGGTTTATAAACTAGCCGGAGCAAGGGGACGCCCCTCCGGATTAAAGTGTTCTTCGGTACGCTAAATTCGATGAAGAGCGTCTGAGAACTCAGGACGAAATCACAAAAATCGGGTAGTATTGTACGAAATTATCAAAGCTAGGAAAAGAAGAGAAGGAGAGATAGTCTCTCACAAGCGGAGGTGAAGCTTGTGGCTTGCAACAGAAAAGAAGCTGAAGTGAGGCCAGATGTAAAACAAATACAGTGATTATTTGGGCCGTTCTGCACTAGCACTGATTAGGCGAAAGTGACCCCGCATGCGGGTGGGACCCAATGCTTAATCTGCTTCCTACTAATCGTACAATGTATTTGTCGCGAAATGTCCTTAATTTTGATAAAGTACATACACTTTTGAGTAATTAATGGTCATCTGATAAATGAACCAATCAAATTAATTAAAATCCAAATATGTTGCTAAATATCTCATAATAGAAATATCTGAGAAGATATAGCCTGAAAAAATGTATGGTTGTTGAGATGTCGAATTATAATTTATCGCTTTTTAGTATGGTGTTCTTGAGTGGCCGGCTTGCATGGGTGGCCGGGTTACCCATGAAACATGTTAAGCAATTCCTGTACTGTAACTTTAGGCAACTCAAAAATGCTGTTTGAGAAGATTCTTCTCGTCCTCCTTAGAATTGTTAGCTTAAAGGATCGTAGAAAGGGCAGAAAAAGGCGTCACAAGATGAGTAAGAACCTACCCATAAAGGATTTGGTGCAAAGTAGGAATGAATGTAATGCTTCTGGCCACCATATTCTCGAATAATTGTGATTTGAACACTTCTGAGACCGGTTTTCTTCGCAATTCTACCGAGAATCTTCAGTAAGAAACACTCGTCCATGATGAATGGATAGTCTTGTGAAAGGATTGCTTATAATTCAAGCAAATTCAACTTATTTGGGATATTGTGCTGTATAAATCCACAAGCCACCTGACCGGGGACACGGACAGACCGTTGAACGCTCGCCAATATGCGGTCATATGAGGTGCATTTAAGCCAAACTTTCGAAGGCCTTTGGAAATCAACCAAACCAAACGATGTGAGTAGAATTTGAAATAAATACTGACCTTTTGATGCTTCATTATTCAAGCTTGTACACGGTTACGATAATCAGGTCATACGTTGCCACAAGGGGACCAAAAATAAGCAGTAAATAATACAACGGTGCACTATACGCCAAGAAGTGGAAAAGAAATCTGTATATGAATGAACGGCCCGTAAACCACCGGCCATCCTACTCTTATCTTATAAGTTCATTAGCACCCAGGGTCACAGAGAGTACGGTAGTAACACTTTTCCAAAATGAAATACAGCTTACGATTTGTGAAACCTTTAACATCTCTTCCGCTTTTATTGGCATGTATCTGTTTAATTTTCATAGGTATCAGCTGCACAAAGAATATCAGTCCCCAGAAGGAAATATATTTTCTACGGGTAAGATTTCGGTATTAAAATGCTTTCTCATGCTGACTTTTGTCTATCGTATTGAAGGCGAAGATAAAGAGTGTCTCCACTAGCATTGAAAAGGATATCAACAATATCATAAGCGAACGTCAGATTCCAGATGAAATTGATTCGATCGCTGATAGGAGTGCGAAGACCCTAGGGGTGAACAATCCTTTACCCACTGCCACGAGTGGTATAAAAAGTGCTGCAGATAGCGCTATCAATAGTATTTCTACTCTGGCTAGCTCAGTAGAAAATGATGTCGAGGCTATCAAGAATAACGTAGACCGCTCATTTTTTATCGGACTTTTAAGTTACTGCGAGGGAGACTCTGCGGAAAAGAAAAACTGCACACATCCAAAACCTGGGTATTCTTTTAATATCACTGATGCTATTGGTTTGAAAGGTTCCCTGGCGGAAAGGCTTCTCCCCGAAGGAATAATCAAAATCGAAAAGGTATACCAGCGGGCTACGCAGGCAATGACGGCTATGTATTTCATTGGGTTCGTCTCCACACCATTATCTCTTATCAGCACCGCTATCCCGATGTATGAGCATAGTGATAAGATCAGTGGGTTGTTGATAAGTGTGAGTTAACTGTATTATATCCAAGGGATTGATCTGATTGGTTTCAGATAGCAATCATTTCGAATATGGCGGGTTCGATAATTGCGACTTCGATCTACATGTCACTCAAAGCAGCTTTGAAGGCAATACCAATGATTGAGGTGGAGGCGTATATAGGGAGATCGATGCTAGGGATTACATGGTCTGCGCTCGGATTAACTATTGCTTCAGCTATTTTACGGTCAATAGTTCGCAGATATGGGAATTATGGGTACGAGATTTATTAAGGAGAAAATTTTTCAAAGAATCAAATTAGACATGAGCATGTGAAGAAAGTCGTATTCAAGAAGCCTAGAAAGTAGTTTGCATATGGTTGATTTTACGTGCCGTATTATACTATGCATGCTGTGCGAGTGCCAGTGCTAGTTGATGCTCTTTTCGGCCTATAATTTGATTGAGTCATATCCATTAACTGATCACAAGACTGACAAAGATATAAGACAATTGTCTCATGACAGCCCCAGACATAGGACGATTGTCACAAATCTACACTTGATATATGACTCGACAAGTGAGGTGACAATTGTCTTCTCTCAGATACTGATTTGAGAAAGTATTTAAAAGGGAGCTTTTATCCGTCTGCCGACGTCGCTTCTCAGTTTCCTTGGGATCAGTAACAGTATGCCCTCTTGCTTCAAAGCTCGCCAAATTGAATTCTTACTGACTATTCGCAAGTTACGATCAAAAATAAGTAGGTGCTCGTTTTGGTATCGCTCATTTTGGTATCTTTCAAATTCCGCCTCTACGCTCTCCTTTTCATCTAATGAAAGTTTGAAGACCATATGCCATCTTCCAGTTTCCCAATGATAGATCTCTCCTGACCTGCCCTTGGATAATTTGTCATCAGTCAACCGCGATGCCATAGATGGGGTCTCCCAGGACCGTTCAGAGTAAGATGAAAGAGGTCGAGATTTGTTGTTTGTTATAATACTTTCAGGCACACCTTGTGATCTGAAGTGCTGCATAATACCTGGGAGAAGTGGCTCAGAGAACCCTGATTGTTCCTGAAGCTGATGTAAAGTTTGCGCTCGTTGCTGATTCTTGTATGACGAGGAGACTTCAGACCTTGAATACTGGTTGGGTGAGGCTGGAATATTCCACTGAGAAACATTCTGAAGTGATTTAGCGCTAGATGGTCTGTGTAATGATGTTTCTTGCTCTAGAAGACTATTGATCATATCATCCTCCGCGGCGTTAAGGGGGGACGACCCTTCGTATTGTGTCCTCAGCGCCAGGTGGTTTTCTGGTATCTGTAGCGAGGCTTCCTGGTTATGAACGTCATATATAATTCCTTGCTGCGAAGTGTTGAGACGAGAAGGCACTTCATGTAATGTCTTCGATGAAGGAGGGTATGTTGCTCTGGGTGGTGAAGCTTCTTCGTTAAGAACATCATTCATCATGGTATCCTCGGCGGCGTTGATATTAGATAATCTTTCAAGCGCAGGCCCATCTCTGTTATTGGCTGTCACGAACGTCCCTGGTGGTTGGCAGTCTACTGCGCTCCGTGGCAGTGCCTCTTGGTCTATGATATCATTCATCATACTATCCACTGCAGCGTCATAGAATCGAGAAGAGCCTTCATATCTAGAGCCTATCTCCATCACCGCATAGGCTTTGCCATCTGAAGCGAGCAGTTCACCTGGTTGATTCCTGGCAATACAGCGCTCATTTGAGCCACTTGATAATGGCCCAAAAAAAAGCTAGATATATACTCCGCTGCACTAGCAATGCTGTTACATTTGCGGGCATCAGCCAATCCCAATGAATCTTAGCGAGAAACAAAGATTGAGAGCAGCTAAGAAATTGAGATTTGACAGGGTGTCCACAGCGATGCTTTCGGTTAATCTGGTGTTGCTGTCTTTCAGAAATATCATGGCTTTTCGGCGTCGCTGCATTGAAGCACTCTACAACCCGTTCAACCAGTGATTCAAAAATATGCTCATCATACGAGAATTGGTCTTTTTTGCGTGCTTTGAGTAAGGCCTGCTTAGCCATAAGATGGTCTGGTGACCTCTCAAGAAGATCGTGAATTTTGCTGGACTGAAACCCGAGCTTAGATGCCAGTTTTGCCATATTAGCTAGGATATTCTCGTCTACTTCGCTCTGCAGCGAACCCACATATTGGGGTTCCTTCTTGCTGCTCTGAGGTATGTCCGGGTAGTGGCGCATCGCAAAGAGCCATATCTGTCGGTATGCTAAGTCGAATCCATCGGAACCCGCGGGACTTCCTTCGGAATAGGCATTCTCCCCGGTCTCTATATAGAATGATCTGGGTCTCCATTCCCGGTCCATTCTCTGTCGAACAGTGTGACCATTCAGCTCAAAAAGACGATGCACACAATGTGCCCATTTTTCAAAACATTTAAAATCTTCGAAGAATGAGAATAACGACGGAATGCGGTCATCAAAAGAGCGTAATCTGAGCAAAATCTGCTTTCGCTGGACAGGACTAAACTCAGAGAGAACCTGGCCACTTGATACAAGACTATTCAAACTTGAAACCTCCACGGATGGAACCAAAAGTTCAAGATTTCTGACCGTCTCGTAGTTAATCTTAGCCAGATCTGCCATATTGCCTCCGACGAACCCCCGCCAGCAGACATATATATGATTCAAATATCGACATATTTCCTAAAATGACTTTTAGCGGATACTATTTGGGCAATGAATAACAGACCCCTCACCTCATTACATTTGATAGCTTGGATACGGTGGAACATACTTATGCGCAATGCTGGGCGTTGTCCCGGCATAAGCATAACGAGATCAAGGGCGTTTCGGAGATCAGCAACATTCAAAAATGATTTCAGACGCATCTGGCTATTCGATGAAAGACGTGCAGTCCATCTCAGCTCAGAATCAGTATCAGCGGCACTACTGGCACATCGTAGTCTGTAATATATATGGCCCTCGCTATATGGTTTCTCGTTGGCATATTCTTCGATAAGTATCTCCTCTAGACCATGGCAGATATCTAAAGGCGGTTGAGTGTTCAATGTAGATAGATTCAACAGATAAATCCGATTCAGTCTTACCGTTCAAGTAGAGATCAACTGTCCACCACTGTTTCCGTGGTGCTAAATAGCGTTTGCCGGCCAGAATGCGATGTTGACCGTGTAGACCACGTACATGGCGTTCGAATTGTAGTAGGGGAAGCTCTGCTGAGCTTGGATTATTCAGATCATTCCTTACAATGCCCGCTGTATTCAATGCCAGCTCAAACTGGCTCGCTGAAATAGTCACCGGAATACGGTGCTTAGGAGCTTCGTGCTGACAACCCTCTTTTTCAAATATGCCGTAAAGGCGATCCACATTTGCTGGGTCGATTGCCCTCGTATCACTAGGATCAAAGTAAATATCATCTAATTCAACCTTCACAGTCCCAAGAAATTTGTGTAGTCTATCAATCTCAGGATCGTCATGAAGGCCAGCCCGTTGCCCATCATTATTCATTATGGGATAATTCAATAAAGAGCGTGATGAGATCTCCAGGGGAATCGCTTGTACTTCAGTATGAGAAAGGGGTGCATATCTGTTGAACGTTATCCAAAGGATAAAAAGTGCTTTTTGGTTAACAGTAGATATAATACAACCGTACTTTACATATGGTCAATTCCCATGGCCTTAAACAAGATGCCAATTCAGGATCCGGCAAGTCGTACTACCGAATTTAATATTCTAAAGCTTCAAAATGCGAAGAATAAAGTTGTCAAGGGCGAGATGCCTAGTCATCGAATACGGCCACCGCAAATGGGAATGAGAGGACCACCTAAAGAATTGGTTCTGAATGATATAGCGGAGTCTAGGGAAAACATTAGAGAGACATTGATAATTAGAAAGCAGGCCCCATGGGATACTTTTCGACCAGTGTATAGATGTGATCTGGCTGGAGAATTCTACGTTGTCACTTCGCGTGCATTTCCTTACCAGCTGGCGGCAGTCCGTGAGATCCACCAACAAGAAATTAGCGAGGAGAAGATCTTGAACATTCTCAAGAATGTAAGGCATTCTAACATTCTCGAAGTGCGCGAGTGTTTCCTTTTCGGGAAGAAAATATACTACCTCCACGACGATGTCTCGATATCTTTAGACAATATCGTCTCGTGCGGTATTCTCCTCAGTGGATTGGAAATAGGTAGCATTATTCATCAGGTATGACCACGCTCAAAAATGATTTTCAGTACTTAATAAAAAGCTAGTTTCTTCAGGGGCTCAGCTACCTAAAGCGAAACCAATACGGTCATTCCTCGATTGGGCTTGAGAAGATATTATTCAATTCAAATGGAGTCTTGAAGATTGGTATGCCGCAGCATTGGGGCTTAGGGTCTAGCTGACTCAGTGACAGGGGGCATAGAGCATATTATCCAGGGGGGGATGTGGAGTATCGAGAGACCTTGAGACTCGTCGCCACGGAGCTGTCTAAACAGGCCCACGAGAATCCGAGTGTTGATGTTGATGTTGAATATTCGATGGTACAAGGTTTCCTCTGCTCAGTTGAATGCCATTCCTTTGATGAATTATGCAAGGTACGTTGACGATGTTCATCTCAGTCGACTCTTAGTAATCCGATAAGTGTAGGAACCCCTTGTGATGCCTTCTAGATGCAAGCCCGGCTATCTGATAGGGCTCATCTCCTTCGTACAACGCGCCTCATTTATATATTGTGATTATTCAGTAGATATAAATTGATACCATAAAAAGGGTTGTACCACTATGGCTGAAAATCGTGTTCAACCAATGATATATTTTGATAAAGCAAATTATATATTGTCTCCCGAATGTCATCCCGAACTCCGGTCTCAGCAGATACGAGAATCAATAGCGATTGACCTTCTGCTCCGTCCATGCACCTTGCCGCTTCAAGCTTGATTATATTCTTGCAATCTGCCGGACCTCTGTGAATAGACCCGCGAGTACCCAACCTGCTCTCTATTTCTCCCTCTCTCACATAAACGGAAATTGTGATAGACTAGTCAAATTTAGCGTAGAAGGTACCCGGAATTTCTCACTACCTACATATCTCTGAGTTCTATTATCCTCACTGAGAACCTCATTCAAGAATCTCTGGCCCACTAGAAACATCGTATCTATTTGTTCAGCACTGGCCAGCAGGGATAATTTTGTAAGGTATCATACCAACGACCTTCACCTGCCAGATGAAATGAACACGCTTGGTCCGCGTAGATGGGTGGGCATGTAATTGCATCAATTTTTTGACATAGCTCATTATCGCCGTTATTCCATGACCGGTGGCAATGATAAGTACACTGTCATACTGCTCGACAGGTTCAACAGTACCAAACGGCCCCAATATCGAAGCGAAAATCTTCACAGGAGCCCTGGAACAAGACCTGATTTTCTTGACGATCTTGAGAGATATCCCTTGCTCTCGCTTCAAGAATAGCAGTAAAGTGTTCTGCTCGCTGGGCGCCCAAGAGACGACCATATAAGGATGTAGCTGCGCAAATGCAAGCAGGCCCACTGTTGGCGCCCAAAGACTGACATATTGACCAGCATCGATTTTCATCTTCTTTGGGAGTGTCAAACTCAGCATAACAGCGTCACTATCTGGGCAGATATTACAGTCCTCCTCCTGTATATCATTTTGACTAGGCCACTGGAGAAAGCAATGCCGTCGGAGAGTCCAGATACCACTCCAGTAAAATAATGACCATGTCTGGTATAGGAGGGCACCGAAGAACACAATGACAGAGAGGCAAATGGCTAGCACCAAAATGGTTCTATCTGCGGGCACATGCACCCATGCAGCATAAAGGAAGAAAACAGCTAAAGCCTGATGTACCCGTAGTAGAAGGTCATATGCCACACGTTGAATCAATGACAGGGTTGAAAGTATCGTTAAAATCAAAGATAGAGACCCCTGGAATGATCTGAGTACTGTATCCAGATACATAGATTGTACGCCAGCTTACCAATATTGCCCAAAAGCTATTATCAATTTTGCCGGATAAAGAACCAGTGGCATTTGGGGCCTCAATTATGATATGTAGGCACATCATGAGTAGAGCCGTAACTGCTAACAGACAATGAAGCTTTCGATATGAGGATAATGACATACCAAGGATATCCGCGAAGAGCATTATATTTGGCGTGAACAGGAAAAGCGTGTTCAGTAGTGCAATTTGACCTGCCATGCGGGAGATGTGATCGATTGATGGCCGAGGAAGTAAGAGGCAGAGAGTATTGATGATAGAGTAGCTTATAGCGAGGAGGGTATCCCAACGTGTCCATGGTCCAACTAATCGGTGACGAGAGAGACAGTAGGGGTAGATAAAATGTCTCACTAAGAAGTCTGGGAGGAGACTGCTCAAGGAAGCCGGACGGAGATATCGTCGGGCAAAAGCCAGTATGATCGCCAAACTCGCCATACAAATAGCAAGAATGAGAGGATTTTCCATGGCCCCACGGTAAGGTACTATACAGTAATCTCATTGAGTTGCTATTTCACAGCGCATGGGATGCCAAAGAGAAATCAGTCGATAAAAGTCGATATTTTTGGTGATGAGCTAGTTGGGTCACTGATCGCCATGTTGAACTACCATACCTTGCAAAAATGAATATTGCGTTATGATAGAATTGCCCGTTGAACATTGATAGATAAATTCGGAGAAGTTTAATGATAAACACTCGATAATCAAGGTAAAGATGGTCCCAAAATCAAAGATGCTCGTCCATGCCATACGGGGGAGACTTTGGTATGCTAAAACCGGTCATGATGCTCTCATATTTGCTCAGAACCACCAAATCAAAGTACACACATCAATAATCGCTTCGGAAAGCCCATATCTCAACAGGATGTTTGAGCAAAGTGCCCAGTCAGGTGGCAGACGTACTTATTATGTTCATTCTGTGGATGTACACACCGTATTACGGACATTGGAATTGATCTATCTCGGTGCATACTCTTACCACCTGGAGAAGACAGAAATTCCAGGTAAGATCTTTCTTCATCTGACAAGCTACAGCACAGTACTGGATGTATTGTACTAATTCGACAGTATACCTGATCCCGCAAAGCTAACAAATGCAGTACAGACTCGGAGAGACTGCTTATCGATGTTTCTGTATATCATTTATGCAAGGCTTGGCAGCTCCCAGTGGACTTCCAAAGCATTGCTTTCTCGCGGTACAAAGAGGCGGTGTTTTCGCAAGGATATGATCCCGGCCAGCTCCTGGACTCTTTGCAGCCCATGCGGACGCCGCTTGTAGATGGAATAAGCCGAGAGGATATCTTTCCTGGAAAGTTGTTGAACGCATTATTATCAAAGGGGGAGTTAGAGGAGGATAGACTAGTTACATTTGCTGTTTATGAGGCTCGCCGAGCTATTTGAGAATTGCTATTGCGGAGGAATTCATTACAGTATGCCAACGCCGACTCTCATCTGAGCTTGATCAAAGTAGGTTAAACTCGGTGGAGCCTATATCAGCCAAGACATTCAAAGATGCTCCATTCTGGAAAAACCCACCTTACAGTAGTTTTTTCGGAGAGTTGCGTCTGTTGTAGGATTCGCGACATAGTCTGTTCCACCTCGGACACTCGATAAGAAGCACCATACTGGATCAACCAGGTTAATCATATTTCATAATCTTACGACGGAGCTGCGTGTTCAACGATGTCACTAGTTGCAATTTTATGGACGGAGAGATACAGTACTGTACCATGCCATTGCAGGTTCATTGAACAGCAGTCCTCAACTTAGTATTTCCCGCCCCATGAATAATCTACGCTAAAGGCTTGGCAACGGGGTCAGGAAAGAGTTTCTGAATGTGTACTGGTCAACGCAATTATGAGCAGCGACACCAGCTTCCGCCCCGTTGACCACTTTTCGCCCACTGCGAAGGCGCTAGTGCAAAGAAATTATATGACGCTCAATATGACGCTAACTTGGGTGATTCCGATGATACAGTTCGTATTGCTTTTAGTATAACCCGCGCTAAATCGATAGTCAGTGGTCGCTAATACTGCGTAATAATCATGCATTTGTATCGATGATTGATAACAAACACAGTCAAACAGACTTTGTCCTGTGCTGCGGTAACTTCTCATACGGTCATGTCTTCTAATTTAGTATAGCAGAAAATTAATTATAGTAAAGAAAACTCTACAGGTATAAAGTCAACATAGTCTGCCCATCAAATTATAGAAAGGCTAAAGGTCCACAAACAAAGAGTCAATGATTCTTCATCTTTTCATTTATATCTATAAACTTTGACTTCCGCCTTAAAGCGCTCTTCAGCATAGCAAAATGTCGCGCCGAAGCGGTCTACCCATCCTTCCATTCTGGAAGCTGCGAATGATTAATGATATGATAATCAGCAAAGAATTGGCTATAGCAAAAATGGCAGAGGCCGCTGAATGTGGCCAGGATTCGATAATACAATTCATGAAATTCCGACAAATAGTCCGAGATGAAATTGTTGAGAATTCTTCTCTCCCATGTTCTGCAATTCAGGTCAATATTGTACCAGCAGATTCCTCAGCACCCCCGTCAATGTCCATTTCTTCGACATCTACGGTTGTCAATATTTACGTGACAAGTAATAACGCAGTTTCTGTTCATAGATAGGGAGGTGTCATGAATGGAATATTATATAGAATTCTGACGTGCGTTTATGATGTGTGAGATTCAGACCATGGATATGTTCAGTATAACCATCCTCAATGGCCACTCGGACGGTTGCATGGGAAGAGAAGATGACAGGTGGCCGAATCCGTGCACCTCTTTGAAGGGTTTGGCAATATACCTGATTTCCCCCGGAGTTACTGTAACTTGACCTGTCCGTCGTAGAAAGTCACCTCTTCGTGGTGAGAGATGCCAGTAAGTTGGAATTCAAGGTCTGACCGAAGCTGCGAAGTTTCCAAATCGAAACTCCGGTGGAAACCCCTTTATTGGTTGTGACGATGCGGCGGGAAGCTTTCAAATGAACATGTCGACAACTTCGCAACGCCGACGGGCCTTCGAACAACCGATCTGCCTACTGTACATATTATCAACCAATCCTTATCGGGCTTTGTTCACAATAACTCATCTGCCCTACCGGTTCAATCGCATGTCGATTCGTCAGCTCTTCGTTTGCTATCTGGTGTTGCCGCCAGCGAGGCAGTCAACTACTTCGGACGTTAATATGAGAAGTACTCTTGGTGAATCACTATTCAAGGAAGAGGTTCACGAAACGACTACATCAATGATGGACACGTGAGGGGTCTGGAGTTACAGAGGGGAAGGCTATTGCTTTTGGAGGAGATAATATGACGACGACAACAACAACAATTACAGTAAATTGCAATCAGGATTTGGATGTATAAAGAAAGAGACCTGAAAATTACACACACACACACACACACAATTTATTAACGCCCGGCGGCTGAACCGAAAGGGCAACTATCGCTGATCTAAATTTACATGCCTTAGCTAATGCTGTGCCTCCTTGGAGCCCATACAAGATTCCTTTCACTGTATGTCATCTCAGATATCAATATCTTAGCGAGTCCTTGTGGGTTAGTTTTTAGTGAGTAGACTTGCTTGAAGGCGCTTCTCCAAGTGTTCAACATCCTATCCTCGGCAGTTGAAGCGCGTCTACCGTCTCTGGCACAAGGTATATAGTGGGGGTTAGATTGGGGTTGGGTCGGGGTAGGGTTAATCTGTGTTGGTCGATATGCTTAAGTGGCGTCAAGTCGGCCCGTGGTGATTGCAAACCGTATTGTGGCTCGCACTGCTTCCAAATTCGGCTTCCAGTTCTGGTCATCCAAAGGCGATTTCCCGCCTAGGAAAAAGGATATGTTGCCTCGGTGAGTATGGGTACATTGCAGCATTTCCGTCCGGTGCGTGGTCCACCGCTGACATCGGAAGAGGAAGTGCTCCACAGTCTCTCTGGCTTGTCCACATGCGCATTGGTCCGTCTCTGCAACGTTGATGCGATAGAGGTATCCATTAAGTCTCGCCATACCAGTCCGGAGCTGGGCTAGCACGCTTGCTTCTTTCCAAGACAATCGATCATATAGCTGTCGGGCGTGTTTCCCTGGAAGTGCTGCATCCACTCGCTTGGAGTGTTTCCCTATATTCTCTGGTAGACAATTTTTGGGGACTGCTTGGGATCGTGAGATGTTCAGTGTTGTCGACTTCATCCGGGGGACCTGTGCCTGCGGGGTAGAATCCTCTTGGGTTGCGGTCCGAGCCTGCTCTTTTGCTAGGCCTAGCAGGTGATTATCTTCGCTGGTCGGGACCCAACAGATGTTGATGTGGTTCTCATGCTTCCGTAGTCTCTTGATCAGCTTGTATACTTGGTAGATGTGTTCCTGGCCCGACTGTTGTCGAGGATTCCTCAGCGTGAGAGTCGCCGCTTTGTTGCTCGTGAGTAGCATGACCCTGCACCGTTTCAGTCCCTATAGCGTGCCCAGTGCGTATACCATTGCTGCCAATTCGCCGGAGTATGGGTTTTGCTCTGCTCTTGCGCCCAGTGTGACAGAGAAGGTCTTCAGCCTCGGTTTTCGATAACGAGGTGGCCGCTTCTCGATCGCCACTCCAAATCCAACCAGATCGTTCCGTGCTGAACTACTGACCGCGATCCGCATGACTCCACCTGCTTCGGTCTGTGTCTCTGGGGTTTCATGACTATCGCTCTGCACACGCTCCTCCCATGGTGCCAAGGTGAATGGATTGATGGTTTCCAGTGATTCCATCTCGGTTCTTTTCAGCGCGTCTGCAACATGATATAATGGTGAACGGTGGTATCTTCTGAATTTTTTGATCTGAGCTGTACTCCTGCGGAGCGGATTGGTTGCTGGTAGGGTATGCATGTCTGTCCACATCTTCACAGCTCGTTTCCAGACCCGGTGTTGCACTGTGGCGATGTGAGCCTCCGCTTCCGCTACGCTGATCGCGACTGTGAGGAATGTCCCAACAATCGCTTGCGCTCCGACTCGTTGAATCCGGTTGATCGGCCCGATATTCTTGTTCTTGAAAGCGTGCATCCAGACATTGGAGGCATAGTCCACCACCGGGGCCACAGTCGACGTAAATAATTGCCGCGCTGTTGCTGGGGATAGGCCACGAAGCCGTCGCAGCTCCATCGCTGCTTCCAGGCCTTTGGACGCCGCTCTCGCGATATGTTCCTTGTATTTGAGTCTTGTATCCATTATCACGCCAAGAATCTTAACATAGTCTTTAGGTTCAACGGTCTCCCCCTTAATAGTGAATGGCTCCGAGTCTGACTTGCGGGCCTTGGAGGCGAAGTGTATAATAGCAGTTTTCTCTGCTTCAAAGGTCGCTCCACTTCTCTTTTCCCAGTCGAGTGCTTCATTGACGATCGCTTCAATACCATTCCGGTTGCTCTGCGCAGTCGGTCCAGTCACCCACGCGGTGAAGTCATCCACGAAGGCAATCGCTCCTCCTTGGCCATCGATCTGTCGCTGTACGAGATCTACGTTGAAAAAGAGGAAGAGGATCGGGGACAGTGGAGAACCCTGAGGCAGACCAGCCTGTGGGAGGCTTCGCGCCTCAGATGCTTGGCCATTGATCTGGATGGTCGCCGTTCGCTCCGAGCAGAACGCTTCGACCCACCGGAGCAGGACCTCCGGTATCCCTCGCGCTTTCATCCTCTGGAGCAGTCGTTCTTTGCAAACCCCATTGTAGGCCCCCTTGACGTCGAAGCTGATCAAACTTAGGACCCGTCGGCCACGCCACGCCGCGTAGATTTGCTCTTGTAAGAGTAAAAGTACTTGCTCCGCGGATCGCTGCTTTCGGGCCCCAAAGTGACTAGTCGGAAGCAGGCCATATGTCTCCACCGCATGTGAGATCCTTTCTGCAATGATTGATTCCAGTACCTTCCCCAGTGTCGCCAGGAGTGAGATCGGCCTCCAAGCCTTCGCAATAGTATAGTTCTCTTTGTTCGGTTTCTTTAGCGGTATGATCTTCACATGTCTCCATTGCCTCGGTAACGTGCCTTCGTCCAGCGATGCCTGGAATAGTTCTAGGACCCGGTTTTTGACCGCAGGCCACGTCATCTTCCACACTATCACCGGTAGACCGTCCTCGCCCGGCGCTTTCCAAGATTTTGCGGCCAACAACTGCCGTTCGACCTCTTCCATGGTGATGGCCGGCATCTCTACCGGCGCTCTCTGCGGCCTGGCTCCTTCATCATCAATTCTGTCTGGCAGGGGCGGGAAAAATTTGGTCAGTAGTTCTTCTGCTTGCTCCTTGTGGTCAGTGGTAGTGGTTCCATCTGCCCTGAGGAGCTGCGGGAGCTTCCCGAATGCTGCGTCGTCTCCCGACTTCAGGTATTTCGCGGCTTTCCATATATTATTGTTGTCCGCCAGAAACTCATTCCAGTGTTTCTTCTTTTGTTTGCGAATAGCATCGTGGTATTGTTTCGCCGCACTCGCGGCCATACTTTCCAGGTGTGGTACCTTTCGCCCTGCTCGTCGCTCCGAGCGGGCGTGGTTTCTCCAATATGTGTATATCTGACGGAGCTGTGTTAGGTCTGCCGTCCACCATCGCTTTGCGTGTGGCGACGGTTTGGCCCTCGGTGTTAAAGTATACACCGCTTCCAATACCGCTGACATGAGTCGGTCGGTCTTTCGCTGTACCGTCCCTTCCGACGGATTGCTGGCTAGGGTAGTCGCGATCCTGGTATTGATTTCCTTCCATGGTGCGTTCTTCAGCAGAAGTCGTTCCGTATGCTGTGGGGTCGGCCACGGCGCATCGAAAACAGTCTCAATGGCGCAGTGGCCCGAGCCATGCTCTGTTACGTGTATTGCACACTTGACCATCGAGTCCGTCAAGTTTTCCGAGGCCAGAACGAGGTCGATCGTGGACTCACAGTCCCCAGTCTGCCCTCCGCCGTGCCATGTCTTCGTGCCTCGTTTGAGTAGGCTACTCAGAGAAAATTCGTTCATGATGTCGATGATTGGATCCGCCTCTCCTTGTCTTGTCAAAGACACGTCGTCTCTCCCCCAGAGTTGATCATGGCGGTTGAAGTCCCCTACAACCATGACCTCCACCACAGTCCCCGAATCTCGCTGTACCTTTGTGATTGCTTTTCTAAGGTGATCGCATGCGTCGTCCAACGCCGAGGCATCCCCTCCCTCTACGTAAACCGATGCCATAAAAATCAGTCGCTCGGGGAGGCGGATGACCGCCGCCGTCAGATCCGGCGACTCGATCGGCACTTGCTCCGCTTCCACTTCCTTATTGATCCAAAGCATACTTCGGATCGCCCATCGGCCCTCCCTCCAGGTAGAGGGAACCATCTTGGTCCATTTGTGATGTCCCATCGGGGTTGTCAACAGCCGGCCTTGAATTCTTCTCGCTTGGGGTTCCTGAATCGCCAGTGCCACTGCCCCCTGAGTTTCTTCGTCGTTCATTAAACTATCATGCACTGCTCCCTGTTTCCTCACATTCAGTTGGATTATTCGGAGTGTTTTATTCATGACGTGACGGATAGAGCTTCTGGCAATTTTTGCTGTATGATTCATGTGGGCCTCCGCATGGAACGCACTTTGGAACCGTTTGGGCGCAGTTACTGTGGCGGTGGCCCTCCATAGCGCATTTTGCACACCTCTGGACGTTCCTGCACTGGAAGGCCTTGTGGCCAATCTCCTGGCAGTTGTAGCATTGCATCGGACGTGGTCGATATTCAAAGGCGCTGGTCACGCCAGATTCTCCCCCAGCGTGGAAGAACCCTTCGGCCAGGAGCCTCCGTACGTCAGAGCCTTTGGTTAGGTACACAACCATTGACCCATACGCCTTTGCACTTTCTTTCCTGCTGAGCCATGCGATCTTGGCCACGGTAGCTTCGTTCTCCTCGCTAAAGGCTGCCGCGACACCGGCTCGGATCTCATCTTTGTCATCTAGGACTGCGGCCTTGTTGACACTGTCAACTTTGATCGGGTACAGTTCGTCACGAAGCACCCGGGCTCCTGTGCCGATCTTTGCTTCCGCCGCCTTTTTGACTAGCTGATGCTCAGCTTCGTCTCGGCAAGCTACCCTGATCCGGTTAGTGTTTTTCGGGTCCACAGTGACAGCGCGACAGCGCCAGTGCATGTGGCCTTCCAGCGCCCGGATCTCTGTCTCAACCGCCACCCTGACTCGGCCTGCGGACATTCTCTCGTTTTCATTATCTGCCATCTTCGAGGTATCTATCGTGCAATATAACGTGTCAGTGAGGGTGGTCGGTGTCGTGTTCGACGATGAGAGAGTTCGTATGTTGCTCGGTTGACTGGTTGGCGGGGTACGGGCAACATCCGCATAGGACGGGGAGCCAGTGGGAACGGCAGTGCTGATGGCATCGCGCAGGGAATGAATTTCGCGGAGGATCTCATCGTGGCTGTTCTGTGAACATGATTCGCAGTGCGATTGCGGTGTCGGGGGTCTGTCAGTCAGGATCCGTAACTCGTGTCGAACTTCTGCGAGTGCGGCACCAAATTCTTCCTTGACTTTCTGAAATTCTTTCTGAAATTCTTCTTGAACTTTCTGGATCTCTTCTCTATGCAAATCATCTCGCTGTCTGATCTCTCTCCTGAGTTTGACAAGCTCCTTCACAAGTTTGGCGGTGTTCAGGTCCTCGCTCTCTGTCGAGTCGTCCGAAGCTACCGCGTCATGTTGGGCTACTGGTTTGTCTTGGGTTCTCTTGCTCTGCTGAGAGCGCGTCTCTCTCTGCTCAGTACATTTCTCCTGCTCTTGCGCATAGTTGCTTGGTGGTCTGGTAGTGCGTTTCGGTCTCAACAGTCGCGGTGGTGGATCTTCGTGATCGTCGCGGTCAGGGGGTTCAGGGGTTCGCATCGCGGCCCGTCCCGACATTTTTCGCAATGGATACCACGCTTCCCACTTTAGTTACAGGGTCTTCCAGGTGCTCACAATTGATACAGTCGATTGAAGATCGGAATATTCGAGTCCCAATGTAGCGTCGCTTCGAGTCTCTATGCTTGATCGTCGCTGAGGGGTACCTCCTATGCTTCGAGCCCTATTACACTCCTGAAAATTACACACACACACAATTCATTACGCCCGGAGGTTTCAAACCTAGAGGGCACCTATACGCTATTTGATCTTTCCACTGCATACATTTTGTCATAGTCTCATTTTCGAGAGGAAAAGCTGAACCAGCTGCCAAAAACCCCTCTAGCCCATACGGGTATGTCCTTAACGATTTCTTGTTGTTGTTGTTGTTGTTGTTGTCGTCATCATATCATCTCCCCCAAAAGCAATAACCTATCCCTCTGTGACACCGGACCCCCCCACGTGTCCATTCTCGATGTAGTTTCGTGAACCTCTTCCCTGAGTAGCGATTTACCGAGAGTACTTCTCATATTAACGCCCGAAGTAGCTGACTGCCTCGCTGGCGGCAACACCAGATAGCAGACGAAGGACTGACGAATCGACATGCGATCGAACCGGTAGGGCAGGTGAGTTATTTTGAGCAAAACCCGGTCAGTATAGGTTGGAAATATGTAGGCAGGTCGGTTGTTCGGAGGCTCGTCGACGTTGCGGAGTTGTCGACGTGTTCTTTTGAAACCTTCCCGCCGTGTCGTCACAACCAATAAAGGAGTTTCCGCCGGAGTTTCGTTTTGGAAAGTTCTCAGCTTCGGCCAGACCTTGCAGTCCAACCTACTGACATCCCTCACCACGAGAAGGTGACTTTCCGCGAGGGACCCTGAAAATTACAGGCGCGCTCGAAATCAGTTTCACCTTTTTACTCTCTTCTCTTCTTTCTTGAACTCTATTCTGAAACGCGCTAGTCCATCTTCGATTTAGTCTGTTACTAATTCTCGAAATGTATCGTAAGAATAAATTACACGGGTGTGGGGTTGTAAATGAACAGAAACATGGATACGATCGTTCCCCTGTAGTTAATGGTTAACCTCAAAGTTCGTCACTCTCATCAGACCGTCACTTTCCACGGGAGCTAAGGAATGTAGCAGGGAGCATCACTTGGTTATCTACCTCTGGCCAAAGCAAGCGAAAAGACAACAGCTTGCCTTTTGGAGCGAATTTGGATTACGAAAATCAACACGGTTAACTCCGACGTCTAGATAGATCACCTGATAGCGGGGTATCTGAAGATCTGATTGTAAAGTCATTCCCCTGCTCAGACAACCTACCCGTAATCATGGCGCTTTCCACGTCCTACAATGGCATAAACTCTGGAATCCAAGTTGCCCAAAACTGTGCTTCTATCACTGCAAACTTCTGTGAGTGAGGAATCACAATTCCAACGGGATGTGGCTAATAAGTAACTGCTTCTAGTTCAACAAGAATCGTCTGTGAATCAAGCATGCCTTCGGGATTTGCGTACGACCAATCCTTGCGATGATAAAAACCGTATTCAGAACACCAACGGGGGGCTGCTTAAAGACTCATATCGATGGATCTTAGACAACGAGGAATTCAAACAGTGGCAAAACAACCAAGGTAGTCGTCTTCTCTGGATTAGAGGTGATCCCGGCAAAGGCAAGACAATGCTCCTATGTGGTATCATCGATGAGTTGACACAATTGCATGGCAACACTGGGAATGTCTCATTCTTTTTCTGCCAAGCCACCGATGTGCGAATTAATAGCGCCACTTCCGTCTTACGTGGTTTGATATATTTACTCGTTCAAAAGAACCCATCCCTTCTCTCCCATGTGCGGACTCGGTATGACCAAGCGGGGAAGGCCCTATTTGAGGACACTAATGCTTGGAGTGCGCTCTCGACTATCTTTACGGATATTCTGAAAGACTCGTCCTTAGGCGGTGCCTTTCTCATCATTGACGCCTTGGATGAGTGCACAGATAGTCTTCGCTCCCTTATAGACTTGATCGTCCAAGAGTCATCTGTCCACCCCCAGATAAAGTGGATTGTCTCTAGCCGTAATTGGCCTGAAATCATTGAGCGTCTTGATATTGGAAGCTATGTAGCTCCGATTTCCTTGGAGCTAAACGATACATATGTGTCCGAATCCGTGAATATATTCATCGAGCATAAGGTCAACTCTTTAGCCCAGGTCAAAAAGTACAAAGACGAGATTCGTGAGATGATCTGCCGTCACTTATTGTCAAACTCGCAAGGCACTTTCCTTTGGGTAGCTTTGGTCTGTCAAAACCTTGGTAGGACACCGACGAGGCACGCCATTAAGAAGCTAGAAGAATTCCCTCCTGGATTGAACGATCTTTACGGCCGAATGATTGATCAGGTTAGCCAGTCGGAAGACGCCGAATTTTGCAAACAGATACTAGCTATCATGTCAACAGTCTATCGACCTATCACGATTAGCGAACTGTCTTCACTTATTGAAGTGCCAGATTATGACTACGATGACGAAGCCCTCTCAGAGATTATCACAGTTTGTGGCTCATTTTTGACATTACGAGAAAATACTATTACATTTGTTCATCAGTCTGCCAAGGATTTTCTACTTCAGGAAGCTCTAAATGAGATATTTCCTAGTGGTATAGGAGCTGAGCATCACATGATTTTCTCCCATTGTCTTGAAGTGATGTTCAAAACGCTTCGACGTGATATCTTTGACATCAAGTTACCTGGGCTCTCAATCAAGGATGCGAGACAGCCCAGCCCAAATCCACTAGCAGCGGCAGAGTACGCATGTGTCTATTGGATAGACCATCTTCAAGATAGCGAACGCAATAAGTCTTATGACCTGAGCCTTAATGAGAGCGGTCGCGTGGATACGTTTCTACAGCAGAAATTACTCCACTGGCTCGAGGCCCTTAGTATTTTAGGGAAAGTTTCAACTGGTATCCAAGGGATGGAAAAGCTGGAGATGTTAATTCAGGTATGTGATTTGTCTAGAGATAATGTTCTATCCTAACAAAGAACCTGCTCCAATAGGAAAACTCAAACTCACAAGCTATATTCCTTCGGTCTCAAGACGCCTCTAGGTTCATTCGATATTTCAGGATTGCAATTGAAAGCAGTCCTCTACAAGTGTATTGTTCGCCTCTCATGTTCAGCCCAACGCAAAGTCTCACAAGAAAATGTTTTCAGAAACAGAGACCAGACTGGGTTTTAAAAGCTCCACTAGTTGAGGAAAGTTGGAGTCTCTGTCTGCACACTCTCGAGGGACATACCTATGGGGTCAGCTCGATTGCCTGGTCGCCTGATGGCAATCGACTCGCATCAGCATCCTGGGATAAGACAGTCATGGTCTGGGATCCGGCTACCGGTATTTGCGCGTTAACCCTTAGGGGGCATAGTCACTACGTCGATTCGATTGCGTGGTCGCAAGATGGAAATCAACTCGCATCAGCATCCATGGATGAAACAGTTAGGATCTGGGATTCCGCCACCGGCCAGTGTGTATTAATCCTTAAGGGGCATAGCGATTCAGTGTGCTCAATTGCGTGGTCGCCTAATGGAAGCCGACTCGCATCAGCATCTAGGGATAAGACAGTTAAGATCTGGGATCCGTCCACTGGCCAATGCCTATCGACCCTTGAGGGACATAGCGACTTGGTTGAGCCAATTGCCTGGTCGCCCGATGGAAGCCGACTCGCATCAGCGTCAGATGATACTACAACTAGAATCTGGGATCCGGCCTCCCACCAGTGTACCTTCCTCCTTGAAGGGCATAGCGAGCCGGTTCGTTCGATTATGTGGTCGCAAAATGGGAGCCAACTGGCCTCAGCATCCTGGGATCAAACGATTAGGATCTGGGATCCGGCTACTGGCCAATGCCTATCGACCCTTGAGGGGCATAACGACTCGGTTCTTTCGATTACGTGGTCACCCAATGGAAGCCAACTCGCATCAGCGTCAGGTGATAAGACAGTTAGGATCTGGGATTCCACCACCGGCCAGTGTGTATTAATCCTTAAGGGGCATGGCGAACAAGTATGCTCAATTGCATGGTCACCCAATGGAAGCCAACTCGCATCAGCGTCTGGTGATACGACAGTCAGAATCTGGGATCGGTCCACCGGTCAATGTATATCAACCCTTAGGGGACATAGTCACGCTGTCGAATTAATCAGGTGGTCGCACGGTGGAAGTCGACTCGCGTCAGCGTCAGTTGATAGTACTATCAAAATCTGGGATCCGGCCACTCGCCAATACATGTTGACCCCTACGGGACACACTGACTCAGTGTTTTCGATTGCGTGGTCGCAAGACGGAAGCCGACTCGCATCAGCGTCCAAGGATGAGACAGTTAGGATCTGGAATCCGGCCACTGGCCAATGCACGTCAACCCTTAGGGGGGCATAGTGCCGCTGTCATCTCAATTTCCTGGTCGGAAAATGGAAGTCGACTCGCATCAGCGTCCCTTGATAAGACAATTAGCATCTGGAAGCCGGTCACTGGCCAATGCGCGTCAACCCTTATAGGGCATAGCGAGTCGGTCGGTTCGATCGCTTGGTCGCAAGATGGAAGCCGACTCGCATCAGCGTCCAAGGATGAGACAGTCAGGATCTGGGATCCGGCCACTGGCCACTGCGCGTCAACACTTAGCGGGCATAGTGCTACAGTCACCTCGATTGCCTGGTCGCAAAATGGAAGCCGACTCGCATCAGCGTCTGAAGATAAGACAGTCAAGATCTGGGATCAAGAGACTGGCCAATGTATATTAACCCTTAGGGGACATAGCGAGTCGGTCCGCTCGATTTCCTGGTCGCAAAATGGAAGCCGACTCGCATCAGCGTCCTGGGATAAGACAGTCAAGATCTGGGATCCCGCCACAAGCCAGTGCGAATTAACCCTCGAGGGGCATAACTCACTGGTCCACTCAATTGCTTGGTCGCAAGACGGAAGCCGACTTGCATCAGCGTCTTCTGATATCACAGTCAGGATCTGGGATCTGGCCACCGGCCTGTGCGCGTGGAAACTCGATATCAACTCCCACTTCCTTCAATTTGATAAAAAAAGTCTCAATCATCTACACACGTCAGTTGGTACGTTTGATCTACCTTTCACTAGTCCTACCGGTCACGTGCCTTACTGCTCGACCTCTTTGCCTAAGCGATACGGGTATGGATTGAATAATGACGGTTCTTGGATCACCTATAATGGACTCAATCTTCTGTGGCTGCCCGCTGAATACCGTCCGATCTACCCCTTTCTTTTTGCTATTTCTGCAACAAATTTAGCGATCGCTTGTTCATCAGATCGTGTCATTTTTCTCACGTTCTCGGGGCACAGCTTTATCCCCGGTTTTTGATCAGTGTTTATCTTTCCTCAATTTCTTATGTTGCTCTCCTTCGCAGCATTTTGATTCATTGTTCGTTCTCTTCTCGACATGTTTGCATTATTAGTTAATAGTCTCTAGTAGTGAAGAATGTACTGGGACCGTCCTGGCGGCAGCAGTCCAGTGAAGGGTCCAATTTTAAGGGGCGGTGTGTGTTTGTATAATCCTGGAGTGGCCTTGCCTGGTCCGATGGATCGGGCGGCGGGGTCTTAAGCTTGGGATTCATCACTGTTGGGATAAAAGCGGTTAGTCATCGGCCTCAATTTCCTAGTAAACCGAACTTCAGCACATTTTGGTCATCCAGGGTTCAACAGGGGGCGGGATCCAATGAGTCCAGCATTTTGTAGGGCAAGTAAGTCGTACGTAAAGAAATTCTTCATCCCACCAGTATTGTACTGTATCTATGTATGTCTTCGCTCGTGCAGTGAGTTGGTTAAGTGGGGTGAGCGTTGGTGATCGAAGGGAAGAAGGAGAGGTGCGAAGGAGGCCAGGCAACTGACCGAGTCTTTGTCAACCAGTCTGTTTGGTGTGTTTGGAAGTGAGTGACAGGGCATAGACCATACAGCCATGATACGAGAGCTATTTTTATGCGATTATTTATTACTGTACTGAAATACTGCCAAGATTGTGGGTCAGGGGTGGTGTAACCGTAATAGGTATGGCGTTACGCAAGATAGAGTTCGACGAATAACTACAGAGAGTGGAGTGGTGAATCTGATTTCGAGCGCGTCTGTACAGTCACCTTTTCAAACTTTCTCATACGGCTTGGCGTGCCCTAGCATTAAGTGTCAGCATGAGGAATTCATGTACTAGCTAGTACTGAACATGTCCAATAGAATTAGATGATTGATTGATTAAAGATGAGAGTGGTTGAACACTCGTGAGAGTCTGTATCATCTAGTTTCGGTGTCTTACGACACCATACTCCGAGTCTACCCCGAATACCACACGAATACGTGGGGAATTGGGCGGACGATGAACAACATCCCATCCCAAATGGGTCTTAGTGGTATTTGACCACTCTTTCCACTTGACATTAAGGTTCTGACAAAAAAAGTGCAGGAGGTACAGTAATCGTAAGCGAGCAGCTTTGACGGCACATAGACTGATAATATCTTCGACAACTTAGCAATGCATAACAGCCAACAAATATGGATGAGGTCATATACGTTGTTCAAAATAAACTTTTGCTGGTAAATTTGGTAAAATATGGAAAATGAATGAGAGAATATTGGCAAAGGCTATTTATTGGTACTGTTCGGTGTGATGTGAGTTGGTCGTAATTCGTTCAATTCCATTCTGCTGGGGCAACACTGCCGTTTTGCTTTCAAGCTGAGGGCCCTTAAGTTCTAATAGCGGATTAATAATCCAGCATTTAGTATCTGTCCATAAATTGACTGGACATCGTTATTAATTCACTCGAGTCCCATTTTATTTTCTTCCCGCCAAACGAATTAATTCCCTCACAGCGCCCGAATGATCTAAAACTTATTTAGCATGGAGATTACCCAGATCTATTTCATCATCAGAGTAAGGATGCTCCTTCTAAGCGTATTGACAAGCCTTGTCTGTTTCGGAATTACCGTATCAGCAGTTATTGCCAGGAACGATGATGTGACTGATTCTCATCATTATCAAAACGTCATATACTGGGGGCAGAACGGAGGATCTGCTGTTGAAAACAATGATCTATCAGTTTACTGTGCACCCTCCGCCGGTATTGACATCGTAGTATTAGCATTCCTATATGAATATGGCAATGGTAACACAATTGCCGCGGGTACCATTGGGCAGTCATGCTCAATTTCCGCATCTGGTGGGTCTTTTCAATGCGAAAATATAGCAACTGCAATCAAGCAATGCCAGTCAAACGGCGTCAAAGTCATTTTGTCGCTTGGTGGCGCGGTTGGAGCATACTCACTCTCATCTCAGCGGGAGGCTGAAGCTATCGGTCAATATCTTTGGGATGCATATGGCAACGCGGAAAGTGATACGGTCCATCGGCCCTTTGGTACCACATTTGTTAACGGCTGGGACTTCAATATCGAGGTCTCCGGTGGTAACCAGTACTACCAATATCTTATCAACAAATTGCGCTCTAACTTCGATTCCGACCATTCCAATATTTATTACATTACGGGGGCGCCACAATGTCCTATTCCGGAGCCTAATATGCAACTGGCGATCACAAATACAAAATTCGACTATCTTTGGGTCCAGTTCTATAATAACCCGAGCTGCTCGGTTAATGGGCCCATCAATTTCGATGCCTGGGTAGCGAACGTCGCCGGGACACCATCTGCCAATGCTAGAATTTTCATCGGTTTACCGGCTGCCCCTTTTGCAGCAACGGGGACCTCCAGCGGCGCTCAATATTATCTACAGCCAGATGCGCTGGCAACCTTAATCTGTGGTCATATCAGCGAGGCCGCGTTTGGTGGAATTATGATGTGGTCCGCCGGATTTTCTGACTCCAATATCGGTAATGGATGTAACTATGCTCAACAAGCCCGAAATATCCTCGATACGGGATCCCCATGCTAGCGGTTCTGAGGCAGCTATTTCAGAAGTGGTGAAACATTCGCTCTCTATCATAACGCGGGTGAGAACAAACCTTGAGGACGAGAGACTTGTGGCCATGTCGCTGGATTAGTAACGGTAAGCAGAAAGCCCTTGTGTAGGAAGCTGTTGATCGTCACGAAAAGAAGAAAAGGGAGGAGGTACCATGTGTCTGCTAGTTTCGTGTGAAATACGTGAAATTTTGTAGACAGCGGTCTAGATCAAAGTGCTTACGTACGAGAGGCGACAGTAAGATTATGGACTACTCGGGACATTGTAATCACCCATGGCAAATATCGTATAAGAGCTAAGTAGCGCAGGATGTAGGGTGGCATCATCAATGTCGATGTCAAAATCGTCTAATGCAAAGCCAAAATGCCCCAGCATCACCATCCTTGCTCTCGTCTGGAGTAGGATTCGCGTACAGTAGTTTTCGAAATCAGTTATACCTCCGCACTCTTACTACTTCATTCCCGGAAAATAATTCCGTCGGATGTAAGCTCTGATTGGATAATCTATTTAAAGCTATATCTCAGACCGCTTTTTATAATTATCGCTGTATTTTATAATACAATCACCAGACCGGGAAGGATGTATTTTACACGAAACCGACATACACACGCTAACCTGTACGGCCCCTTCTTCCCCCTTAGGTCACTCGACAACCTCCCTGCGCATCACATCTTCTCAGCCCTCGCACCCATTAACTTCAAGGCGATATGGCTCCAAGACTCTCCCCAGCCAAGCTCGTTCTCATACGTGATATGATAGAGAGCCAGTCCTTCACTATATCTGAAATGGCCGAGCAGGCTCAATGCAACAAGCTAACCATCATCAATATCCGCAGAAACCTACGACAATTTAGAAGCATCTACGCCCCTCAAACCCGAGTAGGTCGGAAACGAACTATAACACCCCTGATAATCGAAGCCCTCTGTGATCATATATGTGAGAAACCTGGCCAATACCTGGACGAGATGGCTGAATTCCTTTGGGATGAGTTTCAGACCATGGTTACAACCTCCAGCATTAGGAGGGCCCGAGGGCCCTTGTCGCTAAGGGTTAGTCGAAAAAGACTGCACAGCAACGTGCGAGAGAGCAAAATGCTGATTTACGAGATTACTATCTGCACAATCTTTCGGACTTCAAATCCTACCACCTCGTATATGTTGATGAATCTGGATGTGATAAACGTGTTGGGTTCAGACGGACAGGATGGACACCACTTGGCAAGGCCCCTTTGCAAGTGACGCAATTTCACCGTGACCAGAGATACCAAATATTGCCCGTATACGCACAGGATGGGATTGTTCTCTCGCGCGTCTTCCGCGGTTCTACGGATGCCACCGTATTTGAAGACTTTATAGCCCAGTTACTTCACCATTGCGGAAGATGGCCAGAACCTAAATCTGTCCTTGTTATGGATAACGCGTCCTTTCACCGGTCGGAGCGACTTCTAAAATTGTGTGAAGACGCAGGGTGAAGCTAATTTATCTGCCACCGTACTCGCCGGACCTGAAACCCGATCGAGGAGTTTTTTGCTGAACTCAAAGGATTATTCGGCGTAAATGGAATTGCTACGAAAAGGACCCCGAGAGAGGGTTTTCTGCCTTTCTTGAATGGTGTATCAGTGTAGTGGGTGCAAAGGAAGAGAGCGCTAAAGGCCATTTTCGACATGCAGGGTTGACGATCGAACAACTCTCAAGAAGTTGTTAGGGTCAAGGCCCTCACAGAGTCAGCCTAGCCTACTCATTAAACCAAGGGTCGTCGAGAATTTGTCTCGCTGATGCTCTTGCCGACGGTTCAAAACACAACAAGCTTCCAATGATTTCTCCCAGCCTCGTGATGTCCTCTCTTGTGAGATCAGGGGTCCTGCGGCCATCAAAATACACTTCTTCCAGCCATTCTTGCAGGTTAGGCCCGAAGCTTTCCGCGGTCACGTCGTCCCCTTTATTCATCGTATTCCATATCTCTTGCCATCTTTTAGGTAGATCGTCACTCGCCATCTCTTGCATTTGACCGATGAGAATTGGGGGTGTTATTAGGAAGGTGTCAAAAGGTGGCTGGCCTGTGAAAAGTTCAAAGAGCTGTCATAATCCACAATTTAGTCGTGTATAGCGCGGAGACTTCCATCACTTTACGTACCATGCAGCCCATACTCCACAAGTCAACATGATAATCAATTTGATCCTGGAATAAAACTTCGGGTGCTCGAACTGATAAAGGTGTGTGCAGTGTGTGAGGAGCAGCAGTACATAAGAATGATTCTCCGAAGTCAATTATTTTGATCGACTGACTCGAGTTCCAAGAACGTGTTCGATATGAGGTGGGCTTCACGATATACTCCGGCATGCCAAGCTCAAGGTCTTTCCCATCGTGCCTCTGGACACGGCCTATTTCAGGTTTTCCTAAAATCTCAAAGAGAATGTCTTCGGACACCTTATCTAAGCAAGGCATGGTGAAGGCCAAATTGCGAGTGTGCAAATCTATTTTCGGTGAGAAGTGTCCCATTTTTACCAAAGGGAATGAGTTACTGTACCTCCGTGTCCAATATTCCGTTGGTGCAGATCATTAAGCCCGGAGAGACTTTGCTTGGCAATGATTTTGGCAAGCTTTCCAGGAAGTCTCCCACCGGAAAATTGAGCATCAATTACGTCTGGAATGTTTGGCCCCAAAAGCTCATAAACGAGGCATCTATGGAATCCATTTGGGCCCGTTAGGTCAAAATCATCGAGCAACTGCACCACATGCGTCGGACTAGAGTGATAAGATGCCAGTTCCCTCATAGTTTGGAGTTCTCGCGTCTCCCTACCATGTTCCTGTTCTGCAACAGAAATCTTTACAGCGACGTAAGTCTCTGTCCTGCCAGAGTATAGTTCAATTAGCGGGGACTACCGTGCGTTGCACTTTGTATGTATTACCTTTGATCTCTCGCCGCCCAAACTGTCGAGTAGCCACCCCATCCTAATTTATGCAACACCTTATACCTTCCAGCTTTAAGGCATTCTCCTAAGGTGACTGGGTGGTAACCACCTAGTCGGTAGCGATAAAGTGGCTCCGCATCAATGGGGGGGAAAACAGGTAGGCTGGTCCATCGGACTCTTGTCGGCATTGGTAGACATGAACTTGGGGAAAATGCAAGAACTTCTCAAAGGAACAATACGTCTCGGTAGATAGCAGGTGATGCTCCTCATACTAGACTGATATTGTCGGTGCAGGTAATGTTAATATCGTCATGAGTCCAGAATACGTGAATATGTCCCACGCGCCCTGGACGCAGATGACGTGGCAAGAATAGCCAATCACATGATCTGAAAAGCAGCCTCTGTCAGAAGCGGTGAAGGCCTAATAGGGAACCTGAAGATTGGGTGCGAGAAATCTGTGTAATTTCTATGTATCTTACCTCCTATTTTGTATGGAGGGTTACCTAATCTGCGCTAGCTATTCTAGTCTGTAATCTCTGGATTCTGCCATACGCTCCGCCTAGTTCTTCCGACAGCCTCAGACTTCAAGCGGCAATTGATTGGTCAGCATCGCACCTCCAAAACATGTCACTCTACGACGTGCCAGTATGAGACGGGCGCCTATGCACTCTTAAAGAAGCTATCCTGGCCATTGGAGCACCATGCCAGAGCCTAGGAAAGCGCAACTATGGCGGCGCTAAACATCCGACGGAGGAATATATATAGTAGTGCCCCGCTACTCTTGGGAGATCCTACTACGAAGACTGACTCCCTGATTTAATCCACACGGAACCTTTATAAGCGTAGAGGCCACCATGTCCCCCATTCCTCGGCATGCTGTTAAGTTCACACAGAGAATCCGCAACTCTGTTCTGCGTAATCGTACCCTAACCCTCATCGAAACCGCTACTACGAAGCCCGACCTAGCGCATTTCACCATCGCCACCCTCAAGTAAGCAAAATGTCAATACAATTGAGTTCATTACTTCCAAAACTGACCATTGCAGAAACCCGTCACACACGAGTCATACCGACGTCAAGGCGCACGCTACAGCATTGTTAGCAACCGAGGAACAATACAAGAATAAGAAAGTCCAGCCGGTTCATATCTACCATGATGAAGATGGGCGCTATACTGGCCATGTTCTGTATGCTGAAAGAGATATGAAACAGTCAGATGAATAAAGTCACTACGATGACTTTTCGAACACTATTCCCCATATTAGTCAGAATGAAATAGTGATCTCCGTTGTACGGACATTTTTCTTTGGTCGTAGCCTTATAGTGTGTAGAGGCGTTGTCACTTGGTCATGCTTTTAGCCTTTTGTGAAAAACTTTCTCTATCTTTGTTATCGATGAGTGTACAGACACTGCTAAGAGAACCAGTGACATCATTCTCGAAATCGCCTTGACCAATACACTGAGAAACTCTTTCCTGGCCAAGGCATTAGCGCAGATCATATTTTTAGCGGCCCGCGATAAATTGAGCGGCGGAGTAAAAACTGTCCACCGTATCGTTGCTTAGCATTCAAGCTAATTGGTTACAGCGAGCCGCTTTGAGGATTGTGCCAACTGACGGAGGGGTCCATATAACCAACTCGAATGCTCGGAGATAACTGAATTTTAGGAACGACGCCTATGGTCCAACGAAGCAAACCTCATCTCTTAACAATAAAGCACCATTGTTTCAGTAGTAGGCGAAGGCTCCTGCAGTACCGCTACCGAAAGTATCTCTTCCTGTTTTCTTTTCATTTGATACACTCTTTGTTTGACCAAGCGCCCGCGAAGACAAAGTCCGTACTATCTTTGGGAATACCTTCTCAGCCAACAGGCCCAGGACTAATTTAAATAGGAGTGAATTTCCACTGGATTATCTGTTACTGTATAATCGACATTAGAATTTTTCATACTCAACGCGTCCGCTTTATCATTCTGCTTCATTTGTCAGATTTTCCCCCTCCATTATTCTCCTCCGGGCCTTCACGAACAAAGCTTGTATCCACCTTCTGTCTTCAAGCGCAAAGTTTTCCCACGGGAAATGGATTCTCAAATTACTCTGCAACTTCCTCTTCATTCAGACGAGGTTAAAAAATACCAAGCCGATTCTCCGGAGAGCGTTGAGGAACTTCCATGCGAGAAGCAGGAATGTCACATAGAAACCTTGAGACAAGGGCCCGCCAAAAGAAACTTGTTCGGGGACGAAGGTGATTCCTTGACAATCCGATTAGATGGCAGTAGTTAGGTATAATGTACGCAGCTAACCGCTTTTCGAATTCAGGCGAAAGAGTCGTGCTTCTTGTTACCGCTCCCATTGGCAGTTCATTCAACTTAATTGTTCAAGCAATCGGGCGCCAACCCCCTTTAAGCCCTCCTGTTGATTGGGATAGCCACGAGAATATTGCCTTGCCAGACTTGGCTTCCCGGCTTAAATTCACGACGCACTACGCCCTCTGCGTGATCGATGGTGAGGTCTGGGGGAATAAATCATTAACCCTGTTGGAAAAATTCGGAGATGCGAAGTTCTGGGACCATCCCGGAGACTGTACAATGATGGCTTCTGCAGGGAGCAGCAGAAGTAATAGCAGTATGATTCCGACAGACTTGAATGCATGTCGTACTTGGCACGTGGAGCAGATTAAGTGCATAGACAGTGGCGAGGAGATTGGTCGGACCAATCTTGCTGATACCGAAATCTCGAAAGGTATTTAAGACATCAAAGAGTACTTTGTTGAAAGCTAACTCAGCGAATATAGTCTATACAGACCTTCGAAATGACTGGACATATATGCCTGTGTTCTGGAATTGCCATGACCTTGCAATCCGTTTGGCCCACCTTATTATCTCACCGTCCACAGACGCGATCGAGTTCCTCCGAGGACTTATGAACTCCCTCCGTCAGGCTTACCATAGGGAGATTAACTGGTACTCTACAGTGAGGAGAGTAAGTATAGGCAGCTGGGGAATTGCCGCTGTAGGTTGTTTCATCGCTCCACCCTTGGCCGCAGCTGGTTTGTGTGCTTTCATGGCAGGGGGCTCTGTGATGGCCTTGGGGGGAAACGTACACTTTGCAAAGTTAAGGACAAGGCGTAAGTTAATGCTTACGCTGGAAGAACGATTCCCTGCACTCAAGTCGCTTCACGATGAATAATCCGCACATGTTGTCGAATTCTGTATTTATATTGTCTTCGCTTCGTATGCCGAGAAACTGAAGATCAGTATGACTGTTCGTCTGACTATTGGATACTGAAGAAAAAACCTCCGAAACATCGGCAAGTTATGGCTCATAGTATGGAACTGGCTCCGACCATAGAATTTGGCCCCAGAGGATTGTTTTCTCGCACCCCTTAGCCTGCAGGACTCTACCTACTTCCATGGTTTTCTTGGAATGGACTAAAATATTTTGAAGCAAGTTACTAAAAATAACAAAACGCATTCGCCCCTCAACTTTATAAAGGTCAGCTCATATTAAATATTGCGTCAAGACCTTGGAAATGATGTAGTGTAAATTCTGCTATGTAACAATCTGGAGCTACTCTGTGTAATACAAATCGATTTTTCAACTCTCAAACGCCATGATGATTTAATGTCCACCTATTCCGTCTAAAGAACCTCATAAACAGGCACCGCGTTCTTCACCTTCTTCACCCACTTTGCGATATTCTCTACAAATCGACGGGCAATGTCTATTTTTATTCCTCTTTCGATGAAAAAATTTGGGTCTTGGTCCTTGTACACTTGCTCGAGGTCAAGGCCATTCTCGAGCATCACCTCGCACGTTTGTCGGAAAGCGGCTTTGAGGGTATCCCTATCGACGGTCGACACCAGCCATTCAGTATACTCCTCCACGGCTCTCTAACAAGCATTCGCAAACCTTAGATCATCCACATCAGCTTATCAGTAGAACCACGTTTCAACGGCGGGCTGGCAGCGAATGAAACTCGCAAAAGGTGACACAAGCCATGAAATTAGAGATGCATCTTTGCCTACCAGGGTTAGCTCTCTACAGCATAAGCGCAGCCTTCTGTGTTATGACTGGCGGGTGGCTGCGTCAGAAACGGGAAGAACGAGGGGTAAGAACGGGTGGGAGAGGCGGAAAGGTTGTGAGTAGGCTGGACGATTATGCCAGATCGCCTTAGCTCCCTAAAGCTTCGACGTGGTTCCATACAAGCTTACAGTATTATTACGATGACTCATATGTCATGTAAGTCCATTACTATCATTGTTTTGCCAGACTTATAGAGCGGTAAGCTAAAGAAGGTTAGCGTATTTCGGATTTATTTTCCGGGAATGACGTCGCAAGAGTGTGGAGGTATAACTGATTTCGAAAACTACTGTAACATTTTAGTTGACACTCCCATGCCTCTGAAGTAGATATTAAGAGGGACCTTAGCCCAAAAGATTCGTATGCAAGAATGTTGAAAGTTTCGAGCGACTGAAGCTTCTAATCGACAAGCAGGACACAACGTTGGTCCGATAATTGTAGATAGATGAACCTAGCGACTATACTTATGACAAGATCGAAGAATTAACCTGCTGAAGTCCCATTACACACGGGAAGTTCGATAATATTGTCTACTTTGAGAGAAGGTGATCATGTCCGGGGTCAAAATGAATTCGAAAACTCCTGTACTATTCTAGAATAATGGGCTAAGGCGGATGAGTGATGATCTAACACCGTTTTCCGAAAATACTGTTTAAAGATGGCGTTCATGAATCTCATTATATGATCAGCCAATAGCTTTCAATTCAACAAGTTTAACGCGTTCATATGGTGCTAATTGACAATGTCGCACACGCTGAGTAACATTTGGATGCTGGCTTGGTGTGCAGAATTGATTACTCATTATTTGATGGATTGGTAGATCGAATCGGGGGCATATTGAACTGTTCGTATTGTACAAAGCGGGTGGTAAACGCGTGCGGTGCAGGAGTGGTAAGCGGATGATTTGGTGGGCGGTATGTAAAACCGGTCAAATAGGTACTTTCAAATTTTTGCAACGCCACTGTAAGTGGTGTTATGTACCGATTCCAGAAGTGCTGTATTGAGTTTATTCCGGTGCTGGAACCAAATTCATACAAAATTTGTCGAAGCATCGATTCCAACCCTCTTTGGAAGGGAATGGCTGGCCGTGGATACCGGAATGGCGAATGGCCTAGTACTGTAGCCGTTGTTGTTTGCTGCCCTGATGGCGCGCGAACTTGAAACTGTTGGGGCCCCTTCGCGAAATCCAAGACAGCTATCACCGTCTTGACATGTTAAGCACTCTCAGACTTACCTTACCCCTTCAGGTCCTCCCAAATGGGTGGATACGCTGTTGAACGCATCTCCGACCTTCTCCCGAAGCTGTCGGCGTAGGTCTCGGAGTTGAGGAAGTACAGCATAACATCCGATGCCCTTTCTCGCTCCCCGCAGACGCGCCGGTCACTGTCACGGAAGGAAGTATTGTGTTACAGCGATGATCGAAATCGGCTTGACCAATACACACTGGTTAACTATTGTATCGTCCAACGCCAAGCCTTTAGCGCCGATTGTTATTGAACGGTTGGTATTAAATTGAGGCCCGCCAAGATGCGGATTTGTGGTGAATATTCATCTTACATGATAGAGCTTTTCCTGTTGAACGCGTATTTCAATGATAATTCTAAATCTTGACGGATGGCCAAACCGTCACATTTACGAGGCCGCTCTCATTTAGGGTGCTAGCGCAACGAATGATCTGTGCTAAGGTCTTTCTCATGGGGCCAGAGAAAGGATATCGAGTGTTTGCAGGTCAAGACGATTTCGAGAATAGTTGTAGATCACTGTACTACACTTGACAGTGGATTGTAACCGAGACCTTTTTTCTGCCACGAAATAGATGCGAAGAAGTACGGTGTATAGTACATAGTTTGCATATTTTGGAATTTCAGTTATACTTTATACTGTTCGGTAAATTATAATAAACACAAAGTAACCTTCCATCGGACTAATACTGTACTTTACAGATACACCCAGAATCTTCGGGATCCATTGATGCTGACTGCAGTATTAAAAACGACACAAATGGGTAAACTGGGAGCTTGTTTGGAAGGCTCTTAACAGATGTGCCGAGAATGCAACAGATGCCGCAGCGACAATAATATGCATAACCACCAAGCTGAGATGAGAATGAACAAAGAACCCGAGTCGTTCAGGCAGGTTCATTGCATAGATGCTAGCCCCCAATAGCCACATTATATGAAGTTTCACATACTCGGCTGCGATATCATAACGGCATGCCGTTGGCTGAAATATGGCATAGATCGCTGGGAGAATTGCGATTACACACAAAAGACAACATGCCGCAATGGAATCACGGCGCATATAAGAGAACTGAACGAAGGAGCTGAACCATACGGACAGAAAAGTCATAATAAATAGCAGTGTAAGCTGAAGCAGCGGTGTGTGGAAGAACTGGAAGTGCAAAAATGGAACCGAAGAAGCCCATGTCATGAATATAACACAAGCATGGGAATTCTCCTGACTTTCACCGATTTCAGTCGGACGAAGCAAAGCTAGCAAATATACGGCCATCATTCCACACAAAAAACAAAGAATAGCAATGACATCTAACCCTGCCATGACGGCCTGTGCTAATGGACGATGGAAATATTCAATGGTCAGGCGCAAAGCCAAGAGCGCAAGTATTGAACTGGTAATACCATGGACCAAAGACATGAAAGCATGCTTTGGGAATCGAGTTAGCTGTAGCTCAGCCATTTTGAAATTTTGATTTCGATGGTAGAGGCCATTGATGGGAATGCAATTAGCCTTATAGTCGAGGAGTTAACACCCGGGCTCATTTTGAGCAGACAGGTTCAACGAGCCAGCGAAACTAAGTCCCCCGTTGTTGAAAGCGAGGAAGTAGAATGGAGAAAAATAAATTATCAGCGAGTTGAACATAGAACGCCAAGGAAACCTCCGTGCTATCATATATTAGTATATCCTAATTGGTAACTCTTGGTAAACTACAGCTAAGAATGTATAATTTTATTACAAAGACTGCTGCGATATGCGCCACATTAGTGCAGACTAGCACTACGGAACGTGCTCATCGATATGGAAACGTGAATCTATATAATCATTGTCCGATGGCTCTCTATATAGAAGGTTATCAAGGCACTGGGTACCCGTATCTGAGAACAAAGTTACAACCACTCGCAAACATTTCAATGCCAATGAGAGAGTCCTTTAATGGCGCTGGTAACTCAATTAAGGTCGCCACATCGCAAGGGAGTCTAGATATTCTTCAAATAGAATATAGCGCATGCTTTGAACCCAAGAGCACATGCGGGCCTGCAGAGCAGACCTATTATGATATCTCGAAGATAGACGGTGATCCTTTACTTGATCAAGGGACGGCGATCATACCGTCCTTTCCAGACTGTCCCAAAATTGAGTGTGCAGCCGGAGACCACCACTGCCCGAATGTATATTACCAACCCTTAGACAACTGGGCGGTCAGGGAATGCGATAGCAAATCCAATTTGAATGTTTATTTAGGCGGCATTAGATGATTACTGTGGTTTAGCATGTCTATTACTCTACAGTGCTGTAATGTACTGTACTGTACCCATAAGATGCAAATAGTTCTCTACTATAGTAAATGAAGGAGCACAGAAGCACAGAATTGCCAATGGATCTTCCAATGACATTTCGGCACTATATGGAATACTATAACCTGCCTGTAATTTTTGACAGCCTAGCTCTGCCGCCTTATTCTGCGGGTGCTATTGTAATGCAAGTTACTGCGGTGCCTCTCTTCTTACCTATATGAAACTCTCAACGTAGCTAGTCATGCGGGAGAGGATGGCCAAAGCAGCACGATCAGAACGTGCGGGTCGAATGAGACAAAAATGGAGCATCACGAACCACCACCAATAGCACGCAATTTAATACCGATAAATAGCACGTTTTGAGCCAGAAGTGTGTATTGAAGCTATCTCTGGTCTCCGAAACGAAGATATCTACCTCAGTAGTCCACAAGGGACTAGCCTGCTATTCCAGAATCGACTAATTGTAGTATTTTGCCTATATCTACCGCTTCTCTCCAGTACACTAGATAAGGCGCTACAAACACTATACATGTTTACAAATTTCTCTTTAATGTATCTCAGTTGGTAAGTCGAATACGACACTTACCTGATCACGTAGAGGGGTGTCCATTGAGTAGTACCCTTTCTACATTATACTGTATTTCTTTAAGCGCAGTTGAAATTAAGAAGAATATTACATTCATAAACTAATATATCATTCAGTAGTTTTACGCCTTTTCGATGGCCTTGGCTCAGGTGACATTCGTCCACGCTTAGAATGAACATGACAGCAACACACCCGTTGTGGCTTCCAGGTATGCCTGTGGTCAGATCTACCGAATGAAGCCTCGACACCCTGGAATTTGAGGATCCTGGAGAGTGTAGTCGGAAATCCGTTAATCCTTTCACTGAACGTTTTACTTTTGATTGATAATGAAAATTCTTCTACTGGACTTGAAACTGTGAACTGAACACGTTTGCGGTAGTAAGCGCATACAGTACATCCCTGATGGTTAGTGACTGAGCCAAAATTGGCACCGGGCACCATAGCAAAGATAGGATCCTGATACTCTCTTTCAACCGCATCCAACATGCTGTCAAGGTCCCCTTTCACAAGAATAGACCCTGTGCATAGAATTCCTCGATCCATGTGGGCTGGCTCCGTATCAAGCTCGAAGAAGAACAGGCGTGAAATTATCATTTGACAAAGTCGGTTGGGAATAGTATATGGCAGAGATACGAGCTCCTTGATGCTCGTGACACTATCAAGCTGTGGTAGTCCATTCTTTAAGTGGAGATTAAGCCTGAACACGTTTTCTTGGGCCCCACGAGGAAGATTATCATACGCGTCTTGAAATCCTTCGTTCCCGTCAACAGCAGGACCATAGATAAAAGCATGAAGTGCACGATGGATGAATCCATTCCGATGCGGTGAAAGCTTGGGGGTAAGAGAAAACCCCGTTCCAACACTGACAACCAGACTAGGCTCAACATTAGTAGGCCACATGTCTAGAGTTTCTCGTATAGCAACTCGGAGCGGGCAATTTGCTCGAACACCAGCGTCCTGAAGTAATCCAATTCCAGGAAGAAACATTGGCTTGAAGTATCTAGTTTTCGGTTAGCGCAGGGTTAAATTCCTCGTCCAATACGATCATACCCGAGTGCAGAAACACTACATCTCGCACTATTATGTGTTAGTAACAGACTTTGGACATCTTTTACGCACGTACGCTTGCCATAGTCGCGGTTCTTCCTCCGTAGGAATAATTGTTGTGTAGGATCTCCGATAGCTATCGTGACCCAGGTGGCGATAGTTAGTCAGCAAACAAAGCTTGCCGTTTTCGTCTACCTGGCTTGCCGTTATTGCCACACTGCCGCTTGTTTGTTTGGTTGGTGGAGATTGAAATAAATATCGAGAGGCTCCAAAGGCCTTCTTCAGGGCGGCATCTAATGCATTGGAGTCATATTGCGCATCTTCTAACCAGAATTTAAACATGTCCCATCCCTTTCCAACAAAGGTCAATCGCCGAGGCTGGGGAGGGAATATCTCCTCAGCAAATGATGTAAATCGTGATATTGCATCAGAGGCATTGCGCTGATCACAGAAAATGTCGATGGCAATAAGGGCGCCTGTCGCGGTTAATGGTGGAATTACAGCATACTGAGCCACAGTTCATAGCATACCTGCGCTAGTACCTACCGTTAAATTAGGAATCTGCCACAGGGGCAAGGGTATTCGCCTTTCCAGCTCTTGTAGGAAACGGAGCGTGATAACTCCACGTATACCACCACCATCAAGCGCGAAAACGATTGGAGATACTGTTGGTGGGGGGGCAATGTACAATGTAGTTCAAACTTTGGTAACATAAATAGCATTTGCGTAGTTGAAATGAATGGTCTGGGATCCGTGCATTGATACCCCATAAGCGTGCACAGTTATAGCATAAGGAGTGCCCACATGGAAGAATGGCGTCAGGTCCTCGAAGTAAACAGCTCAGACAAGTCGAGTTCGTCTTCAATGATCTCCAGGTGGACAGCTTCGAATTGAGATATGACCGTCGTTGCTCTAGTGAAGAGGATACTCCCACTGTGGTCCATGATTGACAGAAATGGCGTAGAATATCCTGGCAAAGATATTGAGCATGCTCTGGAAAGCCCTCAGTCCATGCATCAAAACAAATCTGTTGATAATGGGATAAAAACACCTGCTCTGGTCGGAATACTAAAGCCTGTCAGTTCAGAACTAAATTTGACAGAATACCCACGAACAGTGCATATTTGGAGGGTACGCGTCCATTAACAAAGCGTTTGCAATGAAATGGACTTGTTCCTCCTGTGAAAGTGTGGTCCTGGTCGATGAGATGAAGTGTCGCAAGTGTCTTACCGCCCCCGCAGGAACGGGATTTTCCTCCCGGGCAGCGTGAACCGGCGAGAAAACTGCATCCGGCTGTTGTGTGATGATATATACCGCCTTTTTCAGTAGGGACTCGAGATGTATCATAGAAAACAGCTCATTTTCCGCATCATGAAGATCCCAGCCAGCTCGTGCATGATCAAAGAACATTGATTGGAGTGGCTGGAACCTGGCACATGGAGACATAGATTGACGGCCAGTTAGGTCAAGGGTGACCAGGCCAGATATCATCTTCTCCAGCAGAGCGGATTGTAAGTGATAGTCTATAGCCACCGGCTTAGATGATCGAGTCTCATTTTTGGTCTGGATGAGAGCTAATCCTGGTCGTGCTGCGAATGGCTCATAGCGGTGCGCGATATCAGCCAACCATGACCAGAGTATTTTTTGAACTTCATCTATACCTCCCAGATCATCAACAAATATATATATTGTGTGAATAAAAGGACATATTCCGCAGCTCAAAATTCTGTTTTTGCTTGCAAGGTATGACTGATTCTCGACGCACCGAATTTGCCACGCAGATGCTGGAGGGGTTTTCAACGAACGAGGAGAGTCATGATGATTTCCTTCAAATACTAGTATGGGTCGAGGGGTAGCACTACTATGTGCAATCATATGAAGTTTTAAAATGCCGGGAGAACAGCGCTTTTGAGTGTTACTATGCGGAAATATCGATTTCAATGCCATTGACTTTGTAGCCCCTCCGAGGAATAGACAGGTAGCCGGGCGCTGATTCAATGGGTCATCCAGAAGTTGTATCAGCTCACGGAGTCGGCCATGGTCTACAAGGATCCAGCCATCACTGTTGGAGCGCAGTTCTAGCCATGTAGACATAGTATCAAGATTAGTTGCTCTTCACGTTGTATCCCTATAGAGTGCGCATACGGGCCAAGGCAATGATAACGGCAAGCGTAGGTGACCATCATTCCGAGTTGGAACTAGTCTGTGTATTTAAGATCTCAAAGTGTATTACAAGAAAATCAGTGGCTGCGAATTAACCATTATTCTCTCAAAGCAATAATTTAGGACCCAAAAACGAACTTCATCACTGAAGATGCACAGTGGGCGCCCCCGTCTTTCACAACATGAAGGACCGTGAATCTAGAATTAATTTGCTGATAACTTTTTCTTCATTAATTGGTAGGCCTGGATTTGGAGCAGAAAGAGTGGACTCACGAAGAATGATACCCATGGCCTGAAAAAGCTCTATTGCCGGCTCTTGTGTTGTTGGAAGTGATGAATCCAGTGAATAACCAGGTTCTTCCTCAGACCCAGTACTTCCATTATCACCAGGTAATATAAAGATGCATGTATCCGATGAATCTGGCGGCGAGAGTGATGATGGTGCCATAAGCGGGGATTGCGAGTGATTCAATTCCGGGGACATAGATGAACGTATGCCAGGTTCAATATGATCGCTTATGTCTGATTCGATATCACCGGAATATAGTAAGCTATTTGATATTTGCGAGGTGTTGGGTGCTGCCCCGGTTGCCCGGCCGGCGCGGCGCCCCCGGGTTGCTTTTGAACTAGGAGTATTTGCTTGACGGTTCAATAGTTTCGAGCCACGCTGTCGAGACGTGCGTTGGCGAAGAGATTTAGGTCTCCAACCCCACTTCATTCGGTTGAATATGCCGCGAATCGATTCTGCGCTACGCCTTTTGTCGAACTTGGCTTTCCAATTCCTAGACATGTGCTTCCATGATGGATCTTTTTGTGGGTTATCGAGAAATGCTTCTAGTATTTCTAGAAGGTACTCATACTCCTTGTCTTCCCATTTCATTTTGTGGCCTGGTGAACAACAAAGATGTCAAATAAGTAGACAACGCTATTGATCTCCGTCAGAAATCCTTTTGGTGTTAAATAATCCCTTAAGAACTACCAGATGCATTTGGCCTCAAATAGAAGATGACAAATGCCCATATTGAATTCTTGTTCCCTTTCCTGGTAAATTCTACATTTTTAGCGATCATTTCTATCCCAATCATTTTCCCTCGAATTATTGGAAAATTAAATTAAATTACGAACAGGGCAAGGGAGCCGCGGTCGGCTTTGTTGAACGGTTTTGCAGGGATCTAAGAAACCAATCGGATTGTCTATCACACCAACAGCGCGTCAAGTTCCCAGATGGGCAACTAATTTTTGATTCACACCAATCAAATATCCTAGTAAATCTTGGCAACTTTTGAAAGGGAGGGGTCGCTTTCCTTGCATCGACGGGCTGGCATATGGGTACCACCCCATGCCCCCGGATTTTGAAAGGAGAGAGGAAAATTCTACTCTTGACATAGACGCCAAATGTCCAAAATGGAATCCCACCGAGACATCGAAAAGCTTCATTCTACTGTCATTCTTCTGCATCATCTAGAATCCCAGTTACGAACTCATGAGGACCTGGTAAGTTCTGAAGCAATGCTTTACTGTATATAGAGCTGACATTATGCAACAGCACCGATTTTTGAAGCCTGATCATGCAAGATGCGTTGCGATAATGCAATGCTTCCGGGACCTGTGCATACGGCTACTGATAGTTATACAACGTACTCGGCAGTCCCTTAGATTGGACACTCATACTCTCAGTGTGTTAGCGCGCCTTGGACTTGATTCGATTGACCCCATGATAGCCCCATCACACCAACGACAAATTTTCATGGAAGATCTACCAGTCCAACCAGAGCCACGTCAGCTACCAGCGCACAGTTCGGAACGTGTGCCTACAATAAGACCATCGACCTCCGATATTGAACTGCCACCGATTTCGAACCCACCAGAGCCAAATCTTCTACACGATCAGAACCAGACACGTCAGTACTTGACGCAAAAAAGCTATCCCTCCGATCGACCATATGAACGTAACATACATCTGGACCAGGCTGTTGCGCTTGGCAGCCAAGATAGCAATAATGATATTCTGGGCCATCAGGAGATCTTAACCGATTATAACTCTGGGGGACTGAATTTGACTGGGCAGCCGGAAGATATATTCGCAGGTCATCTTTTCTGAGCTTGAAGGGAAATGGAGTTTATTAAACATCACCAAGGAGCGTGAATACCATCGAAACGTGGATTCAAACATGGACTTCGTGAAGCAAATCTGCCTTTCTGAAAGAATATCCACATTAAAAGACCGTATAAAGACTGCATATTCAGATGGCTTACTACCAACACACAAAGGGTCACCTATTGAATATGGAAAGCTTCTTTTAGAATTCGAACGAACGCCATTAGTGTACAGTATTCTAGCACCAGGGTTTGCATGGGTTCTATTGGCGGGTTATCTCGTGCTGCCAGGCACATTTGCATCTCTGAGATCATCTGAAACCTTGAAACCAACTGCGACAAAGAACGAAATCGGATCTAAGCTATATGATCATATTGAGCGCGTGCCTCTCCTATGGGCTGCTGGCATACTTTGCTGTATTGGAGTTATTGGAGAGCTCGTGCTTTGTTGGAAGTTAAAAAGAAACTTAGTGTTTCTAATCAGGAAGATATTCATGTAATGATACACCACAGACAAAAATTATATATTTACTGATCCGAGATACTTTACTAGGCCTATTGTTATCAACTCTTTCACCGGTTTGATAAACACCCTCATCACTATTTATACCGGGGGATCGTGGTCTGTGACTGCTCGGGCGGCGGTAATTGTTACGTCCAGTTTAACTTTGGTGTGTGGCTCGGCTGTTTTGTTCTTTGAGTGGCAGTTTTCTCTTGTCAAAAGACTGTGGGATGAAGAGAAGGAAAAACGAGCGAAACGAAATGAGAATCAGAGTATCTCCCCCAGGCCAATAAACATATACGCCGATGCCAATACGTAGATCCCGTACAATATTTGGCCAATATTCTATTAGACCTGGGCTTGGTACATCTAGGACACAATGGTGCAGTTTTCAGAATACTCTATACTATTTCCGTCGAGACAGTAACACATGCCGGATGAGATGTCTGCGAATCTATAGTCAAGTACAGTACGATAGAGAGTCAGACTTGATCAAGTACTATCGCACAAAAGCAGGGCTAGGAAAACCTTACTTCACAAAGCAGCCTAGTTGGAATAGCGCCGGCTTGCTTGTTGTTGTGGGTATATTTAAAAATTGTGATCCCGTCTTGTTAGATAATGGGGAGCTGCTCTGGGTTGGGGGCACCGTGGGGGAGTTCAAGGCTAGATGTATTTAGATCAATCCCTTCCTGTACAGTAATATACAGGTGAAAGAACTTACATTTTCCTGAGCCATCGGTAGATTGTCTATTATTTACCGCTGGGCAGAAATCACCGTTTCTTTTCCGAACCTCTGTAGCATAAACTTCTTCAGATTGAGTGCCAAGGCTCATTGAAGGCACCAATGACAGAAGAATCTTAGAGCAAGGAACATTCGGTGGACAATTCCCTAGTGCCTCAAGTACTTGCTGACCACATTTCGGTCTCTCCAAAGTAAGCGCATTCCCAGTTCCAATATCAAGATTAAGAGCACTCATAGAAAATGATTCGTCGTAGTAATCGCATATTGCGATAGAAAAGCGACTGGTAAGGTCCTGTGTGCTCCCAAGCCGAGAGAGAAAACAGATGACCGCAAGAATCGTGTAGCTGCTCATGGTAGAAAAAATACCTTTGCCTAGAATGAGGGGTAGCATTTACGGGGGTTAAGTAGTTACTGTTGTTTCGAAGTTGAACACCAACTGCAAGTGAACAACTATACTCGGGCCGGTTGGCGTGTGCCTAGGTCATAACGTTCAACAGGGAGAATTAGCTTCAAAATTGGGGTCACTTCGTGCCTCATTCTAGAAGCTTTCTTGCCTTAATAGGTTAGATAACTATTGATGCTCTTTTTAATGATTTCAATTACTTCAAATATTTTAGTTACGGTATTCATCATGATTTTAATGTATTAAAAATTTAGGATATTTTGATTTTTCAGTTTCACTATGATACAGTACCGCACAAAGCAAAACAAGTTCATTATGCTGTTCACAGTACAGTATGATAGATTACAGCATACAGGATAGGGAAACTTGATAGAAGAAAAGAAAATGTAGTATAGTAATGGGATACGGATACAGTGCGTTCCGTAATGGTGCTATAGACTTTCCGACACGTTGTGCCAAGAAATAGTGGTCAATTTTGAGAGTTCTTCCGGGGAACCGTGTAATTTAAATGGAGTATGTGTAATACAATTTATTTCCACGGATGGATTCGCCTGTAAATTCAATACATCTGGCTCCTTTATATACTCATTTATCATATTTGGTAGTAGCCCTACAGAACCACCTTCATTCAAACTCTAAACCATGAACTATCCAAATCACTCTCGGACGGCGAAGATTTTATTTCTTGCTTTGAGTGCAATAACATGCTTTCTTTTATACGACTTTTATTTGACTTATCGCTCCTCCATATACCTGCAGGATCTTTCAGTGCCGCAACCGAAGGCAAGAACCCCGAAATCACCGACAAAGTTAAACGGAAATGGCAACAACAGTATGTTGAGAACGACGTGAATATCCATAACCGAAAGTGCTTACCATCTTGAGACAGGACTGGCCCACCACACGGGCCCCAGAGATGTCGCCCTTGTCGTCGCAAAAACAATTGAGGAATCAGTTGACTGGGTCTTTTCGTACTGTGAAAAATAGTAAGACTGTTCCCAGCTATCATCATTCACTGCATGTATCCTAACAAGATATTCTCCGCCATCAGCAGGTGTACCCCATACATCTATTCGCTGGATGATAAGCCGGAAGAAGGCTTCCTCATTCCATACACAAATAGGGGCCACGAAGCAGGTGCTTATCTTTCCTACCTCACGCAATACTATGACAGTCTCCATGAGTACACCATATTTATTCACGGCCGCGAAGAACATTGGCATAATGATGTTGCCGGGCCCAAGACCTTGAATCAGCTCCCTAATTTACGCATGCAAGCGGTCCAACACTTCGGCTATGTGAATCTACGCTGTTTACATCGACCCGGGTGCCCGAGCAGTCTCCGCCAGGACATTATTGAGCAATCCGACGTTGAGAATCAGAATCTGGTCGATAATTTTGATCTAATTTGGACCGAAATTATGGGGACTAGGTCTGGCCCTCCTCCCGCCAATATCGGGCATATGTGCTGTGGGCAGTTTGCTGTTGCAAAAGAAATAATTTTAAACAGGCCCATTAATGATTATGAGCGATTTATAAATTGGGTTGCTAAAACTCAATGGTCGGAGAATTATGGGATAGGCTGGATGATGGAGAAGCTATGGCATATCATTTTTCAGATGCCTGCTAATCAGTATGTTTTTGTTTTCTCCAATGTCGACGAGAGCTTGAACTGATATAATGGCTTTTTAGCTGTGCTGACGAGTTGCAATGCCGCTGCGACCTTTATGGGTGGTGTGGCCCGAACCCCCCTTACTGGGGGTGTTGTCTTGAAACCTGTCGGCTCAAAGTCAGTTGTTTCTCTCACATACGATCCCATGGGGGTAACTGTAGCTAGCTAATGGAGTGGATGGCAATTTAATCATTTTTTTTACAACTAGTTACTAATGTTTGTAATTATTCGGTAAGAGAGCTGCGCATGTAAGCCAATTGCGCACCCCCAAACAATAGTAAAATAAATAAAACACTACTTAATTCCTCAACAACGATGAGGTATATTATATTCTTAGGATAATATAGACAGTACAATGAGTTTAGGTGGTGGGGCTAAAATCACTCGAAGAGTGAGATTGCTGCACGCGTTTCGGGACGCACTGTATCACGCATCCCAACATTGAGCCCCAGTAGTCTCATTAGCAGATGATGGGTTCCATTTCCAATCTACTTGTATTTTTCCAGTCTCGAGATTTGAAAAGCGCCGGAACACACTTGGGCTCACATCTAGGTGCGATGGCTCACATCTCGTGCATCTATCCACAACACTAACATCAATGGACTCCCCACCATGAATCACCTTAATGCTGGATTTACAAATTGGATTGTCATTCGGGTTCGACCCTTGTGCCATAGAATCAAATATGGTATATGAGACAGCACAGACAAAATCCGAAGATTGGTTGGCATATCCACAAGCTCCGACGCCAACTTCATACCACGTCAAATTGCCATGCTGAAGGCCATCCGGGTTACTGTAATGTCTTAGTAATAAGTCCCAACCCAAGGTCAATTTTGTGTCTCGAATTTAGGATTACAAACATGCTGAGACTCGTTGAAGCCAATACAAGCCACAGTGTGGTTAAAAACATGGCCAAGACGCTGGGTATAGGTCTAAAAGACTCAATAAAATGGAAAAACGTTTTGAATACAGCTCGCTTTTAAACTCACTGAAACAAACTTTGAATCATATCCAGAATTTAAAAATAATCGTTCAACGCGCTACGGTACATTATTGGACTTGTACTGTACTAATAGATCTGTTGTGGCTTGAGAAAAGGTCTACAAAATATTGAAACCTATGCGTCTCCGATAAATGAACTGACTGCTTAGTGTGGTTAGCCATTAATAAACTGCCTTTCAATTACTGCACTTTCATTGGTTGTAATTGATTCATGTTTCCAACATTACTGTGACGCTGATTTTGAGAATGATGATATTTATGTAAAGTGTCTATAGTCCAGAGGCGGACGCAAACAGATTCCCGGTAGTATTAACAGCAATCATAAAGGAACTTATTACGGTCAGGTAGGCCAAATTAAGTAGCCAAGAGAGGATCTGGCTTTGACTTCACTGGACGGGTACTGTAATAATTTCTTCTGATAATGATGTAAAAGGAATTCTTGGTTACTAGGTGCTTTCCCTGAGATCCCCAGTATGTGATGCAGGTACTATAGTACATCAAAATTCTGGCTTGAAGCTACGTCTTGTTCCTCGATGACCTTGGTCAAATGCGAAGCATCGAGTGAATGCCCACATGAAACGAAATCCTCCACTGTAGCTACACGTAACAGACGCACTAATGTATCCAATCTCAAAAAGAAGTCTTTACTGTACTTCAGTTAAAAAGTTACTGTACTTTAGTATCATTATGACAGTCTATTTTGATAGGGTGAATATAAATCTCTTGAGGTTGCCGTTTATTCATTCGAACAGAGCGCTAGAATCTCCGGCCTAACAGACAGAACTCTACCGAGGCAAGCTTCTTGCTGCATTTTTAAAACTTGTGACGTGGAATTTAACGAAAGAAAATACTGGTGCTTGAAGCAGAAGAAAAATCTAACTTATAAGAATGCACCTGTCCCTCAATCGCACCGTAACAATCGAAGAAGACTCATCTTAGTCTCTCTTAGTCTCTTGAATCCAGAAATGCGATCCGTCACCTATGTTGGATCATTGAGCCTGCTGGCAAGGCTCGCAGTTAGTGACTCCTTTGTTGTTTTTAATAACCAGGGTGTGTGTAGGATATGGTCTGATAGTGTTTTCGGCTGTACTGGCTACTCAGAGCCCTTCGCCGTACTTAATGGGGATGATTGTTCAAGTGAGTGCTAGGGCCAGTGAGAGGCTAGTTTCTAGTGACTAAGATGATCAATGTCTAGACTTTTCTATAAATGGGACGAGCACCAATGCAACTACACTCAAGCTAGATATATGTGGTACAGAGAATGGGCAACAGGTTGCTTGGATGAATGTGACTAGAGGCAATGGTTCCGACGGCGTGTCATTCAGAAACCAACAAGGCAAAGAGTTCTGCTGCTTACTTGATAACAATTTTAAAGTTGGCAGCAAGTGCATAACCCCACATCTCGGTACTCAAACACCTATACCTTGAAACAGTAGCTATAATATGGCTATTACCAGAAAAGTTTCTGTTTCTGCCGGTATGACTGGGTCGTATTATTATCACAGGGACGTCTGCCCTACGCACTAGATAACTTTTCCTACAGTAGTAAAATATAGTAACTAAGAATCCTTTTTTGATAGAAAAGGTAGCTACTGTAATTACTATACGTGCAACGTTGCGTTGGGAAAATAGCCCAAGCCAGTACAGTATAATATTATGTAACTAGTGAAATATGGGAACGCTCAATGGCAGCCCACGCAGTGCGGGCGGGTCGATCGCAGGAAACACAACACCCGCAAGGGTACACGTAGCGTACCAAGTGTAAGCGGCAAAGCAAAGCAAATAACTGAGCAAACGATCAATCAAATAGTGGTAACCATACGTAGCGAAGCGGCAAAACGAAAGAGTAAAATAACGGTACCGCGAAACGAAAGGAGTGTGTGATTGTAAGTTAATGATGCTATCTCAGATACTTAAAATGACAAAACAAAAAGGTGCTGGGCCCTAAGGCTCTTATCACCCCACTGCTCTCCTAGAACAGGTCCCCCACTACACTAGTTAGTAGTCGGCTTATACAACAGTAATCACGACTCTGAGATCCAATAAATTAACCTAATAATGTCTCGGTCTACATAGTGTATTATACTTGAATTATGTCATGATGAATCAGTGCAAAGCATGGTGATGTTGTGCAGTACAGTAGCAGTATTGCAGGTCCTTACAGTGATATTCGAAATTAGTTTTAACTCAGTTCTCACTCTCTTTATCTCCCGAGGCCCCACCTCAAGCGCACTAGTCCGTGTTAGGATATATTTCCGCCAACCTTGCATTCGTCTATGTATCTTAGTGTAAATTATAGTACAGACGCGCTCGAAATCAATGTCACCACTTTACTCTTTTTGATTATTTTCTAAACTTAAAGTGGCACATCTCGCGTTACCAATGATGATTTGCCACAAGCTGGATACTTGGGCACATTTCCATGCACCTGAAAGCTGCTACAGACAAGGAATAACATGCATGGATACCCTATGAACTGGTTATGGCCAACGGAAAAGTGAGGCTGAGCACAGCATAAGCCCAACATTACTATTCCTAGCCATTTTGTCGGGCTGCGCCCACCTGGCTTGCCTTCCTGTCTCCCTTTTCATTTTGTATAAGATGCTCTCTTTTCCCCATTTCTCTCTTACTTCCCATACAATCCATTGCTTCTGAGACAATAATCCACCATATCATCATTATCAACACACTTTGAATCCTCGCCATGGTTATCTTCATGCATCTCCCCTCGGACGAAGAAATCGAGGCTTTCGAGAATTCGGTTCTCGGACAAGCCTATCATTTTACCGACCGAGCTTTGATTCGCGAGGCTCTTCAAGGCCCTAGTATCTTCAACCACAGCGGTCAAAAGACCCTCGCATTGGTTGGCGATGCGACACTCCGCCAGTTTCTCGTTGATCAAGGCCGAGAGAGGAACAAAACTCCGGGTAAGCCACCCCTCCCTTAGCAATGACTATTTTGCACGTATGCTAAGTATGGTGTCATCAACAGGGGAGATTCAGGACGTCATCACCAAGGTGGCCTCCAATGACAACTTGTATGACCGGGGCATTGCCCTTGGACTTGACCCTTTCATCGTGAAGAACCCGGGCCAATGGGGCATAACGGCCGGAAAGAAGACCATGCCTACCACCATGGAAGCCATAATTGGCGCAGTTTTCTATGATTCCGCCAAGAACGGCGATGACCTCGAAAATGTTCTCACTGCCCTCGGCCTCATCTGGCCCGAGTGATACTGCCCCTCCCTTCAATCGCACTTCCTTGTCATGGAGGCATCAGGAAGCCTCGATGGGGGGAAGGGGGGATCCCTTGCAAGGCTGAACCTTTTTCATTCAGCAGTGAAGTGGCCTGTGAAGTGACCTCTATGTCACAGCACTATTGAATGAGCCTTGTACACTTTGCAATGGATCCCTCTTACCCTCTCGTGGCGGCTTCCTCATGTCTCCATGGCTGGGAAGTATATCATGAAGACCACATTTCAGGCAATTTGGAGGCAGAGGATAAATGGAACTGGTGTTTCATGAGATAGTCACTTATCAATAATGAAAATGAAAGTAAAGTAGCGGCACTGAAAATACCTCCACGGGTAGTAATTTCCTTATCTCTGGAATATTTAGAAGTATCCAGAGCCCCAGCTGTGATCTATGGATCTCAACCAATTGATCCACGGAGAGAAAGTCAAGATTCAGCATTCAGCCGTGCCGCAACACAGGATAGTTTCACCGGAAACCGACGACAATCCCGAGGTAGACATGGTTACACCCTCTTACCCGGGCTTACTGTAAAATCCAGGGATATGCATACATAATGCCTAAGTATACAGCTCTTTTCAAGACATACAGGTCATGGAAATTACTGTGCGAGGTTGGCGAGATGAGGGAAAATAGAATAGTTCTCTATACACCATTGAGTATCCGTAGTATCATTCCAACATTCAGTCATCATCTTCATCATCGCTATCTTAATCCTCATCCTCATTCTGATCGCCGGCCTTGAGACCATAGTCATCTTCAAACCTCTTGAGAGGCTGGACGGTAGGAGTGAAGCCAGATGCTTCGAAGCCTTGCTTTGTAGCCTATTTTAAACGTTAGTTTATTGTCATTTTCCCATTTAAGAACATACCTCTTCCAACATAGTCGCACAGATGACGACAAGGTTCGCCGTCTTGGGAGCAAATATCGGCAGGAAGATATCACGCAGAGCACACTTAATCTGGTCAACGGTGATAGCGCGCACATTCTTAAGCATCTTCTCCTTGTGGTGGCTAGGCAAGTTGCGCTCGACTTAGCGAATGAAACTGCCTTGCGCCGCACTAGCAGCAGTAATCTGCTCATTGGCAAAGTTGACCGCAATGCTGCTGATAGCACTATCGAGCATCAAGGGATCGAAAGCCGTAGCACCAGACAGATTATCCTCAACAATTTGCTTGCTAGACCCGAAAGCCTTGTGTGCGTTAGACTATAGTGTCGATTGAAGTGGAGAATACGTTACTGCCAGCAGCTGGATGATTCAGCGCATACCCGATCTCCTACCTGTTTCGTATAGTAATCGGAGTATTCTCGGAGTAGCAGCCCTGTAACACGCTAAATAACCCCTGAAATATGGCCTTCAGAGCAGTGGCCTGCAGATAGTTCTTCAGACAATCAATCAATCGCTGAATGGTTCAATTGGCCCTCATGAGTACTAGTCGATACCGATATCCGATAATCAGACATATAGTTATGACCACTGTAATTTGTCGGAGCAGCTGTGGGCCTAAGTAGCATACACGAATGAGATAGCAAGGAGTCTTAATTGCGAACGTCTCTGTTACCATACGATTTTGTATGGTAGCTCGGACAATCTATCTACCGAATATTACAATCACGTTACTAAATACAACAAATGACAAAACAAAGCTCCACATATTCCGACATAATTTACGCTGACTCATCGAAGATACTTTAAGAAATACAAGACCAGCGGAAAAATGTCCTAATACGGGCTAGTGCGCTTGAGGTGGGGCCTCGGGAGATAAAGTGAGAACTGAGTTAAAACTGATTTCGAATATCACTGTAACAGACTTCTAATTCCTCACCTAGAATTGCCATACTCGAATTTTTTCCCTGGAAGTTCGCCACCAACATGGAGAGAAAATCTATCCCCGTTTGTAGTACGATGGTTAATATATCCAAACGTGTAGATGGACGACAAATTACAAGTCTCCATAATGGATTTGGCGGGACTAATCAGTGCTTTACATGAAAGATTGAGTTGCAGCTGATTCTAAGAAATTATGAGCTCTGGTTTCACTGCGACATTCCTTTAATCGGGACATAGATCTCACTGGATTGCAGAAGAGTATTGAAGTCTTATTTTTATGCGATACTCGGGCACAACTATCTGGGTCAACCACACATTGCTGGTCTCCCACATCCTTCAGATGCTCTATGTTCTCAATGGTGGAAGTTGTGTATCCGAGGCCTGTAGTTATATTGCAAACAGGTGAGTCCCCAGTCTGACTTGTTAGTCACCTACTTTGAGAGAGGAAACAGGGGAAGTTTTACGAAGGCGCGAACCCCCAGATCCCAAGGTGCGAAGTGTATTAATGGAAATTTCTGGTACTGTAAGTACTTCCTATTAGAATGGAGTGGTTCAAAATATTGCTAGTGTAGTTCCTTCAAACAGCAGGTGATAACTTGCCAATTCTCTTGGCTGCCACTCTCCACGAGAGAGTCCGACAACTGCTAGAAGCCAAACGATCATGGACTGCATCAGTACTGTTTTTCCGTGGATATCCAAGCTCCAGCAAGTATAGTAGTCACAAGGTACCATATATATGGATCTACTTATATAGAGGAAGAAATATTGGTGAATCAAGACGCATTGAGATAATACAGGTAGATAGCCCATTACTAGTGCTGCATATGACCTAAAAAAGTCAACATCGTTGAACATTTATTGGGTTGGAACTTCACTTTGCTGTAATGTACTTTACTACAGCACCAGAGAATCGTCTTAAACAGAGACAATTTGTTTTTAGCAGACTAGGTAAATCACGGTACTAATAAAACATTTTATATCTCCATGGTACTTATGCGGTGACAGATAGCTATACAGTACACTTGGCAAGGCCCTTAAAATTTTGAAATGTCGTTTCAGAATAGCACCTGTTGTTGTTTATATGTATAGTATGTGCTGGTATTTTGCTTTGCGCTGCTTCCCACTAAATGTCGCGGTCCGTGACTGACGACAAGGATATCTACCCGTTATGTTATCAAGGGGGAGATCCAAAGAAGGATTGGTGATGCGTTCAACGGCATACCAACTTTGGGAGGATTGGGAGATGAGAGAAGAGGTACGACTACTGTAATAGCGCTTGACGGACCAAAACAGCTTGCACCGCGTTGAATTTTGCGGAGGTATCACAGGGGTTTCGAATTCACGCTCTGTGAGAGCAGCATAAAATACCAACAGCCCGTAGGTAAGGGGGTAGGACTATACTATGAGGTGGCGTAGTTCTGTAACACTCGATTCAATCCAGCCGCGTCAATCATCTATCCGCGATAATCTATTGGTTGTCGAGTCTTGAAAAAGCTAAAGGAAGCTAATTTTTAGAATCGCTGTAAGGCTCTTACTGTACACTTATGAGAATGAATCCGAAGGTGGATCTCTTAGCCCGAGTTGAACTACTTTTACTACAATACAGTAGAGTACCATAAGGTACTGGGAAATTCTACGGTAATTCGTCAAGAAATTGATGCATTACAAATACTCGTAAGTATATCTTTTGTGCATACAATTAGGTACAGTATATTAAGTGTCTAGGCCATGTATTTCACGAGTTTTCTTTCGAGGGCGTAGGCTGGCACGACGTTCAAAGGCGGCAATCATATCTCTTGTCTCGGCACAGTCTCTTACTCCTGTCGGCATCAAAACTTCCAGTTGCATTTTGTAAGAATCGCCAGATCTGGCAAGGATGGTACACCCGGCTGGATTTTCTCGAATTTGACATTTGAAAAAATGTTCAACGGCTGCAGATTGTTCTGTTTGCTGCTGAGTATCCGTAAGCGCAGCATTAATTTCAGAAGGGCTGCCGCCTGGGCGATGAAATCTGACTCTCAGCGAAGGAATTCGTGGGAATGGTCTAGTATCCATGACCAATTCTTTGTTGGATGAGATTAGATACTTTTGGTCTTCGACGGGACTTTATTATGTACTATATATCACCCACACTCGGCGTGAAGAGCGAGTGATACTGAGAAGGAAGGTCTATCCTTTAATGACTACGTTCATAACTACTCTCGAAGTGGTGAACAGGGTTTCGAGGTATTATTTATTGCAGTCCACCTTATAAAGGCCGGGTCATCTCTAGGATCTGAAACCGCCGCCCAGCAAAATATCGCACAATTTATTATCGAAATTGACAATAATGAAATGGACTGGTGGCTTCAAAAGCTGGTTATGTGCAAGGTAGTGTATTATTCTCCTTAAATATTTTAAATGGTTGTTCTTCAGTGACACCTGCTAGAATACAAAGGGCCCCACGGCCTCCAACAATCAGGTCCATATTCAGGATTCCTCCAGAGGAACAAAAGCCCATAGCACCGCCAGAGCTAATCTGTCAGACTTGTCATCGTCCGAGGTCCAAAAAATATTATAGACGGCACAGGACTGATCCTCGATCCTTCCCACAAAATGGCAATTGCTCAAGAACCAGATGCATTCAAAGTCGGCGGAGATTGAGGGGGCATGATGATAGACACATGATAGCCGGAAGCATACAGTCGCCAAGATCCCAACCAGCCCTCATTGGGGATCCTCAATATCCATTCCCAAACACAAGATGGACGAATACATATTATTCATTATTCCCACCAGATCGTTTGTCAAGCGTCCTTCGCGGGGATACGGACGCGTCGGCTGTGCAAATGCAAATGTCCCCACCATTGTACTACCAATCTCAGGCGGATTTTAGATACCAGACTGGCCTAGAAGCAGTCTACGAAATGGAATAAGCTAATTTCCTATACTGTATGTGCATGAATCATACTGCTTGTGAATGTAATTCGTGAGCTTAGAACTGTTCTGAAAGAATGCTCTAATATCTGGAATTTAGGAGCGTGCTGTCTACCGACAGAATCCTATTGTCGCTATATCTGAACTAGAAGTGTAATATTCTTTTTCTTAGGACGTAAGTGATAGAGCGCTATTATATGATATCCGATAGATAATATATCTTGTGCAAACGTATTAAATGAATTTATTCGCCAAAATTCGGGTTTTCAGTCTCTCCCTTTTCTCCAGATTTTTGATATTCAGAAATAACTGTAATACACCGCATGGTTACAGTTATGCTTTAGGCATTCGAGGCCTCGGAGTAACTAGTTAGGTGCTTTCCTGTTCTTTGTCATTCTTACCTCTCCATAGTCAGTATTCGTTGAATACCACATAATATTGATTGATCACCTCTAGTATCCTGGGCTGTTACGATAATTGGTACCTGTCTATAAACTGTGTAATTTAAGCCTAGTCGCAGGCAGATTCTGTTAGAATCATTTCTTTGACTAAAGAGACAGATAAATTGTCAACCATTTTCGCTATTACAGTCTGGATGGATGGATGGATGATTTCATTTACCCCGACCCCTCGCGAGTTGAAACCCTGGATTGAGGTACAAGAATGATAATATTGATTCCTATGAAAGGATGCAGCTATTTATAGTAGCAGCAGCTCATCTCCCTGCTGCCTAGCGTAGTGCCTGCCTAACAGGCAGCCACTCCTACAGATCTATATACATCACGTGACATGGGATCCAATTCTCCCCCTGTGCCAAGGACCCGAAGGGGCCGAGGCACCTCAAGGATCCCTGAATTTGATCTGGCATTTTCTGATCCTTTTTGGAACGAAATTGCAGACTCAACACCTCCCCTTGAATGGAGATTCAGACGCTCGATAAGGTCTTCGTGTGAAGACCTTGGTAAAGCTTTGGTGAAAACATCTGCCAAGTTGTCCTTTGTATTGACGCGCTGGGTATTGATAAGTCCTTCCTCTACCTTTTCCCGGATGAAGTTATGCTTGACGTCAATGTGTTTAGACCTGCTGTGAAACTCTGGATTCCTGGTGAGCTTCAAGGCTGCGTTATTGTCGATATAAAGGGGAACCGTATCGATATGGACTCCGGGGATGCGGAGGTCATTAATAAAGTTGCGAATCCACATAGCTTCCTTCGCAGCCTCGGCGCATGCAACATACTCCGCGTCCATGGTTGATGTAGCAACTGTTTTTTGTCTCTGGGATGACCACGATATGGGCCCTCCGGCAAGCGTGAAGACCCATCCAGTTGTTGACTTGCGCGAGTCCTCACATCCGGCAAAGTCGCTGTCGACAAAGCCCGTCAGCTGAAGACCATGTTTGTCTGAATAGACAATTCCTTTCCTCGCGTCGCTCTTCAGATATGCAAAAATGCGATCCACGGCATCCATGTGGGCCCGGTTTGGGTTGGATACGTATCGAGCTACATACCCGGTCGCAAAGGCAATGTCCGGTCTTGTCTGATTGCTGCTAAAGTTGAGCGATCCGACCTTCGACTGATATTCTTTGCGGAATTTGGTGTTGGCGACGTAGTCGCCCTGTTTTGCTAGCTTGACTTTTGCGTCCAGGGGAGTCTTGGCAGGGGCTGCATCTTTGAAGCCATATTTGTCGACCATTTGGTCGATATATTGTTTTTGATGGAGATTAATCTCTCCAGGCTTTTGCTCTATGTGCATTCCTAAATACCAGGAGCACTCCCCCTGGTCGGTTATTGGGAATTCCTTTGAAAATTCACCCTTGAAGTCAAGGATTGCCTGTAGGCTTCTACCCATCACGTTTATGTCATCCACGTGAACTTCGAGGATGAGCCCTTTTCCGTAATTGATGAAAACACATGGGTCATAGGCAGACATCCGCCAATCCCAGCGGACAAGAGTATCCCGGAGTTTCTGATACCACGCTCGAGGTGACTGCTTCAGGCCATAAAGGGCCTTCAGTAGCAGTAAACAGCATCCACGAGGTAACTGCACATCTCTCGGAGCTTTCATGTAGACGGGTTTGTCTAAGTCGCTGTTTAGGAACGCCGTTTTGACATCTCCCTGGTGAATGTGCCAACGGCAAAGTGCCGCCAGCGCGAGCAAGATGCGGGTGGAGGTAGATTTGACTACAGAAGCAAACGTTTCCTCATAGTCAATGCCCTCTTCTTGTTGAAAACCTCTTGCCACTAGATGAGCTTTCCGCCTGGTGACTTCGCCGTCTGGTCCATACTTGTCCGTCGTGACCCACCGTGAGGTAACCGGTTTGATGCCATGCCGAAGTGGTACGACCTTCCATGTACCTTTTTGTTTGTGCGAATTCAACTCTTCCATCTTAGCCTGGTGGTACTTTGAACTCCCAGTACCATCGAACTTCAGCTGCAGAGGTGGTGTAGCTTGTTCAGAGTATACAGATAGGCCAAACTTGAAAGTTTTGTCGCTATCCATGGCCGCCCCGCGTCGATTGTAATTCTTAGTATCATGTGAGTTGGACTCGATCGTCTCTCTCACTGATCCCGGCTCGTGAGAAACTTGAAGCTTCCTCCGACCGGCGTAGGTTTGGTAATTTTCCCGAAGATTCGGCTCGGCCAGACCTTTCATCTCGAATGGCCGGATCGCCCAGGATTCGTACGTTCCATCAGATCGCCGATAATTGCAGTTCGCGACGTGTTTATTATCCTGCGACTTGATGCATGGATAACAGGGTTTTTCCCCGTCGCAATTTAATTTCATTCTTCGACAGCGTACACATTCATCATCAGACGGATCTCCTTCCTCAAGAGGTCCCACTGAGGAGAAACCTGTTGGAAGTGAGGAATCAGGAGCGTGATAGACTCTAGTTAGCAAGCCATGCTGAGCTTTGTAGCTGCATGTCGACTTTCCATGGATGCATGCCTTGCAAGGTCGTCCGCGGTCACATTTCTTTCCACTCCTACTTCCATGGCTGCACTGGTCACAAGGAGGTGAATCCTCTACGCCCTGTGGCCGACACGCTAAGCGCTGGAGAAGGGTGCTGCACTTATTGCATGGAACCTTTCCATCGCATGTCATTATTTTTCTTGCGCACCGGTAGCATTTCTGATCTCGAGGAACTGGTGTAAATCCGAGGATTCTATGCTTGGCTTCTTTTTCAGCTTGTCTTCTCCTCTGTCGCGCTGTTGACTGTTTTGCTCCATCCAGGTTCCAGTTGCAATTCAATTTTGATTTTTGACATCCTTCACATTTTGGATTACTTGAGTCAAGAAGAAAACACGTGCGGTTTGTCTGGAAGCATCTTCTGCATGGCTGGTCTTGTTGTACTCTTCCAATTTCTTTGTGTTTGTGGCGGTTCTCAGGAAGTATCAGGCGTTTCGTTTCCCTTGACTGTGGTCTGCAAGCTTGATTTTCTTTCTTGCAGATTGAACAGGGTATTCCTTTTTCGGCAGAGTCGCATCTTCTTCCGTTTCGGAAACAACGGTCGCATTTATCATTATCAGGTAGAAAATTCTTCATATGATTACCGCCATGTTTTGCGACAAACTGCCAGTAACCCTGTGAGATCTTTCCGTCTTCCGAGTAGTACCAGGAATCGGCATTCGAGTCTGATAAATCTGAGTCTGAATGGTCTAATTCGATGTCGCGTAGTCCGTGAGTGGCCCGGCGACTTTTCCGTGGCGCTACTATAGGGTCATTGGGAGCCTTGCGTTTAGCCATGCCGGCGTGCTTGTATTGATTGAAATACTTGGACATGGTTGCGGGACCCAAGTCTCTGCCATCGGTCTCATCTTCATCGTCAGCGTCTTCAGATTCATCTTGGGACTCTTGCGTCGCTTCTGAGAGATGGTGCTCTTGGTCAGTAATTTCCTCGCCTGGGGAGGTTCTAATCTGATCATGGCGGTAGCCACTGTTGTCGTAGTTACTCTCTGAATCACTAGAAGTTTCAGTCTCCTGTTCCGAGTGATTGTTGCTCGGCCTCTCAGCATCTGGGGTAGGAACCCTATCTTCTAGACATGGCGCATCATGAGAATCGCTCAGGCCTTCACCGTCTTCGATCCTGGCAACGCCGATACGATAAACCTTGTGTTTTTGCGGGGAATAGATATGATAAATTGCTTCACTCTCGCATCCGACAAAGTAGCCTAGCCAGCCACGGGGGTTATGTAACTTCGTCATCTCAGCGGTGTTCCTCAGCTCTTGCGGATACGTGACATATGCTCGGCTGCCCCATATTCTCTCTCTTGTGAGGGTTGGTCTCACTCCCCGTAAGGCTTCATATGGTGTTTTTGCATCCTTCTTGCGCAATGCACGTGCCGGGGCTCGATTTTTCAGCCAAACCGCATGTTGTATAGCTTCGGGCCAGAGATTCTCGGGAATCTTGGACGTTCGCAAGAGTTCAGTGCCCTTCTCAGAAATGATTTTGGAGACTTGTCCAGAAATGGAAATTTCTTGGACCATAGGCGCAGCTTTTTCACGAATCGTACGGTTTGTCCTCTCAGCAACACCATTCTGATAGTGGGCGTATGGCTCGATGGGCTCTCGGGCGATGGAATGAGAATTGCACCATTTACCAATCGGACCTCTTTCAAATTCATTATCGAAGCGACAGCACCGGATGGTGATATTGAAAACCTTTTGGATCAGTTTGACCAGCGACTTGAACACTTCGAAGAGCTGATACTTTTTATCGAATCGAGCGCTCCACGTATATCGCGTACAGTCATCGGTGATGAACAAGAAGTATCTCGTTCCATCAAAGCCTTCGATGGGGTATGGTCCCCACACATCCATGTGTACCATCCACCCCGGCTGTTGAGCATGACGTGTGGCGGGGTCGCGCGGAATCTTAACCAAGGCCCTTGTCGTCGCGCATATGGGACATACGGCCTTGAGCTTGGCTTTGATCTGCTTCTCCGTGATTTCCATTCCAGTTGAGCTGCCCAGCAGGTTCAGCATGTTTTGGAAGCCTAGGTGTCCCAGCCTCCGGTGCCATTTCCATACAGGATCATCGAAATCCACTGTGGCTGCGACGACATGACCTGGCGTCTCATCATGGGGAGGTTTCGCGGCGTCAAGGTGATAGAGACCGTTGCCGAAGATGGCGTGTCCGATCGTATGTCCGGTATCAGTTATCCATGTCATATACCGGTCATTGTAGATGCCGGTTACGTTGGCCTTTCGGGTGAACATTCCTGCCGAAAAGAGATTGCATTTGCCCCGAGGAGCATAGGCAACTTCCGAGAGTGATGCATTCACTGGAGAACCATCAGGGCTTTTCAAGACAAGGTTGACAACTCCCGTTCCTTCAATGTCAAGGGTAGTGGAACCGTCTGCGGTGCTTATTTTTATATTCGATGGGCAGAAAGTGTTTTTCTTGAACCATTTCATGTCATTAACGATATGCATATTTGCTCCGGTGTCAGCTAGCCATGTGTCTGTTGTGCAGAAATCGCCTGCCAAGAAGGCCCCCCATACAGGTTTAGAGATATCCAACGTTGTAGACATTGAGTCCCCCATATCAACTCCCCCTGATCTCCGCAACTTGATGCAAGACATAGGTCTATGCATCTGTGGCGAAGTGTCAGCTGGTTTCGCATAAGTTGAAGGAGAAAGACCCGTACCTAGAGGATCAGTCCGGATATAGGTGTCTTTGGAATCGGTGAGATCCATTTCTGCGACACCACCCATACCATTGGTGGCAACGGCCCTGTTGGTTGGGTTGGTGAACTTTTCTTTGAGAGACCGTGGAATTTTCTCGGGGTTCTTAACCCAGCAATTTTCCTCGGTATGGCCAGTCTTGCCACAGCTAGGATGGGTGCACTTGAGGTGACTTCTGTCTTCCCGTCTCGGCCTGTAACGAGTGTTGTCCATGTTCATGGTGCTGTTGATGCTGGTTGCATCTCTCTTGGCCTTGTCCCTGGTCTTCCTCTCTTCTTTGATTTGAAGCTGGTGCATTTCTTCAACATGCATGCGTTCAAAAAGATAGTCCAGATCAGGGGAATCTTCAGGCCGCATCGACCTAATCCAGTCGTACTTCTCTTTGAAGCCGCGGTAGCTAGGGGGAAGACCATGAAGAAGAGCGGTGGCGAACATGTCATCAGTCATATCATATTTGACTGTCTTGAGATCAGCTTTGATCTGGCGGACTTGGTTGGTGTAGTCGGTCACAGATAGGCAGTTGTCTAGCTTGAGATCGTTCAATCTATTCAGCAGAATGTCGCGTGCGCGCTCATTTGTGACCGCGTATCGCTTCTTGATGAAATCATAGGCTTCCTTGGCGTCCGCGCAATCCTCAACCTCGATTTTAATGCCGTCGGTAATCCATGTATCGAGTAACTTGGTTGCAAGTTTCATCTTATCTTTGGCAGCTTTGTGATCATTGTAATCAATTTGCCATCGGAGTGTGTTGTTGGTCGTCAAGACAACTGCCTGGCCATCATCGGTCTCATTTTCGTCGTCGGTCGTCGGACTTAAGCTTTTCTTTATCCGAGTAGACCGACGAGTTTCAGCGTCAAGGACCTTCAAAAAATATTCGTCCTTGTTGGGCTTCGGTGGAACGACTTCTTCGCCCGTGAGAAATTCGAGCACATCGTTTGCTCTGGCTGCTCGCTCAAACTCGCGTTTCCAACTAATGAAGTTGGTCTTGCCTTTCAGCTGGCGATCTGGTTTGACTTCATCCATCTTAGATTATATCTTGTCTGGGGCCCTGAATTGGGCGTTTGGGGTCTGGGGTCTGGTCTGATTACTTGTGTCAATCCAAAGAATAGTCTAGAAAGGAGAGGCTCATAACCAGTTGAAACCCTAACCCAAGGGACCTGGTGCAGTCTACCTGACTGCATGGCGGTCAGAAGTTCTTAAGTATGGGCAGAATTCGCCCCACAGGGTAGACTGCAACCACTTTTTCTAGGGTAGACTGCAAGCAATTTCCTTCGTACGATTAACCTCAGAATTTCAGAAGTTCTAAGTGTGTATAAGATTTATACCCAGTTTTCTTCTTAGACACTGTAGTCTACTATAGCAGTCGTACGAGCTAACCCTAAATCACCTAAAACCCTAAAATAATTTTGTTGGGGTGCGACCGGGAAGACCCACCTTTTGGTTTTAGACCCACACAAAACTTTTGTGATAGCTTAATTCTACGTACGACCCCTGAAGATAGATCACTACTTTATGAGCTACTTTCCCTAGCACTTTTACATACTACACAAATTTAACCACTACCATGGAAACTAATATTCCCTCCCTTACCCAGGAGCTCTTTACTCCTCTTTCTACTCTACCTATTCTTATTTGTTATAAATGTCAATCTGCCGTACGAATCAGCCAAGTTATAGCCCATCTAATCTCTTCTTCCCATTCTCTGTCTGCTCGTACGGCTTCTCAGATCCAAGAATATCTCCCTACCCTCTGGCCACAGTTACTTGCTACCTTTACACCTAACTCTATCCCTAACTGCCCTTTACCTTTTCCTCACCTTCCCCTTTATCATGATGGTATTCAGTGCCAATTTACCCCTACTTGTCACTATGTCTGTCGTACGACCAAGGTTATGAAAGAGCACTGGCGGACATCCCACCAATGGCTTGCCCAAGCTATTTCTACAGCTTCTACCCAACAGCTCTTAGAGAATTGTACGCACTCAGTCTCTTGCCAACGTCTCTATCGCCGAGGGCCTACCTCTCACTATTTTGCTGTGCTTAACCCCGTACGATCAGAATCAGCAGAGCCAGAGTCAGCATCCTCTACTATTGACCAGCTCTTTGACCAACTAGAAAAGCAGCACCAGGAGATCTTTCAGCCTTCAGATCGTACGATTGAGACCGTGGAGCTTAATGAGGCTACTCCATGGCTACGTCGTACACGGTGGTCGCAGTATCTCAAGGACCAACACCCAGAGATACTCTCTTCGCTGACCGAGACCCCCCGAGCCTGATGCGTCCGATCCGCTCTGGAAGATCCACCAGGCAATGGTCAGTATGGCCCGTACGGCCCAGTTGATTGCCAAGCACTGCGGCCATCTGATCCGGGTGGAGATTGTTCGTACGGAGATCGATCAGTCCCCGCATACTCCCCTGCAGGCCTACATGGACCCGGAGACGATCCTGGCCCATATCACCCCCTGGCAGCAGATAGTCAGCTTCTTTGCCCGTACGCAGTATCCCACAGAGCCCTCCCACCCGGCCTACCCCCACTATCGCTTCAACCGCCGTCAACGGAAGGCGTGGCAGCACCTCTGGACTCTGGCCACCCGCTCTCCCTCCCCTGACCCCTATGAGAGTGATAAAGACCGTACGGCTCCGGCTACACCAGCTCAACCCTCGCCCTTCCACTTCCAACCTATCGAGCGGGCCTGTCTGGACTTCTGTATCGAGCTACTGAACCAGCGGATTGGCGCGGACGAATATGAGTGTGCTCTAGTCTGTGCCCTCGCTGTGCTAGGCCGGTCCCGTACGGGCTGGCATACTGCTGATTCCTTCCCTCTGATCCTGTCTAGGGTGATCAAGCTCGCTCGGTTTCTGGTCCTGGGGCAGGCCCTCTGGCTGGATCCCCACGCGGAGCAGATCGTCCAACACTTCCGCGGGGAGGAGACCAGTACCGATTTTGACCTGATCAGCCCCCTGGATGACCCTGAGTATCGGTGCTCGTACGATGATGAGGGATACCAGAGTCCGTCCTCACCGGCCATCCCCTCCTCCCCCAACTCCTCCTCCCCCAACTCCTCCTCCCCGGCCCCGCTCCCATACAGCCAGCATCTCCGCAGCCGTACGGGTAAGACCTTTCAGGAATGGGTCCAGTTGATCATGAAGAGCTTTATGCTCCGGGGCACCAACTCCCCGTTCCAGTGGATCTTGGATCTTCGTACGTACGGTATGAAGGTGAGCTTTAGTACGACCCAGCCTGGGCATATTGGCTGGGTGGGCACGGATCGCCTTCTCTATAAGCAGCTCAGCTTTACCACCGGTGACCTTCGTGGCTGGATCCACGGGCTTGTCCAGACCTGCCAGGATCTTCTCTCGTCCGATCTACTCCTCCTGCCCTCAGAGGCCGAGGCTCCCCTGGTCCCCTGGGCGACGATAATGGACGATCCCTCAGAGTCTAAGCCTGGATGGAGCTTTCTCCACGACTCTCGTACGACCTGGCCGGTCTGCGGGGACCAGTGGCTGGTGAGGCGTCTTCGCTCCGACCGGGTCCTCCAGCAGCGATTTCTGGACATCGATCATGGCTGCTTCCGTACGAATGCCATTAAGCGATATCTGGCCCAGGTGAGTCTCTTTCGAGAGAAGCTCGCAGTCCTGATCCACCTCTGTGGTGGCCAGCCAGCGCGGGCCCCGGAGATCCTCTCCGTCCGCCATCGCAACACCACCAATGCCCACCGGAATATCTTTATCGAGGATGGGCAGGTGGTGATTGCGACCCGATACCACAAAGGCTTCCACGTCCACAACGACCCAAAGATCATCCATCGATATCTGCCTCGGTCCGTTGGTACCTTACTCGTACGATATCTGTGGCTTATTCTACCCTTGGTGGAGCGGTTCGACGCCTTGACCAGCCCTCGGGATCAGCAGCCCACTACAGCCCGTACGGCGTTACTCTGGGGCCCCGATCCTCTCAGTCAACGACCCTGGACCGCCGATCGGCTTCGGGAGGTCCTCCAGCGAGAGTCCCGTCTCGGCCTCAATGGGCAGATAGTGAATATTGCCGCGTGGCGGCATATTGCGATTGCCCTTAGCCGCCGATTTCTTCGTACGAGCAGTGCTTTCCCCCAGAATGCCAATGATGACGGAGAGACCGACGAGGCTGTGGACCCTGAGACCAATCCAGATGAGAATTTCCAGGATCTACAGGCCGGTCACTCCTCTCATGTTGCGGGCCTTGCGTACGCCCGCCAGCTCCATGAGGCCCCAGGCACAATGGCCTATCGCCGTACGATATTCCGCCATATCAGTCAGGACTGGCATCACTTCCTGGGCTTCCCCCGTACGGATCTCCCCTTGGCCCCTGAGCGTCCAAACAAGAAGCGGAAGTATGCCCCCTGGGAGAACGAGCAGCAGGAGAATCAGGTGACCCGCCGCTATGAATTTGCGAATTGTAACCTGGAGGAAGCATTACAGCATTTCCTGGGTGACCCTTCCGTACGATTCAAAGAGAAGCAGCTAGAGGTCCTCCAGGCGATCCAGCACGGCTTCAGTCCTATTGTGGCCGTTATGCCCACCGGTGGGGGTAAGAGTCTTCTATTCCAGCTTCCGGCGTGGATCTCCAAAGGCCTGACTGTAGTGGTGGTCCCTCTGGTGGCCCTACGCAAAGAGCTTCAGAGACATTGTACGAGCCTAGGTATCAGCTGTACTGAATGGGAGAGCCACCACCCCCCGGATGAAGCCTCGATCGTTCTGGTCACCCCCGAGTCCGCCCTGAGTGATATCTTTCGTACGTTCCTAAACCGCCAGGTGACCCTTCACCGTCTGGATCGGATCGTGATCGATGAATGCCATATGGTCCTGAACCCTAGTGATACCTTTCGGCCAGAGCTGGCCCAGATCGGCCGTCTCCAGCAGATAAATGTACAAACAGTCTTCCTGACCGCCACCCTGCCCCCTAGCCTCCACGATATATTTTGGCGCCGGCTCCACTTATCCCGGGAAGATATATTTCTTTATCACAGCCGTACGACCCGCCCTAATATCGCCTACTGTTCTTTCCGGCCGGAAACCGATCTCCCCCGCCAGGGCCTGGAGCAGTGGATCCAGGATCCACAGATCGTACGCTTCATCCAGGCTCGCCGACGCCACGCCCGATCTGGCCGGGTCCTAGTCTACGCCTCTCTCGTACGACATGTGACCCTCCTGGCATCGCTTCTAGGCTGTGAGGCCTTCTACTCCAAGGTCGTGACCGATATAGCCGGGGCGCCTCGGCAGCAAGTGGACCAGGAGGGGATCCTGGCCCGCTTCCGTCGTACGGACAATGCAATCCTGGTAGCGACCAGTGCTCTAGGTATGGGCATGGACATCCCTGATATTCGGACGGTGATCCATATCGGCTGGCCCTACAGTCTTCTTGACTACGCCCAGGAGACCGGCCGTGCCGGACGAGATGGCCAACCGAGCGAGGCAATTCTGATCCAGCCTCGGACGATGACCCAGCCCCCATCGTGGGTCTATTCAGAGAAGACCCCCCCCCCGAGGAAGCCAAGATCGTCCAGCAGTGGTTGGCGACTGAGCAGCCGCCCTGTCGCCGGGTGTTACTCGACCGCTATCTCGATGGCCAGGAGCGGACCTCTTGCCAGGATCGTACGGTGCCCGAGCCTGCAGCAGAGATCCCCTGTGAGATCTGTGCCCCTGGTGATCCGTACGAGGCTCTTTCCCCTAGGCTGATCTCCCCGCAGATCTCCCCACCCGCTATAACCGCCGCCCTGCCGCCTTCCCTAGACCCTGCTGACCCCCCAGTCTTTGATGCCCCGGTACCTGATTCGGACGACCATTATGATATCTCTGGTCATTCACAAGCCACTTACGTTCCAGCTGAAATCGATCTACCGGCCAGGCCATCTAGACCACCCCCTCTGATGGAGATCGACGAGAGCTACTCACCGGTCTATCACCCATCAAGTACCCCCCCCGTACGCCCGCCAGCCACCACCGGTCTCAACCCCCACCCGGTCTCCGTCGCCTCGATCCTCTACCCCTCAGGCTCCATCTACCCCAGACCCCCCCTCGTACGGTCCCAGTCACCGCCCGCCATATCATCCGGCAACAGGATATCTCCCGTACGACACGGACTAGCCATATCTACAAGGATCGATACACCCACACCACTACCGAGGAGGATCTCCGACAAGAGCTAGGGCGGTGGAATCTCCGATGCTGGGTCTGTATGATCAACCAGCAGCCGGACGAGCATGAATTACTTTATTGTACGAGCCCGCAGAGCACCGAGGCCCAGGCTTGGTACTCTGAATGGCGGAGCCGGATCCGGTTCACACCCTTCTCCTGCTGCTTTCATTGTGGGCTTCCCGAGACGATCTGTGACCGTCGGACAAGCCAGCGGCCCTGTGAGTATCCGTACGTTCTTTTGCCAATGATGGCGATGATGATGTATGGGGTGGCGACCCAGGGTGAGATCCAGGAGCAAATCCAGTCGATCCTGCAGACATGGTATCGAGAGCTGGGGACTGAGATTCATAGTGAGCAGGACCTCGTACGATATCTCTCCCAGAAGGCAGATACACCACTAAAACAGAGCCGGCTCTGTGAGGCCTTTTTGTATCTACGGCAGCAGTTTCACCGGGTCAATCTATAGGTTACGTACAGGGAGAATCTTTCTGTCAACCATCATCCGGTTAAATATATATCTTGGTGACATAGCTTGTCGAAGCCCTAAGATCAATCAAAATTTTATTATCCTATCGTACGGCATAATTCTTAAAAGTAAGAAGGAGAGGTGATTGTTTGCTATCTCCTACTGCTGGCAACTGCTGCCAGAGACCCAGATTCCGTTAAAAATGCTAAAAACAAAGAGAACACCCAGAAATCCATCCACCGCTTTGACACCACCCAGAACCCCGGAACCTCCACACGGCCATCCGGCCAGCTCAAAAATCCCCCGTACGCCTAGTCCTCCAGAAGCTCAATCGCCAGGGCCTCAGGCAGCTCGGTCACCGTGGCTGGTTCAAAGGCGGGCTCACCTGGAACAGGGAGGGTGCAGCGAGCAGCGTGGTCCGACCACTTGCAGTTGGCGCAGGCACCGCCAAAGTAGCCAGGCAGTCGTACGCAGCCACCGAAGGGACGACCTGAGGTCGAGTGCCCACACACCTCCCCCGGGTTCAGCATGCCCCGGGAGGCGATCAACACCGCGTTGATGTAGGAAGGGCGGCCAGTGCGGATCTAGATATGGTCAGCTTCGTACAAACCACTACACCACGGGCGACTTGCCTGGTTCGCCGAGATGACGATCTTGTTGTTGATCACACGGATCCAGAATTCGTACGTCGGAAAGGACCACACCTCTCGCTGCACGGCGGTGTGACAGCTGAGGCGTAGGGCCTCGTTGGCGAGGTGGGAGAGACGGACTCGGACGTAGATGCGGCCCTGGCTGTCCTCGTGGGTGGCACGGCGCTCGAGGAACTGGTTTGTGCCGACTAGCACCTGGCTAGCCTCGTACGGGATGAGGGCTTGGTCGGTGTCCATGGTTGGCCAGTTGATGGTTGAGAAGATGGTGATGTTGGATGGGGTGGGAAGTGGAAGATGGGAGAGAGAAGATGAGAAGAAGGAGAGATGGTGAAGAAGTTAAGTTCGGTGGGGGGGTAGGGAGGGTATTTATATCTAAGGGGGTGTATCCGATTACGTCGTCAAGGTGGTTAAGATTGCATAGTGAATACTATCAAATTTGGGATTTCTTCGTACGAACCCTGGCCGTGCAGAATCCCAGAAAGCTATTGAGATTGCTATAGTGAAGCCGCACCTTGGTGCGGGCTGGGTTCGTCCGGGTGAATCCTCACATCTAGTATATAAGAGTTTCTTCGTACGAACCCTGGCTGCGCAGAATCCCAGAAAACCATTGAGATTGCCATAGTGAAGCCGCACTAAGGCACGGGCTAGGTTTATCTAGGTGAATCTTTATATCTAGCTAGTGAGAGTTTCTTCGTACGAACCCTGGCCGCACAGAATCCCGGAAAACCATTGAGATTGCCATAGTGAAGCCGCACTAAGGCACGGGCTGGGTTCGTCCGGGTGAATCTTCACATCCAGACAGCAAGAGTTTCTTTGTACGAACCTAAGCTATACAGAATCCCAGAAAACCATTAAGATTGCCATAGTAAAGCTGTACCTTGGTACGGGCTAGGTTTGTCTAGGTGAATCTTCACATCCAGACAGTGAGAGTTTCTTCGTACGAACCCTGGCCGCACAGGATCCCGGAAAACCATTGAGATTGCCATAGTGAAGCCGCACCTTGGTGTAGGCTGGGTTTGTCCAGGTAAATCTTGACAGCCAGATAGTGAGAGTTTCTTCGTACGAACCCCGGCCGTACAGAATCCCAGAAAACTATTAAGATTGCCATAGTGAAGCCGCACCTTGGTGTAGGCTGGGTTTGTCCAGGTAAATCTTGACAGCCAGATAGTGAGAGTTTCTTCGTACGAACCCCGGCCGTACAGAATCCCAGAAAACTATTGAGATTGCTATAGTGAAGCCGTACTAAGGCACGGGCTAGGTTCATCTGGGTGAATCTTTATATCCAGACAGTTAGAGTTTCTATGTATAAACCCTAGCTGTAGAGAATCCTAGAAAACTATTAAGATTACTATAGTAAAGCTATACCTTAGTACAGACTAGGTTTCTCTAGATAAATCCTTATATCTAGTATATAAGAGTTTCTTTATACAAACTCTAGTTATATAGAATCCTAGAAAACTATTAAGATTACTATAGTAAAGCTATATTTTTATATAGACTAGATTTATCTAAATAAATCTTTATATCTAGATAGTAAGAGTTTATTTATATAAACTCTAGCTATATAGAATTCTAGACAACTCTTAATTAATATTTAATTTATAATATATCTAGATTAAAAGAATTAATTATAATAAAGAACCCTAGATACTATATAAAAAGAATTATAGAATAAGTAAGGTAATTAATACAAAATTAGTAAATATAATAAATAGTATATAATTTCTTTTCTTATTAAAAAACCTAAATATATTTATCTCTTTATCTAATCTCTTCTAAATCTTTTAAGATATATAAAATCTTAGAATATTTAGATTTAAACTTTACTTTCTAGATATAGAAGTATATTATATTTTAGGTAAAAGTTTATCTTCTAGAATTAGAGATCTCTTATATCTAAATCTAGACTATATCTCTAAAGTTTTAATATAATTTCTAACCCTAAGATTTATATTAAAATATATAGAGATCTATAATATCTTAGTCTAGGTATTATTCTCTAAATTAAGACTTTATTACTAAAATTAAGATTTTACTCTGTTAAATTTTAGTTTAATTTCTAAAACTAAACTTTAGTTTCTATATATATATAACTACTATACCTAGATAAATATTTTACTCTCTAGGACTAGGACCCTATTATATCTAAACTTAGGTATTACCCCCCTAAGTTTTAGCTTTATTCCTAAATTCTAGACTTTACCCCCCTACGTACGAGGGTCTACTATACCTAAGTAAAAGTATAACCCCCCTAGGGCTAGGGACCTATCATATCTAAGCTTAGGTATTACTCTCTTAGTTTTAGCTTAGTTCCCAAATTTTAGGCTTTACCCCTAAAGCTTAGGTTTTACCCCCAAAAGTTTTAGCTTAGTTCCCAAAGTCTAGGCTTTGTCCCCTACGTACGAGAGTCTGCTATACTAAAGTGAAAGTTTGACCCCCCAGGACTAGGGACCTATTATACCTAAGCTTAGGTATTACCTACTAAGTTTTAACTTAGTTCCTAAATTTTGGGCTTTATCCCTAAAGCTTAGGTTTTACTTCCTAAGGTTTTGGCTTTAATCCCAATATTTGGGCTTTGTCCCTAACGTATAAGGGTCTGCTATAACTAAGTGAGAATTTAGGCCTCTAGGGCTAGGGATCTGTTATACCTAAACTTAGGTACTACTCTCTAAGTTCTGGCTTAGTTCCCAAATTTTGGGTTTGATCTCTAAAGCTTCTCTAAAGTCTTAGCTTTAGTTCTAATATCTAGACCCAAGTCTCTATATATGGGGGTTAGCTATATCTTAGTAAGTTTTTAACCCCCCTAGGGCTAGAGCCCTATTATATCTAAGCTTAGGTATTATACCCTATATTTTAGCTTAGCTCCTAAATTTTAGACTTTATATCTTAAGTTTTTGCTTTACTCCTAAAGTCTAGCCTTTATCCCCTACGTACGAGGGTCTGCTATACCTAAGTAAAAGAGTCACTCTCTGGAGCTAGGGACCTATCGTATCTAAGTTTTAGTACTAGTCTTTAGTAGTAATCTCTTCTATAATTTATTAGTTTATTAAGGACTATAATCTAGATAGATTCTAGAATTTATTTTTAGTTGGATTTAATATTAATATTAATTTATATTATCTCTAGAATTTATATATTAGTAGTTATAGAAAAATACTTATTTTAATATCTATCTAGATATATCTCTATTATATATTTGAATTATATCTAGTTTCTTTTATTCTAAGTACTCTAGTAATTATTTATAGATTTTTAAAGTAATTAATATTATTAGTAAGGTATTAAAGAAGTAAAATACTAGTAGAGATCTACTTTATTATTTATAAAGATATTACTTAATTATTAGGATATATATTATATAGATATTAAATAGTTATTTAGATAGTTTAAAGTTTTATATACTTTCTATCCCATGAGGGTAAATTCAATGAGGCCCATTGAATTTTTTAGGGTTTTGTTAAGTATGGGGGAAAAAAGTGGGTCCAGGGCCCATTGAATTTAGATTTCAAACCCCCATTGAATTTAGCAAAATAATGTCGTAGAGTTTCCAGATTTCGATATATTTTAATTTAGTATTAGTTTTATTCCATAGCCAAATTTAAGCACAATCAGAGCATATCCAGTATCGATTTTGTCCCCCACAAAGTAGCAAGATTTTTTGATGGGGTAACCACCAGCCGCCGGTCGCGACCAGTCAAACCCACCAACATCAACAACCACCATATGTAGTTTAGTCATAGGATTTGTTTTTTTTTGTTTCAAATTTCAGGGGGGTTTTCCCAGATCCCCCATCATCATCCCATTTTATTTTGGGTCCATTTGAACAACATTGAGTTGATCCCATTTCCCAGATATACAATACCAGCCGATATATAGATTTCCATATCCGACATGGACACCGAATACCAGGCCCACGAATTATTTTGTGTCAATGCCGAATTTCGCGTGTTGATTTGCCAGAAATGTCAATGTGCCGTACGCCGGGGACAGATCAAGGCCCATTTAAGTAGTACCGTACATCGGATACCCATTTCGTGGGTACAGTATATCGACAGAGTGATCCAGCAGTGGGATCATATTGATGATCACCCAGAGGTGGATAGTTGGCCCCGCCAGATTGATCAACCCATCCCCGAGTTACCCGTTTATCAGGATGGATTATTGTGCCAGCAATGTGAGGTATATACATGCCGCCAGATCCGTACGATGAAGGCACATTGGATAGAGGCCCATCAGTATCGTGTACAGCAAAGCCGTGGTCGTCCCACACCCAGACAGGAAAAAGCCATCCAGGCCGCCATTAACGCCAATAGCCGAGCCGTTGCGTGTCAGCGTATATTCAGCCAAGGCCCCGGTTCACATTATATTCATATTGTGCAGCCCAATCCCAATGAGCCCCCCATAGACCCCGTGGAAGACCCCGACCGGATTCACCAGTTAGTGCAAATGGTTGAGGAGTATCAGCAGCAAGATCAACAGGCCCATGAAACCATCATCCAGGCCGGGGAGTTAGATGAAGCCACGCCATGGTTGAATCGGACGGGGTGGGTTCGGTATTTACAAGGGACCCCCCGGCAGCCATTATTCGAGAGTACCCAGCGCCCCGAGGAGGATGCCGAGGGACCAGAGCGTATCGCATTGGTCATTTGGGAGGCCATGGAGCGATTGGCATCGGTGAGCCAGGAGATCGCCAAGGCGTGCGGGCATTTAGTACGCATTGATGTGGTCCGTACGATGAAGGACGAGAGTCCACATAAGCCATTATTGGCATATTTAGATGCCACCGCCATTCAAAAGCATGTGGCACCGTGGCAGCAGATTATGATGTTTTTTGCACGAACCCAGGTATGATCACGTCCGTACCCGATATCAGACACCCAGGTTGATTCACCATCCCAGATTGAACATGATTGGGAATCACCCAAGTATTCATTTACCCCCCGACAGCAGCAGTTATGGGATGCCGTGTGGCGCCATGCCCAGGCCCAGGCCAGTTGTCCCGACCCCGAGGATGATGAGCCCGAGCCATTCGAGATTCGTCCCATCGAGCATGCATTATTAACGTTTTGCATCGATTTATTACGCCAGAAGATCCGCAACGATGAATATGGATGTGCCATGATTTGTGCCACCGCCGTGATTGGATGCGGGCAGTTTGGTTGGGCCACGCCCGAGAATTTCCCCCCCCCGGATATCCAGTTTGATCAAGATCGCGCGGTTTTTTATTTTGCACAAAGCATTGCGGTTAGACCCCCGGTCATCGGAGATCCGTCGTGGGTTCGCCGGGCAGCAGAACCCGCCATGGTTTGAAGGTGATATGATCGGCATCGATGAGGCATATGCCCACGATGATGAAGGATATGGCAGTGCCCCCCCCCATCCCCGGTGGCCATGCGTAGTTCCCCCCCCCACCAGCGATGACATATTAGGAGCATTGACACAGGAGCAGCGCCAGCATCCCGACCGAACGTTCCCCGAATGGGTCACATATTTGGTGGATTTATTCATGGTTCGTGGGACCAATGGCCCCGTCCAGTGGTGGTTAGATTTACGTACGTACGGACGGACGATATTTATGAATACCCCCAGCGAGGGTCATATCGGGTGGAAGTCCGGAGATGAATTGTTGTACAAACAGATCCATTTTACCATGGGCCATTTCCGCGGATTTGTGCATGGGTTGGTTGGCCGGTTACGGCAGCAGTTGGTCCACGAGTTGATGTTTTGCACCGATCACCCGCCCCCAGCCATCCCGTGGGATCATTTGTACGATGATGCCACGCAGAGTGCCACCGGATGGAGTTTTTTACAGGATTTACGTACATCGTGGCCGGTCCAGGGTCCGACGTGGTTCATGGAGCGTATCCGCCACGAGCCCCGATTACAGCGTCAGTTTGTACAGTCCCACGGGGCCGGGTTCCGGATGCCCGCCATCGATCGGTTTTTTCGAGTGGTGAGCCAGTTCCGTGAGCGGTTAAGCGTGGCCGTCCATGTTTGTGCCGGTCAACCCAGCCGGGGTCCCGAGTTAATGAGCATCCGGCATCGTAACAGTGAGCGAGAGCGCCGCAATATATTCATTGAGGATGGCATGGTCACATTTGTCAGTCGATACCATAAGGGGTTCCATGTGGCCAATGATACCAAGGTGATTTTCCGATATTTACCCCGGGAGATTGGTGAGTTGGTCATATGGTATTTATGGTTAGTATTGCCATTTGTGGAGCAGATGCAGTCATATCAGCGGCATATACGGGGCGAAGCCGCCACCATCGGTCGACGGGCCGAGTATGTATGGTCCCCGGATCCCGATCGGCAGACCGAGTGGAGTAGCGTCCGGTTACGGGAGGTATTGAAGCGCGAGACCGCGATTGGATTGGATGGGCAGAAGTTGGGATTACAGGCATACCGTGACATCGCCATCGCCATCAGCCGGCGGTATTTACGCCCCAGCAGTCAGTTCCAGGCCAACACCGAGGAGGAGGCCCCCGACATTGACGACGAGACATCCATGGATGATGATGGGATCCGAGCATTCATTGCGGATATCCAGGCCGCGCATTCCGCCAGCATTGCCGGGACGCAATATGGCCGGATGATGATGGAGAATCCCAACACCACGGCCCGGCACCGCGAGTTATTCCGCCAGGTGAGCCAGGATTGGCATTATTTTTTAGGATTCGAGTCCACCCGTATCGAACATGACCGCCGGGCCCCCGGCACCAAGCGTAAGCCCAACCCATGGGAAGTCGAAACGGCCGAGGCCCGTACGCAGCGTCGATATGATTTACACCAGACCAACATAGACGAGGCATTCCAGCACATGATGGGGAGCAACACCGTAGCATTGCGGGGGCAACAGGGTCCCGTATTACAAGCCATCAAGCATGGGGTAAGCCCCATTGTGGCGGTCATGCCCACCGGGGGAGGTAAGAGTGTGTTGTTTATGTTGCCCGCGTGGGTGAGTGGCCGTGCCGGGTTAACCATCGTGGTTGTTCCATTGATTGCATTACGCGGTGACATGGAAGCACGATGCCAGCGATTGGGGATTTCATGTGCGGTATGGGACCCCCGACGGCCACCCGATGGGGTATCCATCGTATTGATCACGCCCGAGAGCACCGACAGCGATGCATTTGCCGATTTTGTGACCCGGCAGCGGATGTTACAGCGATTAGATCGGATTGTGGTGGACGAGTGCCATATGGTATTAAGTCAACAGGAGCGATTCCGGCCATTATTCCAGCAGTTGGGCAAGTTACGAACCGCAGCCACCCAGATCGTGATGTTGACCGCGACATTGCCCCCCCGCAGCGAGGAATTATTATTCCATCGGATGCATTGGGTCCGGGATCAAGTGGTATTATATCGGGGCCACACCAGCCGGCCCAATATCGCATATCGTGTCCATACGATCCCCGTAGACGATGGATATGACCATCCGTTCCAGTGGGTGCAGATGCGGAGTGTGATCCAGTTCATCCAGGACCGTGTTCGCCGAGCGTACCCCGGCCGGGTGATCATATATGCCACCGTCCGGGCCCATGTCACCGCATTGGCCGAGTTATTAGGTTGTGCCGCATACCATAGCAAGCAGGTGGACAAGGAAGGGATTTTGGCATCATTCCGCCACCAGGCCGGGGCGGTGATCACGGCCACCAGTGCGTTAGGGATGGGGATTGATATCCCCGATATCCGCAGTGTGATCCACGTTGGTCAGCCCCGGACCATGTTAGATTACGCGCAGGAAAGTGGGCGGGCCGGGCGTGATGGACAGCCCAGCGAGGCGATTATCATCCAGGCCGAGGGTCAGACGATGGGGCGGGAATGCCGTCCGTTTTGGATGCACGATGCGCCCCCGGACGACCATGCCCATGTTGTTGAGTATATGGAGGCGGCGGTGACGGGTTGCCGGCGAGTGATATTGGATGGGTATTTGGATGGACCCATCGAGGAATACCAACGACAGCGATGTGGTGATCGGGTGGTCGAGTCCGCATGTGATGGATGTATGCCCAATTGGGAAGACCAGGAGTCCCGGATTGGATCCGCGTCCCCCGTTATCGCCGATGACCCGATGGTTGATGTTGGGGCGGTTGAGCCGGTGATGGCCGGCCCGACGGAGGATATTCCCAGCACCATGGCCCGGGCCGTACCAATCGCCATCCAGCATACATTTCGGCAACAGGATATCCAACGGGCCGAATTATGCCAGCAGGCGGATGGGAGGGCCGGTCAGCAATATGAGGATGAAGAGTTTTTGATCCGTGAGATTGAGAAGTGGGTTGATCGTTGTTGGACATGCAGCCAAGGAGGCCGTGACGATGGACATGAGATGTGGAAGTGTTGGTATGGTGAAGGGGGCAGCGGCAAGATTGCGCAGGCCAGTAAGGATTGGATGGTCAAGATTCGACGGCAGATTTCGTACGATGGGTTCACGGCGCATTTTTGGTGTGGGATGCCGCAGTATATATGTCCGCGGAGCGATCGGCGAACGGAGCATAGTCCGCAGACGGTCCAGGCATGTGATGGATATCGTACGGCATTGATTCCGACGATTGCGATGATGGTGCATGGGCCCCATGCCAATGCAGTAATCCGAGAACGGTGGTTCCAGCGATTGAGTGAGCATGGGGTGGATAATATCCGGGCGAACGATACAGAGTTGATTCGGTATTTGGGACAGATGGCGCGGAATTGTGGACGAAAGCGAGCGCAGATTACGGAAGAGTTTATTTGGTTACGGAGAGCATATCAAGGAGTTGAGCGTGGTGGGTAGGTGGAAATCGAGAGCGGCGTTCGTGTTTTCCGTATTCAAGTAATAAAGACGATGGCCAAATATATGTTGTCATGTTGCCGGGTTCCATGGTTGATTCAGTGTATTTCCAGGTGAGAGGGATGATTACGGTAGAAATATATGGGAATTATAGGGTCAGGAGGATAGATATATGATGGGTATTAGGAAGGTGATATACAGGACGATTGTATAGTAAGTGATAAGGTCATTAGTGATAGGGATCGTGTGTTATACGGAGATCGAGGTTTAGAAGTTGGGAATGTTCCGAGAGATGCCAGTGGTGAGGGTTTATGGATGGGTGGTGAGGGTTTGTAGATAGGTGGTGAGGGTTTATGGATGGGTGGTGAGGGTTTGTAGATAGGTGGTGAGGGTTTATGGATGGGTGGTGAGGGTTTGTAGATAGGTGGTGAGGGTTTGTAGATAGGTGTTTAGGGTTATATATGTTGGTGTTCCAAAGTTGTTTGTTATTAGATTAGTGGTTCCAACCCGTCCGAGAGTGCATAGGAAGAGATCAGAGTAACAAAAGTCAGTAAATCAGTTACAAGGTTTTGATATAGATAGCAAGGGACCCAGGGCCCATGAGATGAGGGTTTTCGGGGTAGAACCCGGTCAGAGGGTGGTTTTAGGGTTTTGGCA